ACACAAACATTAGAGAACTGTAATCTGTATCTGTATCTTCATTTTTAAATTTCTTGCATTTAATTTTGGATCCCAAACAAAACTGTAAAAAAAAAAAAAAAAAGTTGATCCAAGATTGTTGAGTAAATGTTCAGAATATTGTCTGAGCCCAAACAGAGAAGTAAATGACTGCCCTAAATCCTTGTTTGAAAAACATTTTCTCTGGAAATAGTTCAGTTCTTTTGCCCGGATGTGAATTTTTCTTGTTATAGTGTGTTCATCTGGAGGAAGCTGACTAAAATCTACAGAGATCTAATAAGAGCCTTCAGAGACTGGAGTCACAAAAACTGCCTCCTCCTCAACACCTCAAAGACAAAGGAGATGGTCATAGACTTCCGTAGATCCAAACCTGCCTGAGAAGACTCTGATCAATAGACATCTGTGGTAAGATGCTGCAGATGTTTTATCAGTCTGTGGTGGCAAGTGTTCTGTTCTACGCTGCAGTCTGCTGGGGAGGAAATATCAAACACAAAGATGCAAGACGTCTCAACAAACTGGTGAAAAAGGCTGGCTCTGTGGTTGGACTCAAGCTGGACTCAGTGGAGGATGTGGTGGAGAGAGCTACACTGAGGAAGGTGGAGACTATTCTAAAGAACATGGATCACCCACTTCACAACACCTTGATGGACCAAAGGGTCAATGGCGGTGGACGGCTCCTCTCTCTTCGCTGCAGGACAGAAAGATTCAGAAGATCTTTTGTACCAACAGCCATTAGACTTTATAACTCTTATGTAAATAATAGATAACTTTTATAGACATATTACGTGAGACAACAGACAATTGAATTTCCCTTCGGGGATTAATAAAGTTCTTCTTATTCTTCTTATTCTTATTCATCAAATTCACAGTGACCCTGTGAGCACTCTCCTGGCCTGTATATCACACAGTTTCTTGATGAAGGGGTAACTTCCTTTGAACCGCAGGCTCAGAGTCCTGATGGCTTCTTCACTCACCTCTGTCATCTCTGAGTTGGAGGAGCGTCTCCCGCTCTCCTCTGATTGGATGTAAAATGTGGTCCTCTCAGAGATGTCTGCAGATGAAGAAGTGCATATATGGACCTGCTGTCTATGATCAGGGAATCCTGGGACAGAAGATCTGAGATTCCCTGGTCTTTGGGTGGAGTTTTTTGACTGTAATGGACAACTCAAATGCTCCAACCCTGATCATTACCTGAGAGATATAGGGGATAGTGGGGTAAGATGAACCATTTTTTATATTTCGGATCACTACATCAAGGCAATCATAGTTTAGTCTCTAACTAGTGTATCTGCATATATTTCCAAATGTTGTGCATCCCTGCAAACCAACAGAATAAGTGTAAACATAACTGTCTTGATAATATAGCATGCCAAAAAAAAAGTGGTCTCCTATGGTCAACTTACCCTTTGTATGGGGTAAGTTGACTATAGGAGTGGGGTACGGTTAGTCGTATTAAGCCCTGTATTTTTCATCTATTATACACTATTCAACTGGTACAATAATTATTTTTTATCATCATTGCATATAACTGTTAAAAAGCTGTTTTGTAAAAAGCCATTTTAACATGAGAATGCCTTTAAGTTAATCAGAACATTCACAGCTGTATTTTTGAAAAGAAAAAGTAACACATTTCAACAATTTGAACTAAAACTCTGATCCTCTCATCAGACTTCTATACTTTCTCACTTGAGCCACTGGCTCAACTTACCACAGAACTACTATTAAGACTTTATTAGTCCTCTAAGCTAAAATGGTGGACTTTCATGTTAGGTTTTTGACCTCGTGTTGTAGCTCATAGATACAACAATTAATGTATAAAACAAATTTAAAATGATCTTTTTTGGTCTGAACACAATTCTAATAAAAAGTAAGACAGACTCAATTCACTTTCAAAAGTAAAAAATGTTTTTTTGGAAATAAATGTCTAACCCCTTCACCCATGTGCTTCTAACCTTCACAGACTCCATGAATTGATGCCCTTCTCCTAAATATTTGGTCACATGATCAATTTCTTTTACCATTTCCAAGAAACAGGGAGTGGCTCAACTTACCCTTTGGCTCAACTTACCCCACTCTCCTCTATGTCCAAATATTCAAGAGGAAGCGCTCTTGTGTTACTATTTGCTATTTTAGTGTTGATATTTGTTGAATCGGTGAGTACTTGCACCCGTAGGTCAAAGTAATTTCAGTGAAAGGCTCTGTCACTTTGATATGGATGATTCACTGTGAAATCATTGTTTTTCAAAGGGTTTATTGCCACTTTTAGTACTTGAGTGGAAATTTCACAACACATACTATTAATGTTTTAATGGCAAGTTTTATGTGTAAGACCGGATATATTTTTCAGTCTGAGTCATAAAATATGGCTGAATGATCTGATTTTGGTAACCAACTATTCATCCCAGCAGATAAATGACATCAGCAGCAAAATAACATCTTGGCCAATAAACACTTCAAGTCTTATAAAAAAATATTATACCAGACTGAATTTGTTTCCTAATAACTGAAATAAATAGGCGCAGTACAACTATAGTAACAGACCCAAGTGGTTTGTATTTTTAGATATTTCCTTTGTGCTGCTTTGCCCTTGTTACTCAGCATTTTGCACCAAAGGTCATGCTCACCATAAGGATAATTAGCCTGGCCTTTTCAATGAGGTAGAGGTTGTGGTTAACCGAGCACGATTTACTTCTCTATAGCTGCTCTGAGGCACACAGCCCTCTACTTCTATGACAACAGGCAGCGTCATCCCTCTTATGGGACTTTGGGACAGCAGTGGAAAACAATTATCAACTCTGCAGTCAACAAGGAACAGCTAATAACTTGAGCACTTTCCACACCTGCTGAGCACCGGCAAATCCAGACCTATTTGTTTCTCAAAACCCTGCTGACAAGACCGGTTACAGAGCAAAGACTCAGGCAAACCTTGTTTACTACATTGCATTGCCATGGAAACAAGCACATCCTTTTAAATTCCTGCTAGGTGCTTTACCAAACATCCAAAGAAAATTACACATAATCGTGGAAGGTGCTCAGAGTCTGATTTCTGCTTTTGTCTGAGCTTTAAAAAGGGACACAGGAATGAGACATGCTACAGGCAGAAGAATTATGAATTTAACAGACGCTGTCAGCTGCTGAGGCAAGCTGTCAAGGAACAGCTCTCCAGTTAGGTCAGCAGCTGAGTTACAGGTTAATGTGTGGGACCTAAAAGGCAGAGAAGGAAGTTGGAAGAAAGCCTGAGGCATCAATAGATGAAGAATGACCTTCAGCAGAGCAAAGAAAAAAAAACAGTGATCACACTGTCCCGACTCAAACTGACAAGCTGTAACAGAGTTCAGCTGAGGCTTTGAAATGGACTCTGCCCTGCTCCAGCAGACCAGGGAAAAACTGAACTGTAAACAACAAAAAGAGGTATTCAACAGAACTCCAAGTGAAAAGTAGGACACGATTCAGTCCTAATATTTTTATTTTAAAACCTTTACGGATCGCCTGAAGGGAAACGCCATTTCTAATTAGCAACAACTTATTATTGCTAATTAGAGCTCTGCCCACAAAAAAGTCTCATTAGGAAGCAAAATGAGACTGTTTTGTTTGTTTTTAGACTTACAATTATACTGCAAATATTTGGGAAATATTGATACATGTAATTTTCAAAGCAAATATTCAAACTTATAAGGGTTAGTTTCTGTTAAATGTCAGTGTGAATGGATTTGCTGAGTGCACTTCAGAAAATCAGATAATGCCTTTAATTTTTTTCTAGTAATTTCATTCAGTCAACTTTAAGACTCTAACAAACTCATTACATGTAAAGAAAGATATTATAAAGCTATTTTTATTTTAATATAAATAGTTATGGATTTTTTTCATGTCATTTAGAAATTCAGTCACTAACAAAATCAAAACATTTCCTACGATCAACCAAAGGCAGGGTTTAAAATTAAGAAATGTTCAATTTGTTTATTTTATGCGGTGGAAAGTGCTGAGCCCTGGGCAACATTTTAATAAAGCTTGTCAGCAGATGGAAGCATGAAGTGCTCTAAAATCTTCTACCAGACGGCTGTGTTGACTCTGGACTTAATAAAACACAACGAACCAGCACCAGCAGATGACATGGCTCCCCAATTCACAACAGACCGTGGAAACTACACTCTAGACCTCAAACACCAAACCAAGATTGTCTCTCTCTCGTCTTCTTCGTGTCATCTCTCCTTATGTCCAAGAAACCACACCAGAAGAAAGGTTCCTGTTATTCATTTGACTGTTTACTCTCGGATTAATTCTCCTGATGAAGCTGCATATTATATTTTGTGTATAACCAGAGCTGTCTTCATATATAGATGACTTTGTTGCTAAACTGCAGCTAATTTCAACTTCTGGTGATGCAAGCTCACAAGCAACAACTTTATTCTGCCTTAATGTTATTTGTATGTCTAATAACCAGTATGCCATGACCACCCACTGTGTATTCACTCAAATATAAAGAGCAGCTGTCCCTTTTTTGATCAGGTCAATAAAATCTGAAAATTCAGAAGCTTCCTGAGTGGAATTTGAGGTTGAGCTGTTATATTAGGTAAAATTAAATTGCCCAGATATTCATGTTAAGGCTGGTCGGTGTAAGCACTAATGTTCAATGTTAAGGACAAAATACTACAACTTAACCTTAGTCGAACAGATCTGAGAGCAAATACTCATCTTTGTGGTTTTAAGTCTCATCCACCCCCAGAGTGTCATGTTTTCAGTGAGTCAGCTCTTACTCATGTACAATCCTCTTGTTCATACCCAACCAACTCCAGCATGTTCAGTAAATGTCGTGCAGAGTTCAAAGCAAATGAAGGATAGATGCTGGAAGAACAGTCCTGTTAAGTGTGCCTGTGTGTTATGTTGCCATTTATTAAGAGTAAAACTGGTGGTAGTGATGGGTTTCATCGATAAGCTTCATAGTTATCTTAACACTCAGAGGAAGGACAAACTATCAAACAGACTTTGAATCAATTGCAACTATTTTTTTATTGGGTCAACAAGTGCAATACTGCAAAAACAAACAGTTTAGATAAGACCTGTGGTCTTCAAAGAGCTTCAACTTAGTTTTATTTTCTAGACATCTTCATAATTTGAATTCAGCTTAAAAATATAAGTTACTTTAAACTCCTTTATTTTAATGTATTTCGGCTACATTATCATATATACTTCAACCCAGGAGACCCAATTTCTAAATCCTCAAAAGAACAAAAGAAAATAGATCCAACTTAAAACTACAGCTCTCAGAAGCTCAAACTTAAAAATCAAAATTTAGTGTCTAGATGTATTTCATTTAACACTTGAGTGGTGCAGCCTCAGGCTTCTCCTCCACAGAGCGAGGCTTTTTGATGCCAAACAGATTGCGCAGGTTGACTTCTGGGTCAACATAATGCGGGATTTTGCGTTCGTTGAAGAGGCCCGAGAGGTTGGTTTCCACTTTGGTACGCCGGGAGAGCCGCATGCGCATGGCAAAGAGGCGGTGTAAGTTCTCCTCCACCAGGGGCAGATGGTGTCCATCCAGACGCTTCTGCCAGGACTTTTTAGGACGCTGGCGTTTCTGTTGGCCGAGGAAATAACACGGTTTATGTCAATAGTTTGAGGAAAAATTTGGAGCAGATATTTTGACATGTTTAGACATCAAATCATCTAAAAGCTTTTCAGATAAACGTTTCCTTCATTCAGTGAGGACACACTAGAACTCGAAAGAGACTTCTATGATCAATAACCCCCAGGCTGAACAGTTATAGCTCAGCTTTAATCCATATCTGAACTTTAGCTGAATGACTCACTTACCTTCAAAGAGGTGGCACTTGTGTCATGGCGAAGCAGGTGTCTGGTCATACTCTCCTGTAAAGTAGAACAAACTGATAATGTTATACATAATTTAACTGTATATGCATAAGAAATGTGTAGATCTCATGCCAGGCATCCTAATTAATTTGTATTCTCCTATAAATGTCAGTTTTGCATGCAGTAAAGCCCTCCAGGAAATGTTTTTGAGGCTAAAGTCTGACAAAATAAAAATAGTAAACTCTCTAGCAGATGTGTCGCTTACCCGCATAGCAAACACACGTGGACAGTCGGGGAAGGAGCATTTATATTTCAGGAGCTCAAGGTGCACTTTACGAATGTGGTGCTGCAGGTTAAAAGTCGTAGAAAAGTAGGCCTGGCAGTCATCTCTAGGACAAACCAGCACAGGCTTGTGGGAAGCATGGATCCGTTTGTGCCTCCGCAGAGCATCGGCTTTCTTGAACACCTTCTTACATGCATGGCATGTGAAGGAGGCTGAAAAACATAGTCAGACATTTAGACATGAAAAAAAAAAACAGTATGTAGAATTACCCCTTGTAAATCTACCCAAAAAGGATCTGTGTCTTTCTCAACCATAGGATGGAGCACCAAAGTTAAAAAAAATTTAAAAAAGCCCGGTCAGCAGTCAGGTCTCAATGAAGCAGTTATTTTATTGATCAAAAAATTTTGAGGGAAATCAACAGAAGCAACTAAACAACAGGTCTAACCACGGAAGAAAACTCCAGCCTCACAGCAGGCTGTTACCAGCCCCACACACACACACCTGGAAATGTCTGGCTGCTCTTTTTAAAAACACACTCAGGAGCTGCACACTGATCACTCAGGCACAGGTGAACTCACTTGATATAATCAAGGTGCTGTGGGGAGAGTGGGTCTGGTGAAAAGGCATGGGGAAGCCTTTTCACACAGAAATAATTTATTATTCAACATATCTGATTTACCTGGATGTTTGACCATGTGCTTCTGGAGTTTTCCCCAGGTGCGTTCAATCACCTGACAGTTCTCATGAGGGCAACGGTAGCCTGTAGAGACCGAACAACAAGGCAGGTGAGCCAATCATTGAATCATACAACATCAGCATGCATCAGCGAGGTTTCATTAAACAAATAAAGATATACATATTTTATCCTGAAAGACTTTCAGGGCCTTTTTCTTTCCTCAACAGAAAGGGAAAGTTAAAGACAGTATCACCTGCATGCTTTTTCTCATGGGCTTTGCGGGCAATATGGGAGTTGAAAGTTGCAGCACACCCGTTCCTTGAACACCTAAGTACCCCATGGAGACAGGAAGAGGTAAAAATAAAGACAGTAACTGGGTCAGTGACCTGGCATTTGTTAAACCCCTATGTGCAAAATCTATGCCATGTGTTAAATCAGACCAACAGTGTTGTATTACTACAGACATACTTGAATTTAGCAGCCACTTCATGTTGCTTTAAGTGTAGTTTCAACAGTCTACGTTTTTTGAAAGTCAAGGAGCAATTCGGCTGTTTGCACTGTGGGAGAAAAACACCGAAGTGGTTAAAAAAGGCACAAACGACCATAAAAAAGAGGTGTAGCTAGTCAACATCCAGGGCAGGGCTTTATCCAAGTGGCACTTTGTCGCCATCTCGTGGACACAAACCTAGTCATACAAACCTTGAAATACTTGTCTTTGTCCCCGTGGACGTAGCGCACGTGCCTCTTGAGCTGACCCGTGTTGAGGAAACTCTTCACGCAGCTCGTGAATTTACACCTGCGGATAAACTGGAGTTAGTTGTCGTCAGAGGCAACAAAGTCAAATAGCTTAACACCTGTAACTTACTTGAACTGCTTCAAGCCTCTGTGTTGAAGCATGTGGCGGCTCAGGTGGGACTTTCTCGTGAAACGCCGACCACAGCCTGCTATCGCGCACTGACACGGGCGCTGTGGACGTTTGGTTAAACATTCAAACCTCAGTCAACTTTATTTGATTTTTTTTTGAAAGTTTAATATAGTCTGTAACCAAGAAACCAGACATTTGTGCTGTAGTTTTTCACAACTTGCTAAGTGCAACTTGTAAGGCGTTCCTCACCGCCCCGGTGTGCGCCGTCTCGTGCTCCTTCAGCCTCCACTGTCTGGTGAAAGTCGCTCCACAGTTCGCGTGGGAGCAGTTAAACAGCTGCAGTGGCGGACCGCCAGCAGGTTTCCCACAGCGGATTCCGTTCATTTTCTCTAATGTGTGAACTCTTCTCAAACAGAAAATGTCTTAATGTGAGGCCGCCGCGGTTGTCAGCTCTTCTTATAGCTTCTTGAGAGAACTCAATTGGTTAATTGGCAGCGTGGGGCCACCAGGCTGTGAGTCAGACAGCGCACGCTGCTCATCGATACATCACATCGCAATGCTAAGGATGGAAAGCTGAAACTCATTAACCTAATTACCCTGCAGGGTTCAGCTGTGTGAAAAGAAGCGTGAAACAGGCATGTCAGTACATGTGCCAGCTGCCCAAAGCACACAGGGTCCTGTGATTGATCAAGAAATAATGCATGCTGGTTTACAACGATGCAACTTTCGCGTGAGATAGTTAACAGAAATCTGGGGACCCCAATATAACCTGGTGGTAAAGACTTTAAATGGCCTCCTTTGAGGATCCATGACACCTTAAGCACCAAATCCCTCTGGTTGTCCATTCTGATTCAAAGACTGTATTATATTCTTGCTCTGAAGACTATAAACGTACATTTAAATATTCTAGTTAATGGAGATTTTTTAAAGCTCTCATAGTCACTCTGACTCCACTCACAGTTGTGCATCATCATATTGGTGAAGTGTGATACAGTTGTCCATGCTGCAGAGGGCAGTGTGTCTCAGACTTTCAAGACTCCCACATTCGGCTTCCTCTTTTTACAGTCATTTTAGTGAAGGCTTGAGAGGATTACATCCCACCTTTTTTATCCCTTCACTCTGCTGTAAAATATCTCACTACAGGGTCCCTGATTAACTTGAATTGCATGTCCCAGCTTGTATTAAGTGAGACTTTCTCTACCGCTTCCTTAACCTCCAAAGATGGTGTTAACCTCCGATTTATCTCAGAACTGGATATCTTGAGATATTTCATTATGATCACGTCTGCAGGTGGAGATCTATTGAATCAAATTCTTAATTTTTATCCAATTGCCTCACACCCTGAGGAACCACTGGTCTAAATAGCTTACTATATGTTTCCAAAGTCAAAGCAGCCCTGACTTTACACTGGTGTCTTTTTAGTTTATCAATTATATCTGCACCAATCAGCAGCCATTCATTGTTTTTCTGATTAAAAAACAGCAACAGGACTTTGCATGTGGTGTTCAAATACAGAGGAATCATAGATGTTACTTAGAGGCCTGTTTTCCCTAATAGGCCAAAAGGAAAATTTGGTGCTGTGCTCTCACTGCTGCTCTTCCATCCATCTCCTCTCCACTGTCTCTTACTTCCTGGTTGTTTCAAACTGAGGTAGATGAAATATTCAGAGGGGGCTGTCAGTATGATGTGCCTGCATTAGAGGGGTGTGTTGCAGGATCACCACTGGAAGACTCATCTGCATGAAGGAGCAGGTCACAGGGTTCAAACAGCTTCATATGAGGAACTGCTGATGTTCAGATGTTCTTTAATTATAGTTTTATAAGAAGCTAGTTGTGTATATGCTGGAAATCTCTCTTTGAGACATATTTTAACTAACACAGGATCTGTCATATTCACCTGAATGACAGATTTATGGACAGTCTAAGTATTTTACCCTTTTTACATTCTTATGGATTGTATCATCCTAAGTATTGCTGTGAGGGATGGTGGCTTTTTTGACGAGGCTAACACATCAGGATTTTTTATTTCACAATAAGAGGGACTGGGGTATGTTGTCCAAAAGGCTGGATGTCAGTGTTTATTACAACCAAACCTAAGGCTCTGTGTCATCAGGTTCATATCAAACATTTGATCTGATGCAATTTTCCTCTCTGAGGTGAAAAGACATTTCGTGGAGTATTTTTTTATATATAGGTAATGTTTTTGAATGGATGGGTTAATGTTGAGTAGTTAATTTACAATCAAATATTGTTTGATTGTTTGCTCATCTGTTGTGAGTTTTGATTTGTACCTAGAATGTTAGCTTGTCAGCTAATGCCATGAAAAGCTGTCACAAATCTTTGCCAAGAGGTCAGAAGGGGTCACTTTTAGGGTTACCACTCTAACCCAGATTTTTGTTGGATATGTTCTGGGTTGTTTTTTTTGTTGTTGTTGTTTTATCAGCTCAGAAAGACAGTGGGTATGAACATGATCTGATAGAGTCCATATTGTCTCATACAACAAACACAGTCTTTATCTTTTTCTCACACATGCATCCATAAAACAGAAACTTTAATAAGCATAGGCCTATAAGACTTTAAATCTGCAAAATTGCAGTTCTGAATATCTTAATTATATTTGATGAAATAATTCATGAGATAATTCAATCACACAGACAAATGCACAATGCACAATCTTATTTCTACCTAAATCACCTTTAAAACTCCTTAAATTGTGTCACCATGATGGGGTTGGTTATCATAGTGTGTTTGAATATCTTTGATGGGTGATAACTTGCTGTTAAATTAATTTTCAAGAGTGCAAGATACCATTTCTGTAAGTTTTTGTCAAACATTGTGGGATGGATTGATTACGAGGGTGACAACCACTCTGGTCTCCCCTATAACTGCCTGGTCTTTGCCGGATGAATTCTTGCTAAAACTCTGTATTTTATGGGATAAAGCCTGAAACCATGCTTTACTTTGGATGCTGGTCTATTTCTGAATTTAAAGAGGAGGCCAAATGTACAGTACCTCCCTGGAAGCTCAAAGCACACCAAAACTCATTTTCTTTCTAAGATGTTGTCCGTTCACTTTCTTAAAGACATCTACAGTTCCAAGATCCATAAAAGTTTTTGTGTAAGAGCATAAAGTGTCACAGTTGCAAAAAGTGAAACCCCTTTCTCAAAGGATATCAACTCTTGAATACACACAAGGATTTTTAGCATGCAAATGATATATTTCTTGGCTAATTGATAACCTGTTTCTCAAACAGATTTTAAATTATCTGCAGTTATAAAAACCTTTTTTAAAGTTTTTGGTAGAGTGACCAAGGTTTATGTGGTTTAATTTAAAGTTTGTGTTAATGGTACTTGGCTTCTGTCAAACCAGCTGATTGGTTTCCACAGAAACAGAGTTTAAAACACCTGGGCCTCTTGTGTTTCAGTCCTCTGTAGGTCAGGACACACCTTTATCCTTTGCATAACTATCAGTTTAATGTCCCGTCATTCTGATTTATACTTCCACATTCACACACGGAGTTACATTGACAAAATATCTACATTTATGAACCATAACCCCGTGTATGGCTTTCCTCCGGCCGTGCAGCTGGAAAGCAGCAGCCGGGCTGTCGCAGCCTCTCCCTGCACAGAGCTGCATGGAAACGAGAGAGGGAGGCTGCCTGGGATGAGGGAGGGTACCACGGTCCCACGTGTCCTCCTCACCGCAAACCTAACGCTTTTCTCTCCGCTTTTCCCATCCCTTCGTTTCCGCATACCGCAGATTCGCAAATACACACACGCACACACATAAAGGCTTATCCATACGCACCCGCAGCCCTGCGGAGCTATGCGTCCGCGGTGCTCATTACCGTTTTACCACCTCGATCAGTCTTTGGGCCTGTATTGATTATCGCCACATGCATAGGTTTTGAATCATTTTTCATCTTTCTGATATGCAAATGATGATCCTCAGAGTCGCTGTTGTCCGGAGCTGAGAGGGCGACAGAGAGAGAGGGAGATGAGAGGACGCGCAGCATCCGATGTTTAGCAGATTCACGCTCGATTATCGCCATCGTCTCTGCTCTGCGCCTTTTTGCTGTTTTCTGTCCCTCCATCAGCCGGACGCGTTACATCTTTCGACTCTCGATGCTGTAATCCGGGGGAATATGTGAAGATCATGCTGGCGGTGTGGTGCTTCATGGTCTTTGCTGCAGTGGGCGAGAGGTTTGCAGTCTCAGGTAAGAGCGAGAGAGAGGAGAGAGAGGGGGATTTGGATAGAGAGCGGGAGCACCCCTTCTGTTTTTCTGTGCATCCACATTTTTTCCCCTTGCACCAGCACTTTTGTAACCCCGGTGCAGGCTGTGATTTTATTGTAGCGGGATCTCGGTGCCAACCAGCCCACTGGCCTGACAGCCCTCTCTGCTGCGGTATATTTGCTGCATCAACACATTTCCATCGCAGCCCTACAGGCAATATCCAGAGTACCCTGAACCATTTCAAGCGTCGTTTTATCCAGTTAACATCCAAAAGCACCATGATCTAACGTGTCAGTCACCAAGACGATTTCAGCTTAATTAATGATTGCTGGGATTTTAAGATGCTCAGGCCCTGATTATAGGGGCATCAGTCAACCACACTACCCAGCCTACAAGCTCTACAGCCATTGAATTCCACCAAAACCTCAATGAACAGTCATGTTGGTAACATTTCTAAAAACAGATCAAAGTATTAGAAAATGTGACTAGATAGCTTGATAAATTAGGTCACAGTCTGTCAGTGTCTATAGAAAACACCCACCCCATGCTGTCACTGAGAACAACCTCTGCCATTTACTTTACCTCCACATCACATCCAGGTGCGAGTTAATCCGACACAGGTGTTTCCTTACCTTGCAAAGTTCTCTGCACACCTACAGGCTTTGGGTCAGAGTATCTGTTGTGCTGTTTACAGGTTTGAACAGGAGTCCGATGCAGGATGGCACAGGGCTGTGGGACTGGTTTACCCCGGCGGGGTGGTTGGACAGTGGGGACACTGCAACTGAGATCATCTACCCGAAGCGACTGGTGCAGCAGATCGAGTCAGAGGAGGAGATGGCTCATGAACACCTGGATACCAGGGTGAAAAACAGCACAGGGGAAAATTTGGTATGTGGTGCAGAAATTACAACTCTCTAAGACAAAAGATCCCTGGATATGTTTGTTTTCCCCTTGAATCACTCTGCACTTATTGTCAGCCCAGTTTGGGGTGCAGAAACATACAAACGTGCCTAAAAAGTTATTAGCATTTCCCCAGCAGAACAAGTGATCGTCACAGTGCCCAGCATAAGTCAGTATACCCCCTATTAAAAGTAATGTATTGCTCAATATCTAGATGAGCCAAAGTACAATTTTCAAAGTTTTGACAAAGCTGAGTTTAACATAACATTTTATTTACCGTAAGATGAAAATAAGGGTGGTATGGTGACTAAAATTTAGCTTTGCCCCCATAACTTTGATTGGCATGTACTCATTTTTGCATCCTGAATGTACATTGAAAAAAAAACCTTTTCTGTATGCAAGTTAAAAAATCTTGTTTGCAATCAATGGCCTACATTTCGGGGAATATTTTGTTGTATTGTCTGACATCGAAAATCTTGATTTTGAAAGGAAACCAAAGGTTTTCTAACAACTCCAAAGGGGTGCAAACATTTATGCTGAGCACTGTAATTCTCACTGACATTTGCTCAAAATATCCCAGTCTAAGGAGTTATTGTTAAATCAGACTATTATCTCACATATTACAGACAAGGGAAGTTCATTTATAAAGCAACTTTCAGCAACAAGGCGATTCAAAATCCTTAACACACAACCTTAAAAGAATCATAACAGAGGCGAGCAAAACAGATTAAAGAAATCACTTGGAAACCATCAATAGTGACATTTAAGATCATTGATACAAGAATGAAAAATCAGAGGCAGAAAAAATAGAATGAAGTTGAATGAAACAGGCAGAAGAGTTATCGTGAAACGGTGGTGTTCAGTGTCCTCGAGGAGGTTCAGGAATCCTTTGGAAAATTTGACGTCTATTTTCGGCTCGAATCTTCACTTAAGACGATTCACCACTGGTGTCACTTCAAGTCTGTGTGGGCATATGAGCGCGTGACAGCAGCATCAGACTGTTTTTCTGCTGATTTTTCTAACCCTGCACCTGTGCATCACTCGACTCTCTGCTACTCACGATTGCTCCTGCTACACAGTGATGACAGTGCAGGGTCTTTGCAGCAGTCTCCACTCCCTGCTGTGATTTTGACCCAGTTAGTCATTCAAAATCCCCTCGAAATGTCCACAAAGGAGTATTTGTCGGTGCTTTTGTTTTCCAGCCTCTTACTCTACTCCCTAACTCGAGTTGAGTAACACCTGGCAACAAGTTTTGGAGCTAAAACCTTGTGACCTGCTTCGTGTGCTACAAGAGCATTGTAGTGAAAGCTTTGTTTGTCAGAGAGATGTTCAAGTGTTTGCGTGTGCGTGTATGTGCTGGCCCTTTTATCCACATGACAAAGCTAGGCCCTCTGAAATATTCAGTCATCATGTCCCATCATCCGGCTGCAGTGATGAACCCCCCCACTTCTTCATTATTCAGAGATGTGTTGAAGTGTGTCCCCATCAATTATGAAAGAGGCCTGTGTTAGAAGTGCTGCATGGTCCAAGAGGCTGAGCAGTCCTCATCCCTGCCCCCCAGCCCTTTTTTCTCTCTGTCATGTTATTATGATGTATTCCACATAACAGAGAGAGCACATTAAGCCACTTACACACACTGAGTCACTTGTTTGAAGACTACAGCCTGGGTAATTGTTCATGCCTCTTGAAGAGAAGCTTTCCTAATTATGATGAATACAAATAAAAATCACATAATTCAGTACACAGGTAGATCTGGTTTTGATATTTACTCTTTCAGCTGCCAAACTCATCCAGACCAGCTGTGTCTTGTTTGAAATATTTAAGATGTGAAAACCAATAGACATCATAAATTTAGAAGCATCAGGAAATGATTTGAACCTTTTCTTTCTTTTCCGTCACATCGAGCTGCCTTGAAAGAAGGTGATGCAGCACTTTTGCCTCATTGAGTTTGTTATTTTGTTTCTTTGGTGTCCTCATTTTGTTGTGTTCAGCTGGCACTGACAGACAGACAGACTGCTAGATGAAAAGCTTCAAATGTCTGTGCAAAGAGACACAAATGGGATTAAAGTTATTTCAAGGTTTCAAGTGCTGAGGTTGATATATTTGGGACAGGATACTGATAGTTGGATATCCTGCTTCGAGTAACTCTTATTTCTGCTGTAGTTTCTACTACAGCATTCAATGCAGACACTTTGGACATTCTCACATGATTAAACACTTCAAACTAAACTCAACATTGGATATTTTTACAAAATTGAAAATGCTAAAAGCTATTCACCCAAAGTACATTGTTATTTATCCTTCTGTTGTGAGGAGGATCATGGATCAGACTGTCCAAGCTTGTAAAATGTAAAATATGACTGGATGTAGTAGGACTGGGCGACAAACTGAAAATTTACCGATACCGAAATTTATGACAATAACCAACGTTATTTTGCCCATGTCAATATATTTGGTGTAAAAATAAAAATAAATATAAGTTGGTTTTGGATGTGTGTAGGTGGGCTATGGTCTCATGTCCCTTTAAGACGCTGTCCTACATTGGAGACGGGACTCCACCCCATCCAGTCCGTAACAAAGAGGGAAAGACAGGTGAGGAGATGGAGGACGGTTCAAAAGTTGTAGCGGCTGGAGCGACTGCTGAAGTAGATGAAGTTAATGTGGGAAGGGGTGAGCAGCTTGTGGAGTAATTATCGTCCATTTATCGTTATCAAGGTGAACTGCTCAATAGATCGTGATGTTGATTTGAGGCCATATCGCCCAGCCCTAGGAAGTAGTAAGAGATATATATGGCATAATGCACTTGACATGCATGCACAATTTGGACAAAATACTTCCACTTGTGATATTAATAAGAAGTCTTGGTAGATCTACTGAGGGGAAAATGATGTATGCACATATACACATCTACAACAATGACTTTGTGGCCTGATCATTTTGTAAGAATAACACTTCAGTCAAATGTTTTATAACATTTTAGACCTGGAAAAACCTGATTTTAAAGCTTTCATGAATGTTTATTTCAAATCTCTGCTCTGATAAAGGTCATGCAATGCACAAGTAAGTGAAGCCAATGCTGGACTGTAACTGCACATATTTAGAGCCACAATGGACACCATGCTTTAGCCTCTCCAACACAGTAGTAAGAAATGTGTTGTTTGTGATCACGTGAGGAAATGATTCCTGGATGGTGATGCATTTATTGTAAAAGCCCAGTGATTCACTGCAGCCTGGTTCCTCCAGACTGAGATCAAAGCCACACTGGCACAGCCAGAGACACTCTGTTTAGTCTGCAGTCGATCTCTCTCTCTCTCTCTTTCTCTCTCTCTCTTCATCCCTCTCTCTCCTTGCCCTGCTGTCTCCTCACCTCCTCTGGCAGATGTCCATTGGGGACATTTGCACAGCAAGCCTGTATGCAGACGGTACCAAGCAAGTTTTTCTTCCTCCACCCCATCTATCTCAATCACCAAATTGCAGCCTAGCTCTTAAGCAGCCATAGCTCTCTCCTGTCACGGTGCCAGAATGCTGGCTGCCAATGTTAATCAATGGAGTATTTATCAATCACAATATTTCAGCTGCTGGGATGCTTTCAGAGCGTACACAGTATTGATCCTGTTGAATTATTCATGGCATTTTTTTTCCAAATCACTCTCGTGGCTTTCACAGAGCAGCAGACTTAACCACAATTGTTTTGTTACATTTCAATTGATCAGCTATCTAATTTGTCTCTGTCAATGTTGTTGTTTTCTTTTTCAGCCTGTTCATTTGGCACAAAGCTGTTTTCAAGTCGAAGCCTTTGGACACACCTTCACTCTGGACCTGGAGCTTAACCAGTGAGTATTACAGTCCCACACCATCAGATCTGCTGTTGTGTGCACGCCGGTATCAGTAGGTGCTCTTAATTTACTGCAGCTGTTCTCATTAGCATTTCCCCGCACTTAAGCTAATGCACTTAGCGCCCTTATTATGTTACGTGACAAGATGGGGAATACCAATGCGCCACACACACACACACACACACACACACACACACACACACACACACACACACACACACACACACTTTAGCTTTTGTGAGCTTTTACTGATTTTATTAAATTAACCAAATCAAGTGATCACTGATTTTTTGTGAATTGCATTTGAGACAGGAGAAAGAGGTTGATGAAACCAGTTTTGAGGATTATTTCTGATGTTTTACAAATCTTGTTGACTGCATCTTCAAAGATTATATGATGGTCTTCCTCCTGTCTTTCAGTCACCTCCTGTCTTCAGATTACGTGGAACGGCACTTTAACAAAAATGGCAGACCCTCTCAGTCAGTGGTGAGTAAGTGTGTGAGGGGCAGAGGTGTGCATACTGACAGGATGAACTTGTGGTTTTTGGCACACTGAAGGCTGCATATTAACAAGATGACCAGAGCCGCCTTGGAGCATTCAGTATATCCGACTGTGTCACGTTTTACGCCAGTGCTGAAGCAAATTTCGATGCATTTCCTTGAGTTGTCTAGACCACTTTACTTTTTTAAATTTCCAATGCTCCATGTGTATCCAAAGGGCGTCTCACTTAAATCTGTTGGTTTAAAATCCAAATGAAGAAACAAAAGCGATCCTTTTTTGTTTTTCTCTTTTAAGGCCGAGTGTGTGATGTGCTATTTAAATTTCCTCCTTTTATCTTTTTATAGAAAGTGCTTTGTTTTCTCGCTGCTTCAAAAGTAGGCTGCCATGTAGCTATTAATACAATGTTTGTTACTGTGCTCTGCAAACATGGGTTTTTCAGTCAGAATACATGCCTCCCTTCAGATCAGGTGAACAAACTAAGAGTAAACAAGGAAGAGAATAAAAGCCATGACATCTAATGTGATGTTTACTCATCAGGTCAGACTGGAGGAATGTCTTTGCATGCAGATAGCCAAGAGGGATGACTAATGGCTTTTTTTCCCCAGTACTATTGTGACACTTTCCCAGCTCCCACCACCACCACCACCACCAAACCACCCACCTACCCAGCTCTCCTTGTCCCCACCCACATTCGCTCCAAACTCTCCCTCGGTTCCCCCGGCCAATCGCAAGCTTGTTTCCATAGCAACAAGATAGCTCAGCAGTGTCATTAAGTTCTTGGCAGCAACGAGAATGAAAGAAGAGCAAGAGGGAGGGAAGAGCGGAGCCAGCGTGAGAGGCGGTGGAGGAAATGTGAAGAGTAAAATGCTGGTTATTATAAAGCACAATGAGTTTTGGGGAAGAGGTGGAGTCAATCTGAGCGTGTGTGTATACGTGCGGTCATAGACAAACGAGGTGTTCTCAGAGCGGCGGTAGAAAGAGGAGTCATGATGGGCCAGGGATGGAGACCTGTAGTCAGACCAGATTGTGGCTCAGCTGGGTGGAGGCCTCACGTGAAGCTTGTGATGCTGCTTTTGGACATGACAGGTGTAATGCACCGAGCCAGTGCGTCATCAGAGGAAACTCTGTCATCAAAGCAGCTCTAGTTCTAAAACAATAAAGCACCCTGCTGAACTCAGTGTGATCCAGGTGAATCAGGGTTCTGACTTTCACCTTTTCTGGTGGTTCGTCCTCATGGCTGTGGTTTTTTAAAGAAACAAATCTGCACTTAGCTACAAAATAAACCCATGGCAAGGTCAAGAGCAGAGGCCTTTGCCTTTTTCACTCATCTCTTGAGGAATTAAATTGCAGCCGTCTTATTGTGCTGTATTATTGGTTTGGATCGCTTCATGGTTGTTTTGAACATAATCTTCTAATACACACTCATGCATTGTGCAAAGGTTTTGAAGGCAGTGACCGAGCTTATCACATGAGATAGTCCCAGTTGCATCCTGTCTCAGAGTTTGAGCCAAAGTACTGACAGAATTCCGTATAAATTATCTCCATCCGGTCTCCAACACAAGATAATTGTCCGAGGATAATGCCCAGCCCTGTATGGGGTAAAACAGTCACCCGGACAGTCACCTCGGCAGTGACCAAGCTTATCACATGAGATACTCCCAGTTGCATCCTGTCTCAGAGTTTGAGCCAAAGTACTGACAGAATTCTGTATAAATCATCTCCATCCGGTCTCCAAAACAAGATAATTGTCAGAGAATAATGCACAGCACTGTATGGGGTAAAACAGTCACCCCATACAGGGAGGCTGAAGGCCGAAGCTGTCGATTGGACTAGTTTATAATGGTTATGTCTGAATACAAAAAGATAAGCAGCACGTCAGACTGTCAGGGAGATCAGGGGATAGGATACTTGGTGCCGGTGATGGGTGAGTGGGTTGGTGTAAGAAGACCCACAAATGGGCAGGGTGCAAACTGGGACCTTTAAAGGTAACATGAGCAAGTTTTAAGTTTTGCCTTTAGTCCCCAGATCCCAGATTATTGTGTAAATAAAAACTAACTGGCGGACTGCCTTGAATTATTCTACTCCAGTAGAGTGGAGTAGAGTACAGGACACAAGTAGGTCACTAAGTGTGCCATAAATGCAGTAATGGGAGGGGGGGCTTGCATGTGCAGAGGTTGTTAGAGGGTTTTCCTCAGAGCTGTGCGCCTTATCAACCTGAAGTGTGTCAGTGGAGGTTGTTTCATGAGACACTGTGTCCACAGGGAGGGGAGCACTGCTACTACCAGGGAAGGTTACGAGGTTTACCAGAGTCCTGGGCAGCTCTCTCTACTTGCCATGGCCTGTGGTGAGCCTGACATGAAAATTTTATTTATGAAATACAGACACACATGACCTGCCAGGTCAAGTTATACATGTTTTGTACATCAATAATTCCCGCTTAATGTGTATGTTTTCTGCTCTCTGCGGTGTGTTCCTCCTTGTCTTGTTTTTGGTCATCAGCGGCATGTTCTCAGACGGCTTCTTCTCCTACGGGATTGAGCCGATTCACAATCGGAGTGATCAGGTATGTAGTCTGTAGGGCTGCACGGTTAATCAATTTTAGATTGTAATCGGATTATTTGATTGTGACGATGTTGAAAAAATTTAAATTGTCAAATCGATTTTCCTCTCCATCGTGTCTCGCGCCTCCAGGCCACCGTAGACACCCCCTTCCTGCGTGAACGCTCCCTAGTTCCCACCACACCAGTGTAAACAAACATGGTGTTTGCAAAAGAAGGCGATCATTTTATGGCTGAATAGGGCGATAGCAAGTCAGTCGTGTGGAATTGGTATGACCTTGCAGTTTCGGACGAAGAGTAAACCACTCCCCGCTGCAAAGTCTGTCTGAAGACGGTATCAACCTGTCCACACGGGAATGAATTCAGGAGTAAACACAAAAGTTTTTTGTCATATCAGTGTTTCATACACATGGAAACTGCGTTTCTGGTGACTGTTAACAGTACTTTTTCAAAAACCTGTACGAGAGTGCATAAACCCGTAAACGACTACCATTTCATCTCTGTGTGGATGCCTATCTGCATCTCTGGAATCGATCATGTGATACACAGCGTAACTCTTTTATGGTGCCTGCGCATGTCCGGCCAAAACAACCTTATGCACTCCATCATTTTCAGTGGTTTTGTTTTGAGAGATGAGAGAAAAACTTTAGATTTTTTAAGTTAAGTTTGGTGAAGTTGTCACTGAATAAAAAATCGAAATCGAGAATCGACCTTTCAGGGAAACAAATAGGGATTTTATTTTTGGCCAAATCGTGCAGCCCTAGTAGTCTGATGACCACAGATGGAGTAAAGTTGACAACATGATCGTAAAATCTGTTGTGTCTAATGTCTTCTTGCTGTATTCTTCTCCAGGATGGTGGTGCCCACTTAATACGCAAGATGCCTGATGTTAGGCTGTCCCCTCACTGTCAAGGTACATAAGCACATTAAAAATCATTGACTCTGATATTACATTAAAATAAAACCCCATTAAATCATTCTTTTCCTCAGTTATTAATATCAGATTTTAACATAATCACACTTCCTACCTCATATCCACTGTCAAAATCCTCTCACAACAAATGCTGCCTCAGTGATTACTGCCTAAGATATTATTCATGCATCCTCATCACTTGCATAACAGACAATTAGTGGCACAGGTTTTTTTGATCTGAGACTGAAATAAAGTTGGTAGCATTAACACTACACTGTACAGAACAAAAACAGTCACACAGCTCTGACTGGCTGCAGTTCTGCTCTTCTATGTGTCCAGACTGTACAGAGGACAGTGAGTGGGAAAGCAGAGGAGGTGATGGTGACGATGACAGATCGGACCAAATGAGGGAGCAGCGGGTGTCTGGGGGGCTGACACGGTCGAAAAGATTTGTCCGCAAGCCCTCTGTGCAGACTGAGACCAAATATATTGAGCTGATGGTGGTCAACGACAACGAAATAGTGAGTCAAACATTAAAAACTGCTGTTTATGAGTATGTCTGAGATCTGCATTGGCGGCTCAGTTTTTCAGGTTGTATCTACCAGTATGATCTGCCTTACCAACCCTAGGGGGTGCATGGATGAAGGGTTGTATTTAAGTTCAGTTCAGGTCAGACAACTTTATTTGTTCCACAAGGGGCAATGTGTGCATATTTATTCATTTATTCAATCAGTCAACAAGATACATAAATAATCAATCAATCAGTCAAGTAAACATGTTTAAGCATGGGACAGAGGGAGATGTCAGGACTTTATAAGTAGCCTACGTATACAAATCGTAGAGCAAGATAAAACAAGATAGGATAAAAGATTCTTTTAAAAGTGAGGTCAAAACAAGGCAATGCAAAAACTGTATAAAAAGCAGTTATACAAATTGGAAAGAATTATTAATAAGAGTAAATAAATAATGGCCTTTTAAATAGAAATCATTTAAAATGGGTGTGGCCTGTGTTTATGAGCTTGATAGCAGAGGTACAAAAAAGGGCAACAAGAAGAGAAACAAGTGGAGGAGGGAGATTTTGTATATTTCCATTTCGAAGTCTAAATTTAAAAAAGTCAAAATTCCAACTTTATTTATGCTGACCTTGATCTCAAAATTTCGACTTTAATCTCAAAATTTTTAATCTCTAAATTTCAACAATATTGACATAATTTTGATTTGTTAATCTTGAAATTTCAACCTTAATTTTGAGATTTCAAATTTTAATTTCAAAATTTAGACTTGATTGACCTAATTTTAATTTTTCAATCTCAAAATCTTGACTTTAATCTTGAAATTTTGACTTTAATCTCCTTTCTGTGATGATTTTTTTTTCTCTTCATGTGGCCCTTATCCTCTCATACAAAGGAAATCAAAGACTTTGAGTACTGATTAGTTTTCTTTTGGGGCACATAATTAAGTCTGTTTTTGCATGCTTTAGTGATACGCAAACGTCTAAGCATGAAAAGGGTCACACAGTGTCACTTTTTATGCATCTTCGTAGACTTAAGGATTTTGAATTAGGTAAAACCCCTCCTAAAAACATGCACCTGACAGTATCAGTGTAACTCCTTATAGTGTAAAGCTAGCTGATTGTAGCTTGAAAACAGGCCTTCTTACATATGCATAGTCTCACTGAGTTTAGTCTCACGCAGTTTATCTATTATTGAGAACAAGACAGAAGAAATCCGCTTTATGAGTCGCAATTTTACATCACTTTTGCGTTTCAGTGGAAACGTTTTTCATAGCAGTTGCATCACTTCTTGTACAAAAATTAAGCCTCATATCAGGAGCTTCAGAAGGTACAAACGTGACTGGCATTTGTGTGTGTGAGAGGGTGAGCATGTGATCCATCCTTTACACCATCTGTGTGTTTCTGCAGTTTGTACAGCTGCGTCACTCCAACAGCCAAACCAAGAACTTTGCCAAAGCAGTGGTCAACATGGCAGATGCGGTAAGAGCTTATTCTCCTCCCACTGCTTATCTCTACACACACACACCACCTGGCGACTTGTGAGTGTGTGCACGTGTGCCTTCTCCAGTGTTATGAAATATCTGATCTCAGATAGCACTCAGTCCTCCATGCACTGAGGATTCACAGCGCAGGTGTCATGCCAACATAGCAGTAGATTGATGGGCGTTATTGGTCCCCAGATCTACAAGGAACAGCTGAACACAAGGATTGTTCTGGTTGCCATGGAGACCTGGACCTCTAAAAATATGATGCCAGTAGTGGAAGATCCATTGATAACACTGCAGAACTTCATGAAATACAGGAAAGACAACATCAGAGAGCAGAGTGATGTTGTCCATCTTTTCTCGTAAGAGACTTCAATATAAAATCCTGACATTTGAGCTCATTTTTTAATGTTCAGATTTCATCTTAAAGTTTGCCTTTCTTTTTCTGTGCATTTCAGAGGACGCACATTTCACAGTAGCCGTAGTGGCACTGCCTACACAGGAGGGGTGTGCTCTCTCACCAGGGGAGGAGGTATCAACGAGGTGAGATCAAGTTTCATAAGACACATTTGCTGTCAGGGATACATTTAAAGTAAAGATGAGAGTATAGCTAAATGTAGATGATGGGAAAAAAACAGCTGTTAGCACTGTGTCGTACAATTTTAGTTAATGACTGACTGGTTCATTTTGATTAAGCTTTCAAGATAGTAAGACAAGGTCAAAAGAAAGAAGAGGCATGTTTTTATGGCAAGTTTATTTCCAGTATGAGTGAATTTAAAAGGATAGTTACATATTTTTGAAATCGGCTCATGTGTCTTATGGCTGAAATTAACATGAGGTTTTTACCACTCCCATGTCTGTACAGTAAATGTTAAGCTGGAGGACAAGAAGGGTAAACTTTTTCTCTCTGAACAAACAAATAATAATAAAATACTCAACCTGGGTCTATCTAAAGGTAAACTCTTGGATTACAAAAATCATACCAGTCCCAGCTGAGAAAGAGTTCAGTAACTAGACCTCTCCATTAGATAGAGTGCAGACAGCAAACTGGTTTAACCATGTTAACTGATAAGGTCAAAGGGTTTTTAAGATGGGCTCAATGCTAGCCTTTCTTGTCAAATCAATTTACATGTGTAGTCGTGGTTGAAGCACATCTGTGACATGTACATGCTTGTATGGTTAAGTCTTCTGCATCACGTGATTAGGCTCTACATTGTGTTTTCTCTCCAGTATGGGAATGTGGGTGCAATGGCTGTCACGTTGTGCCAGAGTCTTGGCCAGAACATCGGCATGAGGTGGAACAACGCTCGCAACTCTGCAGGTAAAAGACAGAGGGAAAGTTTGATATTGCAGGGAGTGGGTGGTGAGGGTTGGAGGAGGTATGGTTAGAGAGAGTGTTTGTTGTTGGCATCTCTGTCCAGCAGTTCTTTTCTGTAATTAAACCTCTCCAGTGATTTGTAACCTACGTCTAAGGAGGAGGAGCGCTAGAAGGCTAGAGCATTGCTGCCATTAAACAATGGACTGTGATTGATGTTGCAGTGCCATCAGGCCTATGACTCAATATGAGAGCAAGAGCTCAGCACACAACCAAAGGCCATTCACTTCTCTCACAGACTATCCAGCGTGCAAAATAACTTTTCTTGTTTATTGTTCATAAATCTTACAGCCCAACAGTATCAGAGCTTAAACGCTGATCTCAATGTGAAGGTTTATTTGTAACTCATCTCTAATCTGTGCTCCTCACCCTCTATGCCTTTATCTCAGGAGACTGCAGGTGTCCAGATGCTTGGCTTGGCTGCATCATGGAAGACACAGGGTAAATATCTACACACCACAGCACAACGTAAAGAATGAAAAGAAATAATCACAACAAACCTGTGGTAAAAAAAATGTTTTCGAGGAAACAATTTAACAGAAGACAGCAGGACTGTTTTCTTGTCGCACTCCCTCCAAGCTGTGATTTGTTCCATTCATTTCACTCAATTAGACAATTAAACACCTGGAATAGGAGGAGGCTTTGACTTTTCTTCAGTCTTCAGTGAGCCAAACCGCTGAGAGTCACAGCTTGTATTTGATGCCTTAAGTGTTTTGTTGGAGCATCAGACATCAGTGTGCAGATAATCACAGTGGTAGTACAAAAAAATTGAATTAGGAGTATTTACTGTACAGTATGACTAATTTGGATTTTCTCTCCTTACCAGACGGGACAATAAAGATTTCAATTATTCAGTTGAGAAATGTCTTTCTACAGATGGTAACATTTTTGTCAGATTGCAAATTGGTGGCACAGACACCCACACGGGATCTGGCATTTTCTACTGGCACTGAGAAATTGTTCTGATTTTAATAAGTTTTTTTTTCTTCTTGGTCATGTCCTGGCCTCGATCTTTGTGCGTGTATGTGTATTTATGTGTATGTCTGTGTGTATTTTTGTAAACAGATACTATCTGCCCAGAAAGTTTTCTCGCTGCAGTGTTGACGAGTACATCCAGTTCTTGCTCCAGGGGGGAGGGAGCTGCCTCTTCAACAAGCCCAACAAGGTGAGGGCTGTGTGGGCAATCACCATCTTCATTTAGAGACTAATTAATTACTCCTACATCTGAAGTTCAATATGAATACATGTCTCTGTCAGGATTAAAGCTTCTTACTTTGTATGTATGCACTCCTCCAGCCAGCAACCTCTTACAGAGCTGACAAGTAATCACTCTCCTGTCTATCTTCTACTCATCTGTCCTCATGTTTGCCCCCCTCTGTCTCTGCCAGCTCTTCGACCCACCAGAGTGTGGGAACGGCTTTGTGGAGCCTGGAGAGGAGTGCGACTGTGGATCCCAAGTGGTGAGACTCCAGCTGCACAATATGAATTAAAACCAATTTTTGACACCTTTGGTCTCTTTGAGAACAGAGGAGTGTGTGCTGTTTGTTCAAAGAGAGCTGAAGGTTTGTTTTTATCTTTGCTGTCACAGGAGTGTGCTCGCAGTGGAGGAGCTTGCTGTAAAAAGTGCACACTTACCCATGATGCCATGTGCAGCAATGGACTCTGCTGCAGTGCCTGCAAGGTGAGTTTGTGATTTGACATTGAGACAAAAAAAGTTAATAAATATCTCTTTATGATTTGTTTTATTTGATACGTATTTTGTCTGTCTTAAAGGGATATTCTGGTGTAAAATTAAGTTAGGGTCAAACACACTAACACCAAGTTAGACATCCCCTCCAGAGATGAATGTTACTGACTGCTTGCACTTCTAGTTATAGTAACTTTAGCAATGACCGCTCAATAGCAATACACAGCGGTCTATGTCTTCATGCGCAAACTTCAACCAAAAAGCCACTTTATAGCCACAAGTAATGCTCAGAACACCACCTAACTTCATCAACAGTACATTTAGGGTCCCAACTATAGTACTAGCCACCAAACATCTTTAGCAAAGAGACCAAACACAACTCACTCACTCTCCTCCAGCAGTCGCTTGTTTGTGAGGGAGCCTTGACGAGTCAATCACCGAGTGCAGTGGAGTTTCGCAGCTCAAGGAAGAACATTTATGATTATTACTTCATGGAAATTCAATCAGACTGAGACACTAAGGCAGAAGAACTACCATGTCTGCAGTGCAAAATGATTATTATGATGTTCCTCATACTGTGCTTTTTGCTGTGCCTCAGTATGAGCGCAGGGGTGTGGTTTGTCGAGATGCAGTAAATGACTGTGATATCCCAGAAACCTGCACCGGAGACTCCAGTCAGGTAGGGATGCCTTTATAAGTAAAGAATAAGACCGCAAGAGAATAAAATTTAGAAAACTACATCTTACTTTCATCTTTACTTGCAGTGTCCTCATAATGTCCACAAACTGGATGGCTACATGTGTGATAACACTCAGGTAAAGACTGCTTTGTGGCTTTTATTTAGTTTTGGTCTGCACATATCTCCGCTGTATATACTTGATGTTTGTGTCTCATCCCCCCAGGGTCGCTGTTATGGTGGACGGTGCAGGACTCGTGATGGACAGTGTAGGGGACTCTGGGGTTATAGTAAGTACAGACCACATGCTTTGTCCAGCTTTGAGGTCTCAATTCTCTTGGGAAGCGCTCACTCTGATGTTTGCTTGTCATTTCAGATTCAGCAGACAGATTTTGTTATGAAAAGCTAAATGCTGAGGGGACAGAGAAAGGCAACTGTGGTCCTGGTCCTGAGGGCCAGGGCTGGCTGCAGTGCAACAAGCCGTGAGTCATTTTGTCACATCATCCCCATTCCCCTGTGCACCGACATTTGAGAGATAAAAAACAATAACTAGGATTTCATTCAAGTGTATTCTCAACTGTATAAAGATAGTTAATTAACAAACACAAAAACAGAGTTGCTTTCAGTGACTTTAAATCTGTAAAGCAAAAGCAGAACTATAACCATCCAGTGTCATCAGTAATAACAATCAAACACTGGGAGTATAGAAGAGAGCCGCCCTGTCGCACTGCAGTGACTTATTCATTTATATAATGCTCCTGTGAGTTGAGGGAACTTGGCTCAGTCCTTTGAGAGAAAACAGGATGACTGCAGTTGTGTTGTTGTGAACAGCTTTTGTTGCATAAAAATGCTAAAATCATTTGTCAGAACTGAATCACCCAAATATGGTCCAAAATCGTGTGCAGAAGTGAAAAAGTTGAACTTCTAAAAAAAACAAAAGGTTGTTGAATGTTGTGAACTCAGCTCGAGTTTAATCTCCATTATCCGCTGATGTTGCTTTGCTCCTGTTCAGGGATGTTTTATGCGGTTTCCTGTTCTGCGCCAATGTAACAATGAAGCCAAAGTTTGGAGACCTGCAGGGTGAGGTGACCAGCTTCACTCTCTACCATCAGAACAAATACCTGGACTGCAGGTAAAAGAAACACAAGCTGACCTAGACTTCAAAATATCTTTAAGCATCTAGTTCCATCCCTGACATGTCTGAATGCTTCTCACAGAGGTGGCCACGCTCTGCTGGAGGATGGCTCAGACTTGGGCTATGTGGAGGATGGCACTCCTTGTGGTCCTAACATGATGTGTTTGGAACGACACTGCCTCCCTGTGGCCGCATTCAACCTCAGCTCCTGCTCAGGATCCAACTTTGGGCGCATCTGTTCAGACCACGGGGTAAAAACACCACAACTTCTTACCCAGTGTTACTTTAGAGATATTACAAGTCAGAATACAAGATTTTTAATGTACATTTTAAATAAGTTCAGCTGCCTTTTCACCCCCATGTTTATTCTCATATACTGTCAGCTTGATCCTCTTATCGCTTGTCTTTCTTGTAGACCTGCAGTAACGAGGTGAAGTGTATCTGTGACAGAGACTACACAGGGAAGGACTGCAGCGTCTTTGACCCCATCCCTGAACCAACAGTCCCAACAGGCCCAGAGAAGAAAGGTCCAGAGCACTTTTTAACATACCCACATCTCTCTTTCTGTCTGCCTTTCACATCCCCCTCATAGTCTCCCCCATCATCGCTGTAGCTTTTTTTGTGTACCTCTCTGGAGCATTCTATTTTGCAATGAAAAAAGATTAGTTCACCTTCTTATTGTGAGAAACGAGTTTGTTTCCGTGGTGGATGAGTGTGGGTGTGTGCTCTGACACATGTATATTGTGTATGTGTGTGTGTGTGTGTGTGTGTGTGTGTGTGTGTGTGTGTGTGTGTGTGTGTGTGTGTGTGTGTGTGTGTGTGTGTGTGTGTGTGTGTGAGGTGATATTGCATATGATGTAGGCACTGCTATCCTTAAGCGTCTTCCTTATTTTCTTGCAGTCTGCCAATGACACAGAGCAATTGAGCAGCTTCTCTCATAGGGCCAAAAGAGCCAAAGCCACTCTGAGCAGGAGCGTGTCCCGCTGAAAGAGCAGGAGAGGGGAAATAAGAGCAAAGTAATCAAACTCTCTCCTTTGTTCTTTGTTTCTATTATCTCCCCTGACTCCCCTCGCTCACCCGCCTGTTCTCCCACCTCCACCCCACGTGCTGGTCTCCTCTTTCTCGTCATCTCTCCTTCTCTCTCTGTCTGCAGGTACCTTACCATCTGCCCTTCTCTCTTTCTCTAGTTGATGTCGTTGATGTACGGTGTTGATGCTGTCCTCTGACGTGTGTTTTTTAGTGGTGTTGTTTTGTTTCTGCCCCTCCTCCCTTTCCTCCTCCTCCTCCTCCGCACCTTTCCTCCCCCCTCCTTCCTCTGCGCAGGTCCCAGTGGCACCAATATCATAATAGGGTCAATCGCAGGTGCTATTCTCCTGGCAGCTATAGTCCTAGGGGGAACAGGATGGGGATTTAAGTAAGAGTTCTGGCATGCCTTTGTGTACCTGTCTGCTTCTACCTTGAGGAAACCCCGGCCCTTCCACTCTCACCCCTCTGAAATAGGTGCCGAGTGCAACTCATCACTCAATCAAGAGAGGGAAAATGGGGAGCGGAGTCCGACCTGGCCAAGCTAATGCCTTTTGACTGTATGCGTTGAATCCCCATGGAGCGTCACATGGTCTTTTTTTGTTTTATTCCTATTTGATCAGATTAAAATATTGAGCTCCATCCTGCACCTTTCCTGCCTCTCTCTCTACTACAGCCCCCACTTTTTTTAACAATAGCACAGGAACGAGACCTTTACTTGCCAGGAACCTCTAAAACATTTCTCTGAAGTCTGCTAGGTGTATCAGCCTTTATAATGTGTGATTTTTTATAGTCCTAAACACCCTTTTTTGATATATTTTAACACTGGTGCTCTTTCAGCCTGCAGTTACCTGTTTGTCCCCTACTGGTAGCCTCCTGACCCCAAACGCCCTCGCTGCAGTTCCTCTTTAGCACTGTCCCACCTGTGCATGCTTGCTATCGTTCACTCCTTATTCTCTGCCCTAAAAGGACTGCTCCTCCTGTCCTCTTGAGTCCATGCAAAGGTTATAATTGGAGTTGGTCAAAAGAGCAAACATTTGACTGACTGACATACTTTAAGTTTGAAAAAGAGTCCTTTTAAGACAGAGGTAAGTGTCTGTGCATGCATGCATGAGCTGTAAAAGGGATGGTTTCACTCCCCACTCAGACCTTTCAATTAGTGGTCGGGGTGTAACAGTTTCTGCTCTTCTGCCTTTTTTCGACTCTGGGGCTGAGGTTTACTGCCATGTTGACTATAGACCTGCTGCATGTGATTTTATCACTATAATCTGGTGAGGAAGATCTGGACAAATACTGCAAAGTGAAAAATGGATTAAATTACTTACTGGGTTATTATTTGATTCATAGTCATGTCCAAAACGCTGACAGTGTGGGGGACTAGAATCAGTCAAACATGAATTGAAATGATTCATATGTTGAGTGGGATTTCATGTCTACACTGTTTCAACTGTTATTGATTGATTTATACTGGCTTTTTATTATTGATCTTTATTTCTAGTCAGAGTCTGCGACCTAAGATGATTATCCTTACATGATGCTTCGAAAATGTTGTTGGTTAGTTGCTCATCAGTTTTCCGCCTGATACCTTCTAACGTTTTGTCTTTTCTCTTAATGTGTGCTCATGGGATGCAGGAACATTCGGCGAGGAAGGTAAAACCATATAAGATAATGATGGTGAGATAAGCTATCACCGGAGTAGCATCTTACATTATCTCATCTCATCCCAAATTCCCTTCTCATTCCTGCTAGCTTCTTTATTTTCCATCCAATCTGTTTTTGCCTTTCGATATTTTCTTGTGAAAGTGCCATATAAATTAACTTTACTGATTCATAAAACTTGTGCTTTCTTTGCTTTAACACCTCATCCTACTTTGATCCTCACAAAAAAACATCTCTCCATTCAAACACAATCTAACTCACCCGTATTAAGCAGACTGATTTCGTTCTCCAAGCATCCTTTTGTCAGCCAACAGTCCTCACCTTGTTTTCTTTTCTCTTTCAGATCCGGTGGGGGATAAGACATCTGTCCGTTCTTTTGTCTATGTGTCCTGTCTACTCCCGTCTTCCTCCTTGCACTGTGTCGTTTCCACATCGGAGAAGAGGGGAACAAAAAAAAAAGTCTTCCACTCCTGCCCCACATTATTTCCAAACCTCTTCTGGTTGTCGTCTCCTCCACGCTCCCCATTGTCTGTCCTCCTGCCTGCACCGTCCCCCTCTGGACCTGTGCACTGTCCCCCGTCGTACCAGCCCAACCGTACTCATGTGGCTGCTGCCAGCAGGCCACTGAGGATTGTGGGAGGGCCACAGAGAGAGCAGGTAGCTCTGTATCTTCCCGTCATTATGGTGGCTCTGAGAATGTGCTTCAGTGTCCATGTACGTCCTTTTCTCACATCTTGGACAGTCTGATGAAGAACATATCAATGGTGGACCAATTTAATACCAGACTTGTCTTTGTAATGCCTGCCTGCCTGCACACATATGAAACTGGCCACCAACTGAGTCCACAGCGAAATGCTGGACTAGCACAGAGACTGGCTGTCGAATCTCAGACTGAGAACAAAAGAAACTGGAGGTTTTTTTTATTTTGTAGAGTGACTGAAGGTGCAGTTCCTACAAAGCCAGGCCTTGACTAGAGTGGACACTATCTGATTAAATTCACAAAGGAATGGAAATACAGCCGTGCAAACCCGTACATTGTTAGCATGTTTTCCAAAGAGGAAGTTAGGAGGGACTGTTCATGCAAAGTAATGGCTTGAAATCCAGTCAACTGTTAGCCAGAGACCAGACTAATAACTGAATTTATGTTCTCTGTTATTTGTTCGTTTCACTTGAGACATCCTACCTGCCCCCTCTCCTCCGACACCAGTGTCCTGGTTAAAAAAAAAAATGAAGCGGGGTGAAACAGTGAAATGGTTTTGGGATCATTTAAAGCCGCAGAGACCATAACTGAGTGTTTTTAACTACTGACTGACAAACATACATTCCACAATCTGTCTGTGTGTGTGTGTGCTCACTTCTATCAGGCCCAAAGTCTGTATGTGTAGGAGGTTAAATCTGTGTGTCTGTCATGAGTGAATGTACAAGGTTTTTAAAGGAGGGAGGGTGGGATGTATGTGGGTTTACATTAGTGTTAGGGGCAGTTGGGTTTGTGTACACCTTAACACTCCTCCTATCACGGGCAGATAGGCAGGTTTTTACCTCTAGATCATTGTCTCTTTCTACAAACTGTTGTGCTCTGCAACGATGGCACCATAAAGGCAGCACATTAACAAACAACTTAACAGTTTTTATGTCAAGAAAACGAGCACTAGCCAACTGTATGCACACCTATTTGTAAATATGTGCAAGATATACTGAATGTTCAATGCACTGTATGAAGATTTATTTAAAAGCTATGTTCAGATACCGAGTTCTATCAAACACACAGCTGTCTGTCTCCACACAGCCTACATCTGTAGTCAGCGCTCTCCGTTCATTTTTAAATGTGGCGTAGCAGCTACGGTAGCTGCCTGGCAAAATCCCCTTCTATCATCCCAGCTATCATGGAAACATCCTGAACCTTTTGTACATTTGTTGATAGCCCTGAGTCCTGGGTGAGCGCCTCATCCAGGTGGTTTTGATGAACCCCCCCTTTCACCCTGTTCTGAGATTAAGGAGATCTGGTCTGGGGTCCAGGAAGCAGCTTGTCTGAAACTGTACGCGTGTATGAGGTCAGTTTGGTTCATTCGAGCTTTGCACTATGGCAGATGCACTATTGTTATTACAACAATATGTACAGAGTTGGTATCAGATACATACTGTTTGATTTTGAGTTCTATGGAAAAAAGAGAAAATTAGATGCATCCTATCTCATATTTTTAGACACTATCTTTTGAACTGAGACAAAAAGAAATGAACTAAGGCTTGTGGTTGAATTACAATGAAAGGAATAAAATACTAAAACATTTAACTACTTCCCACTGTCTAATCTTGCTTCCTTCCCTGTTCAAGTTATTTTTATGCTCTAAGTATTCAGTACTCTCTAATAAATAGTGGCTACTTAGGGTGGGAATCACTAGTGGCCCCATGATATGATAATATTACGATACTCGGGTCACGATACGATATTATCACAATATTTGGGCCGCGATACGATATTATCACGATACTTGGGCCACGATACGATATTATTGCGATGTTTAATATTTTTGCAATACAGTAAGCATTGCGGTACAATATATTGGGATTTATATGAATTTTTCAACTTTTACGCTAATTTAGCATTTGTCTTTCCTTTATGTTTGTCTTATTTAAACAGTATTTTATTTTCATGTAGCACGTCTTGCAAACCTTATATCTATTTGTTGTACTAACTTTCTCCTGCTCTATGATATCACCTTTGTCAACCGCACTGGACAAACAGTAGATTTAATTTTTCCATTATCATAGATTTTACTTCATATTAGCAATTAATTAGAAAAATCGATACTTGGTAAATGAGACGATACGATGTATCACCAGCCAAAATATCACGATTCTATGCTTTATCAATTTTTTCTCTCACCCCTAGTGGCTACTTTCAACAAACAAGTCCATCATATAGAAATATGGTAGAAATATGTTTTTTTGTTTGGCAGACAAGCAACTTTGATGAATAAGAAAAAAAAATATTCAAGAATGAAAATTCTAAGATTTTAGCAGGTTTTGAAACAAACTAAAATCACGTTGGATACTGCTACCTCTTTACGAGGTATAAAAGTAAATGAGACCACAATCATCGAGATGTATTATTTCTTTTCTGTTTTCCATGCCTCAAACTGCTGCTGCAGAGTGGCGTCAGAAGTAATTCACTATATGCTGACGTATAAGTCTTTGTTGACTTCCACAGCAAAAGTTCTCAATTGTGAACAACGGTTTGTCCAGAGGTGGCACTTACACCTCACAGGAACTTTTCCATCAAATATTAATGAATGAATTTGAATTTCCCTTTGGGGATCAATAAAGTTCTTTTTCTGAATCATGTCAACACAGTTCAAATCACACTACTCTGAAGTTTCTGCTCCTTCTGCATTTTAAATCATCTTGAAGAAATACAACAAAGATTAAAACTATCTTAAAAAATTACTTTAATTACAAGCAATTAATTAAAACAACAATAACCCAGTAGGTGGCTGACAAATTTCTCAGCGCAGGAAAAGCTACATGTCACCTTTCTCACATTACCGCACTGAGGCATTCAGCTTTCATTAAATAAAAACTGTAGAAAAGTCTGTTGGAAGTATAGTCAGAATGTCCAATGTCTTACTACAAAAATAAGAGTTTTTAAAGGCTGATGACAGCCAAGGCAGAAAACGTCAATCTCTGATCTGATCAACATGATGGATGATTTTTGGTCCTTTCCTTTTCCAGCCTGAGAAACCTCCATGGATGTGCAGGCTCTGCTGTCTTTCTCTTAAATACTGTTGAGGGAGTATGTCTGCACAGGAGTGAAGGACAGATGTCAGTCTGCCACTTCTCCAGTGTCCCACTTAGTTTTGGGTTCCTGCCACCACTCAGCCAGGAAGGACTCCTCGTAGTCTCCCATCCCCTCAAACTCTGAGTCAGGATGCTCTGAGTGAGAGGCGGTCGTTTCTTCTGGACTCACCACGTCCTAAAGTGAACACAAAGCAGTCAACAGTGAGTCTTCACCTTTTCACTATCATACATCCCTTCTATCTTGGAAACAGATCCTCCTTTACCTCATTTTGTCATTAAATCTGTCCCTTGTGCTCCCTGTAATTCAGACAAAACAGTCTCAGTCCTCCCCCCTGTGCTCAGATCCAGGCTTGGAGGTGGGAGGGGCTGACCTGACTTAAGTGGATGTGGCACAGTCTCAGTGGCCAACACCTCCCAGCCACATACCACACGCTGCTGGAGGAAAACACAGCTTTCCTCCTGCTCCTTCTTCCGCAGCCTTCACCCCCTCCCTTTTTCTCCCCCTTTCATCCTTGCAATTCCTTTTTTTCTTCTGATCCCTTTTCCATAAACTTAACAACAGCTTGAACTACATCTTCTTATACTCCTTTTATAATCGTTTTCATAAATGAGGAACAATCTTAGGAAATAAAACTAAAATACGCATTTAAAAGACAAGGACGCCAACTCTGTCTAGATCAGGTGGTTCAGATGTTTTTCCGCCAGTTGGGTGACAGTTCAGACCTGATATATTTCTCTTCTCTCATATCCTCAGGGTTGTCTGGTCATGCCGGCGGTTTGGGTGTTATCTGCTGAGATTTTGAGATGTTTGTCTCTGAAAACTCTGCCGTCGCCCCGGCATAATAACAGATGGTGGAACCTTTTTTTTTCTTGAACACTTAAAAAAATGTGAGCTACTTATATCTCAAAACCTCATCATATAAAAACAGCAGATCTAGATGGCACCACTTGAAGAAAAAAAAAAAAAAAAAACAGTCTGTATTTGGGGGAACTGGTCCTTTAATCTGTAAAGCATCTGTCACAACTCTAACCTTTAAAGAAAAATAAAAATATAAAGGTGTAGTATTTGTGGTGATTTATTGTCTTCCTTTTTTCACATTAAGTTAAAAAGATATTTAACCTGGACTTTGTTTATTTGTTGCCCCAAACCAAAGCTTAATAACCTCTGCTTTGCGACACAGTAGCGACATACCTCATCATCTGTTTGTAGGTAGTTCAGTGCAAACTCCAGCATCTCTTTCTGCTTGGTCGTCTCGTTAAAATACCTCAGCGCCTCCTGGAAAACAAAGTTACATCATCTGTTGTGTTTATTTGAGAAGCCAGGGGAAAACAAACCAATCTGACTGACCATTTCACAGGATCCAGCCTGTTTTTTTGTTTACTTCCTTCTGTGGCGCTTAGTTTAGAGGCCACAAAATACACCAAATTCATTTATAAACTTCCTCACCACCTCAGAAGGCGAGGATGTTTACGGGCCGCTCCATACAAAGCTGGCACACTGCAGCTGTTGCTCTGTCTTTATGGGAGTATCTTGGTTTCTAATTACCAGTCTGTGATTGTGTTAATGTTCACGCCAAAACCGCTTCATACAGCTGCAGTTTTCTTGCTTGGCTTGATATGGCCAGTGTGAATTTTGCAGACGCTCTCAGCTGCATCTGAACAAGTCTTTGTTTCACTCACAGGCCGAGGGTGGAAGTCGTTTTCCTCGAGTCCCCACTGCTCCTTGTAGAAGCGATAGTACGCTATATTCTGCTGCATCACCTGGTCTTTACTGTCAAACAGCATGTAACTGGCTGCACACGGAGCAGCGTTCTTCACATCGTTTACTGTGAAGGACAGAAAATATTAAATGTTACACAGCATTACACAGACTCAAGAGATAAGTTTGGATTTACAGCATCTGTTTATGTCATATTTCTTACATTTATAATAGGAAAACTGGAGGTAGTGATACATGGTGGCTACAAACTTCTCCACAAAGAAGCCACCGACGTTTGGTTTCAGATGTTCTTCACATTTTACTTTGCATTTCAGCACATCAGTGTAGAGATCTAAGGAAACAGCAGATCAGGTTAATTTTCAAAATTTACACCATGATTGTTTCCTCAGATTGTGCTCCTCTTACCTGCCAATGTGGGGTAAAAGTCTTTAAACTCTAAGATCTCATATGAGCCCTCGCAGCCCGCCAAGCACAGATTGTAGATTTCAAAGTACTGCTTGATGGCCTGCTCCATGTTTCGGGCGCTGCTGCTGAAGTCCCCGTTGTTGTAGAGTGTCACACTCTTCAGGAAAACACTCTGCAAGACAGGAAGATGTTTTGTTTAAGTTTGAACGGCTTGGCATGTGTTTGATTTGAATCAGGACAACAGTGTTAATGTACAAACTTCATATGGCTGCTCCTCGTGGTCGATCAGATATTCATCCACGTCCAGTATAGACTTGTAGTAGTTCATGTTCTTGCTCAGGTAGGGATCAGATGGGTTCTTCTTTAGAAAGGTATGGGCTGCTGCCACGGCCTTCTCCACGTTGTTCATCTGGAAAAGAAGTGACATTATAACAGGGGGAATCAAGCTTTTATGTGCCTATAAAATAACAAAAATAAGGCAAACTGCTTGTTTAAAGAACACTTTACAGAGTACTGTTTGATGGCAGGATATGGAGCTGCACCTTTAATTTATCAGTCTTGTAAGAGCAGACTAAACTACAGACTACAGTTTGAATGTTTCAGTCTAAATCTAGTGATGTGGTGACAACCAATAACACATGAAGTCTCTGGAGGTGTTTCTAGGTCTTCAGAGTGGAGGTTACCTGCAGGTCATTACACATTTTATGAGTCCAAATCTGCTCAGTGAGCAAACCGGGTTTGGTTCAGAGAAGAATAAGGGGATTGTTTCAGGGGAACACTGAAGAGACGTGGCACATGCTCAACTCAAGCCCAGTCGGCAGGAGGGAACAACAAAGCTGACTGAGGGGAGGTTATACAGCACGTTTCAGTGCCTACAAATTTCCTCTCAGTGAGTCAAACAGGGTCGATCTGCCAACCGGAGCCGACCGCAGACACCTTTGTTGGGTGACTGCACGCTTTACCCTCGGTTACCTCTCTGCTGGATGAGTCCCGAAACATCTGTAGGCTATAACTCATTCTTCGACCAGGCAAACCACTCTTATATGTCCTAGAAAAACGTTCCTATCAAACTGTATACACAGCCTGCTTTAAGGGAGTGGGGTTGGATAGTTTTGGGGTATTTGTTGTATTAAGAGTCTGTTTCATTCTGGTTGTACAACACTCAACACATCGAGATTTCCTCACCTGAAAGTACGCATACTGTATGTACCGATACGGCGTCCTTTTCTCAAAGTTTTCCAATAAATCCCGACGTGGATATGCGAGTTTGAACACTGGAAAATCCGTCTTGCACTTTTTAAGGCACGCAGCCCTCAGCAGGATGTGGCGCATAACTCGGAGGGTGCTGTCGGCGAACAGACTGTCGTCGTCCCGGCTGACGGAGCTGCAGTTGCGGCTACAGAAAGCCTCACTGTCCCGCAGCAGACGGTGGAGGCGCAGGCTCAGCTCCAAATACTTGATGCTCTCTGCCCAATTCTGCGCCTCGTACTGATCCAGCGCGTATCCGTACGCAGAGTCCAGAGGCATGATTTCCTTCTGAGGGAAACTTTTGAGGCTGTACTTCTCATACTGAGCCTCCACCAGCACCGGGACCAGACAGACCAGAACGAGGCTTCTCAGAAGCACCATCACCTCCACCGGGACCAGCAGGACGCTGCTCTTGTTTTGAATGGGTCTGGAAACTTGCTCTTCTTTACCAGGGAATGCTCATGTCTGTCTGCACGTAGGCTAAGAAACCTGCGTCCAATTAGATGATGAATGCATCCTTTTCTGGCCAAAGCCTTCAAAATAAAAGCCCTGCTGGTTTGCGGTTTTTTTTTAAACTGAGCCTATTAGGTCCATTTAAAAGGAAAAGCTTAATAACAGTTTTTCATCTTACAGAACACAAGGTGCTTTGGGCGTTGACTTTACTAAAGTAAAGCTTTGGGAACCATCTGATTTGTTAGAGCTCCACTTTTGGGCTCACACAAAATTTATTGTGGGTTATGAACAAATATTTATATCATGTTCAATGTGGTGACCCTTTGTTTAAGAAAACTCACATTTTTAAACTTTTTTATTCAAGTCTTTTACTCAATAAACACTGGATATTTGAGATTTTTTTTTATACAAACAAGAGAATGTCAATGTGACTTGGCATTTGCAGACCTGTGGATTAAAATGTCTGGACCATTACTTTAAAGGGAGGATTTACTATTTCCTGTTCAGACGGTAGTTACGTCTTCACAATTGACACATATGACGCGTTTGGACCCCAGGACTGAAAAGAGTGTCCAACTTTTTCCAGCATTTTCCAGGGTCATAACACCTAATAGTTCATGAATATTGTAACGAGGTAAAGGGAGGTTAAGGAAGCTATTTTCCTCTCTTTTTTAAAATTTAATTTATTAACAGTTAATTGATTTTGCCTCTAGGTTTTTGCAGAGTTGGAAGAGTGCTGTTTTAATAAAGTGATTTAACATTTTGCACATACATTCCAAGAAAACTGACAAGCTGGGACAAGGATTTGTGAGCCTCTGAATCTATTCAACATTGACTCATAAGTACAGGTGAGGCATTTGTAGACTTTCAATAATTTCAGATTTCTTCGTAACTGAGAGCAGTGTGGCTCTGATGGTTATTTTATGGACCCAGAGCCTTTACCGATTTAGTCTTTTTAACTTAAAGTGGCCAAATCTAATTCCCGGCACATACAGGCAGTATACTACTCTTCTACAATGATGAGACAGAGAAAGAAATTGTAGATTGTGTGGGTGAACGTAATAATTTTCAGCTCATCTCCTACGTGAGTGATGTCAGAGGGCCGGGACATTCAACCAGGCTTTACACGTTTGCAGAATTCCATCTAAAGTGGGTGGGGGCCCAGGGGCCACTCCTCCTGCTACAGAGTACATGACCCGATACATGCGAGAAGTAGAATGGAAAGAGACGGGACAGGTCCGGAAGTTCTTTCATTTTGAATACAAAATAATGGCCCAATCGAAATGCTTGGTTTTGTTACAAAATACAATTTATCATGCAAAAAAAAAAAAAAGAATTTCACATTCAGTTGGACTGATAGGATACTTCTTTGGATGGGAGAATTATTTTTCCATAAACTAATGGGTTTGTTTTAAAAAATTGCCAATCTAATCTGTAATTTCAGATCCTAATTTAAGCGAATAACCATGGTGCTGTCCATACCTCACAAAAATCATGGTGTTTAGGCAAAGGTTGCATTATTTTCCACAGTTCCATTTTATGCTGTAATATCCCTTTAAGAAAGCAGATATGGTGCATACAACACAAGACAAATGCAAATCATGCCAATGTATGGAAAACGTCAAATGAATTACAAATGAAATACAAATGAAATACAAATGATTAAATATAAAATAGTGTGTGTAACATGTTATATCTATTTAAATGTGTTAAAAGTTACTTCTTTAGCAAAAGCACTGTAGGTTGAAATTAGTTAAGACTTATGGATCAGCTGTGTTCCCATGAAACATGCATCAAACTATGAATTCTAAATAAACCTTTTACAAACAATCTCATTATTGTTTGATTTGTGTGTTACAATGTTTTTATTTATCTATTTAATGCAATTCATTTGATAGAAAAAAATGATTAAAAATAGGGATTTTTGTCACCACCGTCAGACATGTGTCAACTCTGCAGGTCTATGTGACCTCCTTCAGAACAATATATAATAATATTTCATTTATTTTGAGTAACTGTTGATCAATTTAAAAAATGTAATGTTTCTTCTATTATGAAAATGTATTTTTAAATCCTAAAAAAACCGTTTGACTGCAGTTAAAGATGGAGTTAAAATTCTACGACGTAGTTAAAAACATAAAACATACATTAAAGTATTTATGGTATAAAAATATAACATATTAAAAGTAATTTTCTTGGTGGCTTTGTCACATTGGCAAAAAATATTGTTTTCTCTTAAGTTTTTAAAGGTGTTGTGTAATCAGAACAAAAGTTAATTTGTGTTTTTTAATGTCTGACGGTGTTGAAAAAAAAAAAAAGGTTTGTAAGGAAAAAACACATTTTGGGTAAAAATGAGAAACATGGACATGGGAGGTTGTACCAAAACATATCCCAGTAACTTAGACAATGGCAGATATGTGTTTAAACGTCTTTTTTAACTATCGTTCAGTATGTTTCTATATAAGAGGGACAGTATGCTTTTATTTTGTATAAATTTAGCGGATGTGAATCTGCTTATTTTAGCCCAATTGATAGAGGATCCCCATCCCAGAAGTTTTGTGGTTCCCTCTTGACTTTATCCCCATCTCCCCGCTGGCAGACGAGCAGATATCTGCTCAGCTAGTTTCTGCTGTTACTATCGAGTCTCTCAAATGGATACAAGAGTAACTTTGGTCTTATGTTTCCTCCATGTAGTCTCTGTGAGCAGCAGCCCCGGGCCGTTAGTGGACGTAGTTGTTGACCGGTATGATATACCGAAAGTTTGTCCTCGAGAGGTCCAGACTGAAGATTTTATCCGGTATCACTTTAACGGCACTTTCTACACTGACGGGAAGAAGTTTGACTCCAGGTGAAGTAACAACCAACTATACACTCTCAGTTGAGCTACAATAGGGTTAATAGTCATGGAAGGATGTTAGCGTTTGCAAGTCAAGATGACAAGATGAGATAACTAAGCTCATGTGCACATCTGAGGCTCAGCAGCAGTAATTGTTTGAACTGGTTCCTCCTGCTGCGGACAGCATGTCCCTGAATTACACTTATTAAGTTACACGCATGGAAAGTAGGCTGTGGGGGTCCCGCAAACACTTATCAAAGCTCCTATGAGGAGTTTTTTTGGTGTGCATGAAATGGACTGGATTTCAAAATACTGCATTTTCATGATGTTCAAAAGGAACAACTACAGAGGTGACAAGATTTATGAGTTTTTTTTCCCCTGTTATTTTCAATGCATGTATAACTAAGAGTAGACATCCGCTGAGCAGCTGAGGAAAGTCCTTTTACTTATTTTTTTACTTTCCACCTATAATGTTTAAACAGATGGTGTGACTGTAAAACATTAGGGGATGAGAGTATTTCTCAGAGGACATCACTGAAGTGTGGAGTGGACAAGATAAGCTTAAACTGCTTTGTCAAAAACTAACGTTAACCAAAAGTGTCTCACGGGAGCAATAAAGGTTTCAGACTTCAGCTAATCCTCAAAAGTTCATTGTGGCACCTAATCTACAATTTAATTTAAAAATATCTTCCATCAAAAATATTGGAGTTTTTCTGTGGTGTCAAAACGCTGTTCTCTAAGAAAGATGTCATAAAAACAGTTAATCACAGTTTTGTATTTTGCTGATTTTTCCTGAATCACCCTTACTTTTGACAATTCAATCTTACCAATTTGTGAAACCCCCGTTGTCATTCTTCCTCCTAATTTCTGCAGCCATGACAGAGGAAAAGCCTTTATCAGCCAAGTGGGTCTGGGCAGACTCATTACAGGGATGGACCGAGGTCTTCAGGGCATGTGTATTAATGAGCGAAGGCGGATCACAATCCCCCCACACCTGGCGTATGGAAGCATTGGAACAGGTTAAAAGCAGCAAAATGACCCAAACATGAACAATGCGGTCTGAAATCACAACCACTGATTCTCTTGTTCTTTTCTGACAGGTGGTGTAATCCCTCCTGATGCTGTGTTGGTGTATGATGTTCTGCTGCTGGACATCTGGCATGAAGAGGACAAGGTCCAGATCCGCACACTCAGCAAACCTTCGAACTGCACCCGCTCCTCTGTGACATCAGATTTCATCCGTTACCACTACAATGGCACCCTGATGTCAGGGGAAGTGTTTGACTCAAGGTGAAGCTGCGTGCAGAATGAGAAGTCAGGCTTTAACAACTCACATTTGAACACTTTGAATTGCTTTTTGTTTCAGTTATTCGAGGAATGCGACCTACGACACTTACCTAGGAAAGGGAGACCTTATCAAAGGCATGGACGAGGGACTGCTGGGGATGTGTGTTGGGGAGAGAAGGATTATCATCGTCCCACCCTTTCTGGCATATGGAGAGAACGGATATGGTAATCATGCTAAACATAGTTGTGGTAACATCTGATTATTCATTTATAAGCTTGCTGTTATAACCAAGGTTACATAATCAAGTATAAAAAGGATACACAATATGTCATCTACTGGTGTGGGCTTAAATCAATTTACAGTGTTTTTGCATGATTAAACGGTGTAACAGTAAGGCTCTCTATGAAATTTGTGTTCCCTGTGGTTGCTGTCATTACTCTTAGCTTGTTGCAATGATAAGGTTGAAGAAAAGTCACATTCTTATGTAAGATTAAAAACTACTAGAGGTCTACTTCAACGTTGAGGTAAACACTGACGAAAATGTCTCAACAGGAACTCAGGTCCCTCCTCAGGCCACGCTGGTGTTTGAGGTGCTGCTAGTCGACCTCTTCAACCCAAAAGATGATCTGATCGTGGAAGTGAAAGAGGTGCCTAAAGGCTGCACCCGCAGGACAGTGACCGGAGATTACATCCGCTACCACTATAACGGCACCTTCCAGGACGGCACAGCCTTCGACTCGAGGTAAACCCACCCCCCTTATCTGTTTTTAGAAAACAGTAAAATGCTGTAAAATTGTGAAGTGAATTATGAGCCCTTTTTTTGCAGCTACAAGCGGAACAGCACCTATAACACCTACATTGGGATGGGATATGTGATCCGAGGGATAGACAAAGCTCTGCAGGGGCTGTGTGTAGGAGAGAAGAGGAGGATCACTGTCCCTCCTCACCTGGCCTATGGTGAAGATGGCGTCGGTAAGTATGAGACTTGCATTTACCAACAGACCATGAAGTTTCTATTTATAACACCATTTTGATTTCTTTGTTTCCTCATGTAGGAGATCTTATTCCTGGATCTGCTGTGCTGGTCTTTGACATCCACGTCATTGACTTCCACAACCCCAAAGACCTGGTACACATAACAGTTACCCACAAGCCTCAGGAATGCAGTCTGACCAGTGAAGCTGACGATCTGATCCAGTATCGCTATAATTGCTCCTTGATGGACGGCACCTTGCTGTACTCCTCGTGAGCACCCTCAGCTGTACACTCTGCTACACTGCATCCTCCTCCTCCGCCTCATGCATGTAATCATTGCTGGCACCTTTCAGTGGGCTTTGATCTGCAAATACTTTAACGTCTGTGTATAAATGTCAACAGGAAATATGCCTGCATGGCTTGAGATTTAGATTAACTTCCATTTGATTGATTAAAATGTGAATTTTAGACTTGTTTCTTTAAGATGGGTCACAGGTCATTTGTCCATTTCCAGGGACCAGTATGATTCACCTTCCATCACAACCTTGGGAGCAGACAAAGTGATCCCAGGACTGGAGGAAGGTTTGAAGGGCATGTGTGTAGGTGAGAGGAGGGAGGTGATCGTCCCGCCGCACTGGGGTCACGGTGAAAGTGGAGGTCAGTCCTTGGATCTGCTTAAATCACTCTTTGCACGCTGTCTCTGTATGCCTTAGATAAATTATTTTATCCTGCTTTGTGTTGGTGTCTTCAGCGGGGGATGTCCCAAGCAGTGCAGTGCTCTTCTTTGAGCTAGAGCTGGTGAAGCTGCAACAGGGGGTGCCCGAGGGCTACATGTTTGTGTGGCTGGGTGATGCTCCTGATCCCCTCTTTCCTGCTATGGACCTCAACAACGACAAAGAGGTTCCTCTAAAAGAGGTGAGCAGACAAGGCAAAATCTACCTGTTACAGAAAGGCAAAAGGTCCAGCTGTAAGATGGCAAAACTCTAACAGAGCAACCATTTCCACCTCTGTTTCCTACAGTTTTCAGAATTCATCATGCTCCAAGTGAAGGAAGGCAACGGGCGTCTACGTCCAGGGTTCAACGCTGACACTATCATTGAGGACATGTTCAATAACCAGGACAGGAATAAAGATGGGAAGATTGTAGAAGATGAACTGGAACACCAGGGCCATGAGTCTGAACAAGTGACAAAAGATGAGTTATGAAGATGTTTTCACATGTTAAGAGATGGTAAGAAGAACCAGGCATTCGTGGCTGCAGCTTGATTCTTTCAGCTACTGATATGTGCTGATTACTTTTGATGTTTCCAAGGTTAGTTGAGTCTGTTTGCTGATATGTACTGTTTCTGTTAAAATGACAGCCAGCTTAAACATCTTCAAACATCAACAGTACAGAGCACATCTGCTCCAGTGGTCAGTGTATTGCGTTCAGGAAACAGGTGTTTTTAAATATGGAAGGCAGGGAGAGAAGGTTGTTCTCTGTTTTAGAGGCACATTTGACTGAGTTATGAAAGTTGACATACCTTCAGAAAATATCTGGGCTGGGCCCCTTCTGATAGAGTTATGAATTTAACTTAAATCACTTTGAAACAGTGCGGCAGAAACTTAAGGAAACCACTGGCTGTGTGGGATATATATTGTAAAGATGAGGTTGTAAAAAGACAGGAACTCAACATGAGAAGTATGTATGTTGTGGAACATAAAATGAAAAACCTATGCACTCTGTACAGACACGTAGCTGTAAATTAGCTTTGTAGATTTTAATTCATCACTTTAACCACATGTTGAATTCATTGAAACAACAAAGCACCTAGGACCATGTTTTATTTGAGAAAAGTTGGAACGTATAAAGAGGCAACTGTTGAGAATAGATAACAGAGATGGAGTGACATGGTACACTGTTCACAATAAAATATTTAGTATTTGTAACAAATTCTATGAAACTGTTTGTGTTGTACAGTAAAAGACTTGTCTCATCAACTAAATGTGAAATTACTCATGAGTGTAAAATAACAACACTACTCTGAAAATGTTTGTTTCTGAATAAAACTGTAACATTACTGAGGTAGCTTTTAGTTCTAACATGCCATTTGACTTGAGTTTTGTGTATTTAAATGTTATTAACATGACAGTGAAATCTGTGGTGTTACACACATAAAACAACGTTTCCACAAAACAAACATCCATAACTGTGCGTCTGAAAAATGTGACCAGGGGGTGGAAGACTCGACATGGTAATAAAACACACTTTTAAAAATGTTGGGTGAAAATTAGCTGTTGTTAGAGGCTTGAAACCAGTTTCATACCAAATACTGAGATGAGCTCTGCCGTTTATGTTGTGCGTTTTTGTTTCCCTTTATCATGAAGTCTATATAAGGACTGAAACTTTCAGGCAAAACCCATTTCCCCCAGACAATTAAAAAAACACTCATAGCCACACATAAAAGTGAACAAATCTAGCCTCCATCAAACACTCTATCATCCAAAAGGGGGACAAAGAGGAGGCTGATGGACAAAAGTTTCTGAACATGAACATGTACATGTAGGGTGAATGTCAACTGGACTTGTGTAAAATTTTGGAACAAAGTATCATGAAACATTCTTAGTTGGGTGACAATAAGCCTTTAACAGGCGCCTCCTCAGCTTATGGCACTGGAGTGTCAGATACAAACTGGCCAGTGGTATCCTCAGTTCACTTGTTCTCAGTGAGGTAGCGAAGAACAGCATTAGGGACTTCCAAGGTCTCATCTTTTACCAACACAATATCATACGAGTCCAAGTATGACGGTTTCCTTTCCTCTACCTGAAGGCAAAAAAAGAGGGAGAATGAAAATCAAAGATGCTGCTGTCTTTGTACGAATAATCCCAGAGTCTTAGGTAGCGTGTGTGTGCCCTCTTTACCTTGTCATTGAGGAAGCCTATCTTGAGAATGTTTTCCATGTCCTGGACCCCATCAGCCATGGTCAGATCTCCCAGAGAGTCTCCCAGTAGCAGCACGTTAGGTCGCGTCCGTAGCTCTTGAAAGTGGCCTGTGTTGAGCAGCGCTCCTTCTCTTTTGTTGTAGATGTGGATCAGCTCTCCTTTGAAAGCCTTTAATACCCCCTGTCCCGGCAAACAACAACAGTACTTAATAAATGTAGTCTAAATAAATCAGATCAGTAGGTTTTTTATGCAGCAGCTACTTACAGATTCATCAAAATCCATGTAGTTGGAGAAGACTTTGACATTAGAGTGGAAGACCTCAGCCTGACGAATGACCTCTTCTAAAATGTCTCCTATTCCAGCAGAGAAGATGAGCAGGGGGATGCTGTGATCACGCAGGCGGTTAAAAAAGACCTCGTAGCCCTCCCTGTTAGAAAGACAGTGATTTTGAAGGACTCATATGAACATTTGACCTGTCAAATAGACGTTAAGGTCTTCTTAGGGAACAGGTTTTCTGACCTCAGCATGGCATCAGAAGTCCGCACCACCCCAGCCAGCAGATCTTTCCTTATCTCCTGCTGAACCAGAAGTTCATGGGCTTTTGTCCACCTATAAAGTAAAAGTACAGCACAGTTTTTGAACACAGACTGCAAAATATCCTAATTATTGGATAAGCTGTGTTAGATACTCACCACTCTACCATTAGGGGCAGCTTTTCCTCTATTGACCGTGAAGAGTCTATCTCTATTGGGTAGTATGTGTTGAGCAGCTCCTTCAACTGACATAAGCAAGGAAAATCAACACCAAACTAGAACATAAACATGTGGAAACCTAGCACTGCACCCAATTAAACTAAGAGATTATGCTCAGTTCACAATGCTTTATCTCAAGGAGAGAAAGGAATAAATGAGGGCAGGTTTGAGGGATTATTGATCCCAAGTAAGAGGTATTAAAGGTTTATAAGACTTAAACGTCCAGATAACCACTAATACAAATAAGATGATGCTTGAGAGGGTTTAAGGTTTGAGTGGAACAAAGAGGCTCCACATTTCTGCAGTCACCTGTTTGGTTATACGTTCCCTGTTGCCCACCAGAGGGCAGAAAGACTAAATTCATCAGTAAAGGCAGACACACATAAAACAAATAAATTCTTGTGTTGAATACTTCTAATTTGAACAGACTCTCTTCCAATTAAAAGCTGAACTGTTTAACTGTTACTTTTAACCGTTACTTTCCTATTGTTCACTGTTGACAAATCGAAAATCCGATATGTAAACACTGTGATGCTTTTGCTGTGTCTATTTTTAAAGATGTGCAAACTTGTAGTTTAAATTATACAGGCATGGCATGAATCGATAATCTGCTTTTGTATTCTTACCTTTTCCTTGCACTCACTGGAGATGAGATCGCTGTTGTCTAGGATATCTGCCAAAACAAAACACAGACAAATGATGTATCCTCAAACATATCCTTAACTTAAACCAACCCTAAGTGGAAGCTTTCTAACCAGTGAACTTACTGTGACAGGTAGGACACCTTTTTCCATTGTAGGCAAATCTTGTTAGGGTCATATCAAAATCTGAGATCACCTGAAAGAAACACAGAAAATCCTAAACTCTCCAAACAGTGTCTTCATACAGTGCATGTTTAGGATATAACAGTGAAATGTGGAGTAGATCTTGTCTGCATTATCATACCTGCACGGTGTTGGAGCCAGCTTTCACCATGGACTCAAGGATCTCCTGGACCTTCTGCGGGTCTCTCATGCACACAGACGGGTTGGACAGCTCTCGAATCTGAGTATTAGACTGAGAATGTAAGTGTTACAGTAAGCACAATAAGTCGTTAATTATTTTGGTATTGTGTAAAGGTACAAGGGGGAGTTACCGTTAGCTTATTATTCAACTGTTAGCACTTCGTTGAATGGCACCCTAGTCTTTTGCTAACCGTGCCTCCTCTATACTTTCATGCAACAGTGATGCTGAAGCCAAAGCATCAATGGGTTTGTTTCACGTTAATTTAATAAACAGGTGTATATAAGACAAAGACATTCGCGTAATATCACATTTGTAAATACCATAGCCATACTTCAGTGGTAACCTATGTTGCTAAGCTATCTAAGCTACGTCTGTTTGACTTGCTAGTGTGCAACTCAGTCGAGGTTGGCGCACTCCCCCAAACATTTTCAAAAACATTTTACCATTTTCTTGAATAACGCAGCTGGTCCGTTGAAGTTATTTAGTCAGAGGACGTCTCATCAGTTGCAACCAGTCTCCTTTGACATGCAGCGCTACTGTTGCTACGTTCGCGACACAGTCATCTGTTAGCTCAAGCGGTTCCGCTGCCTTCAGGATACCGTCAAAAGTGTCGTTTTTTTCCTTTCTCATTGACAAACAAAGTGGTAGAAAATGCGACGCACAGCGACTGGGATGCGGCGTCGACATAAGACGATACTAAAACAACTGGACGTGCTTTGAATAAGAGATGATATATTGAACTTCTATCATTTAATGTTTAAGGCTGCCGAACCAGTTATTTTATTAGTTTTGTCACGAGTACGAGTCCATGTAAAACACCTGAATGCAGCACCACCACTTGCATAACTTGAGGTGGGACGGTATGTGCTGTTCCCCGGTCAAAGAGTCTCATGAAAGGTTCCCATCATCTCTACGGGACCACGGTCCTTCATACTACACTAGAGGAAGAAAAAATCGCTCTCTAAGGTATACTATTTTATTTCCATGAATGATTTTAAGGGTTTGAGAAAATTAAAATGATGATTTTCACTCTGTCTTGCAAACACTTGCTATTTTTTCAGTCAATGCAACAAGAAAATTAGTTAGTGCTTGCTGTTCTTTCATACAAGTTGCCACTAAACTAAAGCTTTGTGACTTTTGTTGTAACTATGTTTTGATATTTACGATACATCAAGACTTAAAGGACCTCATTCATTCAAAGAAGCCAACAAAACAACTCTGTGTGCACAAGCAGCTGTCTTACAAAAAAAACAACTTTTATTGCAAGTGATGACATTAGCATTTCATTAGCTTACATCCAATATTAGGACACAAGGTCAGACTATCACATGCAAAGCAATATACACAGCTTATTCCACTTGATATTAGCAGTGCTTGAAAGGTTGGTCATAAAGTGGAAATGAATATCATTTCATTGCTCTGTAACCTTTTTTTTCTGAAATAGATGCTGCATCTTTCAGTGGGGTCTCTGAATGTCAGTCACAACACATTCATAAAACATTCCTTTTGCCTAAATCTGGTTCCTAAAATCTCTCATCTAAGTCTTGTTGAATGGTGAAAAGAGACCACAGAACAACAAAGCAGACCTCTAAATGTACACCCAGATGGATTGGAAGTGCAATAATAATACAAGGCTTTAATAGACAACTAACTTTGGAGGAATTCTCAAATAATGATAAAATCTTTCATCTAGCTGTTAGCTGGCTATAACAAAACATTTCCAAAATACAATCACCTTGTCTGATATGAAATAACCAAAGTGCAGTGACAAATTAAATCTTTCCTTTTTACAAATAATATGATGTCAAGAAAGAGAAGTTCTGCGTATCACAAATCAAACACACCCTAGCACTCACACATTTTCGTTGGATTTTCCTGCTTGTATGGAAACACACTGAGCAATAGACTGCCAAAGTGCAAAAGAAAGGAATGATTGAGCCATTGCTTATGATTGGTGCTTAATGTAGCGTCAAGGTCGAACAGTCCTACTGTTTTTAACGCTTAGATAACTCAGGAATGACTTCATTTCATATCATCATATCTTTTCAACATCACAGTTCTCATTGTTTCACCTCTTTAACATTCTGGACAAAGAATACTAGTGTCAAGTATGGCATGAGCAACAAAAACCATCAACATCAATACATATTAAATACAAATGTTGAAAGAAAACTGCAGTCTGACAGAAAGCTAGTCTAAAGTATTTTAAGATTAACAGCCTTTTTTGAATAAATTCTTATTTTGTTGAGGCTTCACAGCAACAAACAGAGCCATTTTAATATACCAGGAATAATATTAAGTTCTGTCAGAGTGTGTAAGACTTTTGTACAGATGTTTAAAGAGATTGTCACAGTGTTACAATGAAATAAGACTTCATCAAGCGAGCTGGGTTGAAGGTAGGAATGCAGCTATTAGTCATGTCACATTGCCTCTGCAGGACAGGCATACATTAAGGAATGTAAAATATCCATAGAAATGTTTACATATACAGCTTCATACTTATTTATGTACAAACAGATAAACAGAATCTACACCAACATATTTGACAAAAGGATATTTAGATGTTGGCTGATATATAACACTCTTATTCACATGTTTACATTTGCCACATTCCTCCAAACAGACCTGCCATTACGTTTCATGGTTTTCAACAAGTCAGCCGTCAGCACAACACAGCATGAGAACTAATGGCAAAAAGTTTAGTGTATTGAAATCTTGAATGAGGGCAACTCAAGACCTGCTGTAGCTTGTTATGCACAGGTGGAGGGGCTGATGAAGATGGCTGCAATGGAATGTCCCCAGGCTTTTTCGAATAGTCCTCAGAGCAGACCCTATCTTGCTCAGCACTCTATCTGCGACTGCAGCTGCCGGCGCAGGGTGAGCGTGCGCCGGTGAAGCTGCTGCATCTGCTGCATGCGGTCTCGCTGGCGGGCCAGGTTCTGAGGCATGGGGTAACGCTGACAGCCGTACAGGAAACGGTAAGGGATCCGGACATGACAGGCAGTGGCTCTGCAGCGTGGCTGAGGCATTGGCGGCAGCAGCATCCAGCGTTTCCTCTCAGCGCAGTAACGGTAGGCCTCTTTGCGGTACTGCTTGTCCACATCGTCGCTGTTCTTCCACCCGCCGATGATAAAGACATCCTCATCAAAGTGGCAGATGGCAGCACCCTCAATGCTGGTTACCTCTGGTGGCAGGCTCTCCAGGATCTCATCAGAAATGCGCACGCTGATCTTCTGTTTGGCCACCTCATCTCTCACTGTGTAGCTCTTGGGGCAGCAGGAGGCTGTGTGGTAGAAGTTAGTGGAGGCCACAGCCATCTGGAAGATGCAGTAGTTGTCAATAAGGGGGAGGGAGTCAACATCTTGCCATTGACGGCTCTCTGTGTCGTAGCGTGTAGTCACTGTCTTCAGTCCATCCTCGTTATCTGTGTCGACGGGTGTGCGTGCTGTGACGTACACATACCGGTCCTCCACACTCACCGCCTTCACATCCCGCAGAATTTTGGGGGCAGATTCCAGATTATGCCACTTGTCCTGCTCAGGCTCATACACACTAACATCTTTGAAACCTGGACTGAAGTTTCCATGGCCACCAATGCTATACAGTATATCCTTAATGCAGGTGAGACCAAAGGAGTGCTTGCGTGTGGTCAGGTTGCTCACCTGTTCCCAGGTGTTGCGATTAGGATTGTAACGTTCAACTGTCTTTGCAAAGCCTGGTTCCATTGAACCGGCTACATAGACGTGGGACTCAGTGGCAGCAATAGCGTGGCCATCCAGGTGGTTGTGGATGTGCGGCAGGTTGACCCATCGGTCCTCATATATAAAGTAGCCCACACACTCACTCAGGTAGTCTCCTCCTTCTGACACACCACCAACTACCATGATAACGTCCATGTTTTGGCCAAAGCGCGGCTGAAAGGAGGCCATGTGGGAAGACCAGAACTCCATATCAGCTGACTTGAGGTTCTCAAAGCGAATGGCGTGGCCTTCCACTGCCTCTGACACCAGCCTGAGACAGGCCTCATTCGCAGCCACCAGACTCTCATTTTTTACTACCCTGGTGAGATAGGTGGGCTTGATTTGGGGCAGCCTCAGGAGGCGGAACAGCTCTTCAAAATAGCGGCCTCGCTCTTCAGGGTTCTTCTGAACCCACTTTACCACAGCCTCAAAGAGCACCTCCTCAGAATCCACTGTGATCTCTGCATCTGACAGCCAGTCACGCACCAAGTGGAAGGGCAAGGTATAAAACTCCTCATCCTGGATAACCTTGTGGAAGTTACGACGGATCATGTCTGCAGCACGGAGAGCCAGTTGGTCCAAAGTGTACATGTGGGCTAGACTGTGCACCGCCACACAGTTGGTCAGGCTCAGCTTCTTCTTGAGAAATTCACCACAGAAATCCTTCAGCTGCAGCAGTAGGAATCTAATAAGGAGCAGACAGGAGAGACACATGTCAGAGAGAATTTTAACTCTATGATTAGTTTGTTCAACCTTTGCTTTTGAGGTCAAGCTGGTTCTTTGCAAGAACACAAAAAGAACAATTTCAGAGCAGTCACTGAAGGCCTCATGCTTTGACTGTCAAAGTCCCTGTCACACACACGCACGCGCACACAGACACACACGCACTCATACACACAGAATTGTGTCAGAAATCAGATCTTACCTGTCAGCTAGCTCCAGTACTTCGTGTACATTGCAGGTGCTAACGCGTATTTCTCCTGTGTACATGTATTGGATGACACTCTCCACCGTGTCTGGGTCGGGCCCTAGTTCTGAGCTCCATTCCTTCATCTCAACCCGTCCGGACAAGGACTCGGAAAACTGTCCACCCAGCAGAGGGGTAAAATAATCTGTAGCCGCAGCCAGAACAGACCTGTGGGCTGAAAACTCGCAGCTCTGGACGCTCCCGGTAGCCACCCCGCTGCTGAAGGCCAGCGTCACGTCGCAGAATAAGCCCTGTTTCCTCTGCTCGTTCTGCCGCCGAGAAAGCTCCGAGCAGTGCGAGGAGGAGGTGAAGTCCTCGGTCTCTTCCGCGTCCCCGTCTCCTGCAAGGGCGCTGGGTGTGCCGGTGCTGCCACTACTGCTACTCCTGGCGGAGTCCTCCGGGTTGGGAGCCGCCGCTGCCATTCTGCTGACAGCACTGGAGGTGCGCAGAGATGGAAAATGAAGTAAACTAGTGAAGGAAAGGAGGCGACATACGCAGCCACACATACATGGAGTCAAAACAGAGCGCCGCAGCGAAGTGCGTTTCACAATCGACTGATATTAGCGTCTTAAAGGAGCAACGCGTCTGGCCGGAAAAGTCATCTGAAGTTGTACATTTTTAATGGAGTGATACAACCATAAATTCAGCAATTAAAAAAATGTGCTTCGAGTTGGGTCCTCTTCTCACTGTTGGGGTTCTCATCAATTAAACGGGGTCGGTTACTTTACATTATAAAAATTATGAAAAAATAATAATCGTAAAAATGCAGAATAAATGAGGTATCTGTTACAGAGGCTATTTTTGACCGACGACAGTGTAAGTGAGCAATTGATTTAGATTTAAAGTAAATAAAAAATAAAATAGAAACGTAATAACGATTGAGGAACCAACTTCAGTTTTGTAAACAGACACAATCTCTGACTTGCGCAGTGGATTTAAGGCGTGCCCGCGTCGATGACGTCGGTTGCAGTTCCCTCTGCTGAGCTCTGCACAGGAGGAGGAACATGCACTGACATGCATGTAGTTTTCCCCGTTTTCCCTGTTGACACAATAGTCAAACCTTAAATAAATGCTTACGGTAGTTTAAAAACGACTTGTAAAGACTGTATAATTACTGCGGATTACAAATAAGTATAAATAACCCCTGATGCCCTGTGACCCAAGAAAAATGAAGTGTATGCATCCTGTTTTAATTTGTATGTTACTATGCGTGATACTCATTATATAATGTTCTATACAGACGAGAGAAGAAGCTACCTCATATAAGACGACGTAATAGCTGGAGAAGTACAAATACAGTATGTCCACCCATGTCTGATTAAATAAATAAGGCTTTAATTTAAATCAGTGGAACTATTTTGAATTATTTACTTGATTTTTTAGGCTAAACTTATATCCAAGTACCTTAGTAAATAAGGTTTTTATAATAGAAGTTAACATGTACATTGATACTTAATGAAAAATGAGAAAATTGAACACATTGGCATAATTTTCAAATTAAACTAATAATAAGAAACTGCTTTTCGAGCATGATTTCATTTACTTAAGACCAGCTAGAGTCAGCCACAAGACATGGAGGGTGTGCAGAGTAGTAAATCTTTGAAAGGATTTAGATATCAAGTTAACAAAGTCCTCAAATGCAATCAGGAACCGACCCAACCCTAAAACATGTTTTCTGTAAATGATTCATCCGGCCAGAGTTCAACTGTATATTGATGAGATTAGGATTCACATTTTATTTGACTCAATGACACAGCTGTCAACATACAATAAGTCATTATAGAGGCACGTTCAGTTCACAATGAAACCGTTGAAAACAAATAGTTGTGAAAATACTGGTGAGGTTACAGACTGGCCACATGGTTTAGTCACATTCAAGACAATATTGGTGCCATCTTTCAGACTGCACACATTGAAGAAAATGTCAGGTTTCTTTATTTTTTAATGAAGTGAAAAGCTTCGTTCCTCAGACTTTCCATTATTAAGATTCTCTCCAGTGGATACCTACAACACATTCTGAAATGTGTGGCAGAAATCTTGGTCATACCTGTGAGTTATTTATTGATGATGTATTGATGTTTGGCATTAAAAATACAGTTATAGCAGATGTTTTGATAGTTTAAAAAAAAAGAACATATCTTATTAACCATGTATAAATATATATGTAACATTTGGAATAGATAATGGCAATATCAGTAAAAATGATTTGCTATTTTATAGGAGAAATACAGAAATGTCCAAATCATTTGTGAGTTTGTGGCACGAGTTGTATTCATGTTTTTGAGCTCAGAACCCTAAACGGGAGTATTTGATTTGTAGATATATTCATAACTGCATCTTTGGGGTTATGGCCATAGGGACCTCGATCATTTAAAGAACAGGGTAAATGAGAAGGTTGAAAGTAAACATTTATTATTTTTTCTTATGTTGAAAAATCCTCCCCTTCTGTTCAAGCCATTTCAGAAAATACTTTTACATTTTTCACCAGCTATTAAGGAGTGGGGAATGAGGAGGAGGTACAGCATTACTTCCCTGGAATGACTCATTAAGATGGTTACCACATTGAGCAGACTGATGTTTGAAAGATTAAAACATTCTTGTACTACTTGGTTATTCTATTAATACATCTATACACAAATAAAGCTCTGCTCTAGAGTCAACCCTTTTACTATCATTTTAGCATTATTGCACAACATGTTATTCCCCGTGTAGCAAGTTTATGATCTTTGTACCGAATGATCTTGGTAGCTCCACATAGACACAACAGTTTGTAATACAGACACACATGCTAGGTTAATACAACATGAAGTATTATTCTGGGATTAGCAAAGGACTTCAACTAGCCATGAGTACTGGTGGCTTCAAGTTGAAAAGCCCAACTCTAAACCCTCGACTGTAAGACTGATTCATCTTTAAACACTTTGTCAGATTCAGTCATCTTCTGACCGGAGATTCACAGTTTAGCAGGTTTTGCTAATGTACAGAATTGCAGCACTGACAGGTTTCCAAAAAATACTCATAGCTTTCTAAACATTATTAGCATTTAGAGCTATATATATTAAAAGTAACATCTTCTCTATAATATTACAAAGCCTTGAGGTGACAATCACACTGTGAGAGAGGAAATAATGACTGGGATGAAGGAATTTGAGAGATATATCTGCTGATATTCCAGTTTCATCCCTCTGATTACATGGACATGTGTTCTGGGAGCACATAAGAGATGTCATCCCAGGGGTGCCGATACAGACCCTGTTTCAGCCTCTTTTGGTCCAAGTAGTGACCTGACAAGAAATGGAAAAATACATTCAATGTAGAAGTTTTTTCAATCCAACACAGAGACAGCACGTACACAGTAGTGTGGCTCCCCACCCAAATGACTCACCAATGAATCCCATGCTCCGTCCCAGGACAAAGATGCCATTCAGAGCTCCGATTTCTACAAACTCATCTGCTTCATCCCTGTTGAGGGGACAATGAACGGGAAAAAAATACAAAAGAGGGGATTATTTAAAAGATAGCTGCACAAAATGTACAAAATGTGAAGGGGAATGCAAAAATACACACACAAAAAAAACTGATCTTTACTGTTTAAAAGACATCATAAAGACTCATCAGCTCACCTTGTAAAACCACCACAAGTCCTGAGCAAGTCCACAAATGCTACACCAATGAAGCCATCCACATTCAGGATCAAATTGGGTTTCTGACACAATAAAACACAAAGGAAAACGAGGATTGTATTTTGTATTCCAGAGGGTTTAACAGCGGCTGTGATAGACAAGATGTAGAGATAAATCTCACCTTGGATGTGGTGATCTTTTCTACATCCAGAGCATAGTCCAGCAGCTGAGAGGAGGGGAAGTGCTGCTTCACAAAGTCTTTCAAGATCTGGACTCTCATGTCTGGATTGTTAATCTGAAAGAGCACAGATAATTTACTTTAGTTTTCAAATGGTGTAGTACTCTAGAACATGTCCTCCACAATATATTCCTGTTTTTAAAGTGCAGTCTACAGCTTTTTATCCTCTTTTATTTAAAAACCTTGTTTTTATAGCAGCTAAACTTTGATTCATAGATCATTCGGCTGCCATCCACACTGACTTACACTACAACAGGAAGCCTCAGTACTTACAGATTTCACTCTGTGCCCGATGCCCATGATCAGCTTGCCATCTTTCTTCATCTTGTTGACAAACTCCATGGGCAACATGCCGCTATCAAAGGCCTTGCTGAACTGCTTTGCTGCAGCATCAAGGGCACCTCCAAAGCGATCGCCCTAAAAACAAAAAAAGTAAAAGCAGAAACTATAAAAAACTTGAGGGGAAATTTAAAGTGATTTATGTTTGTGAACGGCAGGTTTTAGATTCTTACGATGGTGAGAAGGCCTGAGGTGAGGCTGGAGATGAGATCTTTGCCAGCTCGCGCACAGACTATGGTGTTGTGGGCACCAGAGACAGCAGGGCCATGATCAGCAGTCACCATCAGGCACATCTCAATGAACTGACAGGCATACCTTGGCAGCCTACACACACACACACAAGAGTAAACAAAAAAGGAGAATCTACTCAGGGATTTCTCTAAAGTTTGTTCCTCATAGCTCGCAGGGTTAAGATGCTGACCTCCTCTGGAACCAGAGCAGCCCCAGAGTTCCTCCCAGGCCGATCTCTGACTTGAAGACCTCAGTGATTGGCATGCCTGCGTAGATGAGCTCCTGACCTCTCTCGTCACAAATACTGGTCATGAAGGAAGCGGGCTTACGGATAAGACCCAGCTCCTGCAGGGTCAACAGAGGAAAGCAAAAATATGGGAAGAGGGTGATCAAAGTCTATGTATATTTCTGTCTCATTTTAAAACAATTTTTAATTTGCTAGAGATAATGATCCAAAGTATGTATGACTGTGAGCACACTCACCCGGGCCCAAGAGTAATCCATTGGCACGGTTGGAGGAGGCATCTCCTCAGCTGGCTGAATAACTCCCTTGGCAACAAGATCATCATAAACAGATCTGCATGGATAGAAGAAGTCAGACACGCAAATCTCCATGGAAAATAGATAATAACTCATTATTATTGTAAGTAACACACTTGATGATCTCTCCAAGCTCGTCAAAGCTCTTGGGGACAAAGGCTCCAGCGTCCTTCAGGGCTTTGTTCTTAGCTACTGCTGTCTCAGAGGCCTGGTTGGCACAGGCGCCTGCATGACCGAACTGAACCTGAGGGGTAACAAAAGGCACAGTATGGGTAAAAAAATGCCATTAAAATATACATCAGCCTTAGCGGTGCCTGAAATGGATTAGATTCTACATTTGCACTCTCACCTCTGAGGAGAACATGGTGGCACAGGTGCCAATACACCAGCACACCACTGGCTTTGTGATTCGACCCTGTTTGATAGCTTGGCAGATCTTGTACTCCTCTGTGCCTCCAATCTGTAAAAAGCAGAGACAGATACTGGATGGTGAAAAAAATCCACTGCAGAGGTTGTAGAGACCTCTGTCAGTGTGGATTTAATCCTCACCTCTCCCAGCACAACGATCATCTTCACTCCAGGAGTGTCTTGGTAGCGCAGCACATGGTCAGTGAAGACAGAGCCAGGGTATCTGGAGAAGACTCCAAGTTTAGACAGCAGTTCAGTCACACAAGCACACATTTTGCAGATATCAGAAAGGTACATACCTGTCCCCACCAATAGCAACACCTTCAAAAACCCCGTCGGTAGTGCGGGAGATGATGTTATTGAGTTCGTTGGACATGCCACCTGAGCGGGAAACGTAGGCCACACTGCCTGGACGGTAGAGCTTAGAAGCAAGGATGTTATCCAGCATGCCTCCTGTGTTACCAATCTTGAAACAGCCTGGCTTAATACCTCCAACCTAGACATAAAAACACAGACACACACACACACACAGATTTGCTTCTTTAAGAAAATGAGAACGGGGAAGAGTGTGATGAATCTATAAAGGCGCAAAACAATACTAACGGTTGCTGGTCCAATGATTGTAACACCCTTCTCATCTGCAGCTTTGATGATCTTCCTGGTGTGAGCTTCAGGGATTCCCTCGGCGATGATGGCAATGGTGCGGATCTATAAGAGCATTAAATAAAAAGGCATGACTTTGGGGACTTGAGCTGTAAAGAGCCCCACAGATGGTGAATTCATTTACCTGTGAGTACTGCATGGTCTCCATGGTGCTATCAAAGGCTGAGCGTAAAGAGGCAAAGCTAATGAGCACGTCTACATCTGGGTGCTTCTTCATGGCGTCAGCCATGTTCTTATACACAGGGATGAGGATCTCTTTATGACCCCAATAAAACTTCTGCTTGTGGTCTCCCCTGAAGGACAGACAAACACACAGAAAGAAAAAAGGTCACACAGGTAGTTTTTATTAAATTACATGTTCAGTTTACATTCACTCCATTGACAGCAGCCGAGCAAAGACACTATAGAGGAAGGACACAGTGTACATACGTGAATGGGTAGACCATGGCTGCGACAGATGGCTCAACTCTGGAGCAGACATAGTCAAAGTCCAGCATGCCCTGCACTGCTCGAGTCTGCATACCCCACACTATGGACTTGGTGTGTTTGCTGAAGAGGGTAGTTCCCTTGGCTACAAAGAAATAAAAGTGATTAAAAGGACAAATACACTGGAAACCAGGTCAGTTAAATTATTGCTGTGTCTTTCTTCCTCAACACTTCCTTTTTTTTCTACACAGTAATGAACAAATATCTAGATTGTGGTGTTTTTACAGTTGTAATGGTGTCAACAGTTTGTCGATGTGTCACTGTCATTTTCTTCAAAAAGTAAAAAGGACATGCTGTACCTAAAAAGATTTCGTCAGAGCATGCAGCTGCTCCTGAGTGCTTATGCAGCAGAAACCCTGATTTTACTGTTTTATGAATCAAGTCCTTGCATGCAGAGATTTACTTAGCTCTAAGTTGCAGGTTATTCTGGCTGTCTAAAGGGGGAGCTGTAACACCTGAGCTCAACTAGTGATGATCACTGGAACAACATTTCCCGAGCAGAGGGTTTGAGTATGAAAATATATGAAAGCCTCAGCACTCTGTCTGCAGCTGTATGTGTGTTTGTTCTCACCCAGAGGACCTCCTGTTTTGGCCTTCTTGGCTGGAGAGCTCTCAATACTGGTCCTGTTGTCAGAGAACGAGGAAGTCCTGCTCGATGCTGGGGTCTGAAAACAAAAATAAGACATCAATTTTACAAACCGTATTCTGCTGTGAAAACTGAAAATTGAGCATGTTTTTTTTTTAATCAGGGCAGTTCACCTGCTGTAACTGTAAAAACACTGCTCCTTTTTATTTATGACAAAAGTGCACAGAAGCCTGAAACTTTCAGGTTATTTTTAAGACATGACCTCAGTGTCACCACAAAGCTCTACTTGTGAAGCAAACAACCTAAAATTCATGACTGGCTGAAATGAACTGCAGTGCTGCGAGTTTTAGACTGAAAACTTCAGAAATAAAAACAGCCATATACTGCTTAACCTTATGTTAAAGCAAACCTCTCAAGAAATAAAAGGTCTTTAATGGCACAGCTGAGAGCAAGAATCCTTCCCTTGAATCTTGAAGTCAACAGACTTTAAAACATTCCTGAAGATGAAAGGTTGTGTGAACTATGTGAACTCAATGAAGTGGAAAGTGAGTCACATGAACTGAGCACTCCCTTATTTTCTGAAATGTCTGTTAAAAATCCAGAAATTTTCTGGTATTCTGATGATGATAGAATAAACAGGCTGTTTAACTTCAATGTCTTTAGCTAATTTTGTTTCTGAAGCCTGGAAAAAGCGTCAGGATTGTTTATATGCTTAATTGGTCTAATGTCTGTTATCTGGTTTTCATCTGCTATTATATGTTCATTTTTTTGGTGTCTTTTAAGTCCACTCAGGCTGGGCACTTCTTGTGCATGACACGCTAATAAAAAATTTCAATTCAATTCAATTCAATACTGCTTATCTATGGACATCAATCATTTTTGTTCTTGGACCTGTATTTCTTCATATTCTTGTTCTAGTCTTGCTGTGTTGTGATTCACATACAGTTCCCTGATCTTGACATTTTTCTTACAGATATCCATCATGACATTTGAAGCATACAGTATATGCAAATACATGAATGTTCTTATGCACACACATGTGCAGGCACGCACATCCACTTTTTTCAGAAGCACAGTCTTAATGGATGCCTTTGGGCACTAAAGCGCATTTCTGACTGCAGCCTCATGACTACCTGAGTGAAAGCAGTCCTCTTAATGCTCTTCTATAAAAGAGCTTTTGGGCTTCTAATACTGGGGTTCAACAAAGGGACACTTATAACAGACACAGACGCAATGGCATGTGAGTCTTCTGCACAGTAGGTGCAGCCGATGATGTAAGGTCACCACATAGTCAGCCAGCACAATATCATGGCAGCCAATTTGTCTCAGTTACGTCAGAAGTGTCATACCGATGAGCCGCCGCTGGAGTTAAGGAGGAAGTTGGCCGTGTGGGCGGCGACGGGAGGCTCGTTGGGGATTGGCCGGTGGCCCAGTGCCATGCCAACAATTGCAGTCATGTGAGTTTCTGTTCCAAAGACATGGATGGGGATCCCAGTGGTCTTTCCTGTGGAGAGCAGGCAGAGCTTAAGTCTGTGTAATGCAGAAAACCAGCAGGTGCTTTTTGAACAAAATTTACTCAAGACCTGTTTTCATAGCTAAAGAAAGAACATACCGACTTCTCCCATAACTCTGAGACCTTCCTGGTAGTTTGGCCCTCCACGGCGAACAAATATGGTCACCTCATGCTCTTTGAGCGGGACCTGATAATCTCTGATGGCGCGCACAATCCCCTGATAAAGACAAGAATAATTTCAGTAAATAAAGAACAAGATAAAAACTACAGAAGCATATTGCATTCACCATAAAAAAAAGGAAAAAACAAAACTCAGTTTTTCAAAGTAATTTTTTCTGTTCTGTTCTTCTAAATAATTTTTTTCTTTCGTTCAGAGTGATTTATTTATTTTTCTTTTCTGTTTTTTAGAATATTTTCCCCCCTGTTTTTCAGACCAATTTTTCTGTTTTTCAGACTGTGGTTTTTCTGTTTTGTTTCTCAGGCTAATTGTTTTTCCTATTCTCTGGGATTATGATCATTTAAAAACAGACTCTTTCAACCCCCCCTATGCTCAATTTACTGGAAGCAAACATGTCCCATTTGTTTAGTTTAATCAAGTTTTACTTTCTTTTGGGTTTGAGACACTGGGAGATACTCCTTTCTTTCAGTTAGATGGAATTGTCATAAGTTTGTCTACTTTGTGCAGGCACCTAAGGATTTGCATACCTTATGTTTAACTAATAACATGCTTTACTCTCATTGATCTGGTTAGTCGAAGCTATCTAGGAGCTGGAAAAGTCGGCAATTTGGAGCAGCCACGGTGATTGCATGACATTCTGGCAGAATTTTGTTGAAGTATCTCACTTAGTTAGGAAAAAAAATATTCAGAAAAACAGAAAAATAAAAAAAAAATAATACTATAAAAAAAAAAACAGAATAAAATTTGCCCGAAAAAACAGAAAGAGGGGGAAAATATTAGTGCAAAAACAGAAAAAAATAGTCAGAAAAACAGAAAGAAGAAAAAAAATTACTCAAAAAAAGTTTCCTTTATTCAGTGAATGCAATATGCTTCTGTAAAAAACAGATACTACATAAACAAAAAGACATGCAACACTATACCTTAAATGTTGCTGCAACATTTGTGAAGTTTGCTATGCTTCCACCGATGATCAAAACTTTTCCTGTAAAAAAATGCAACAGAAACATCTCCTAAATAAATTTAAAAAAAAACTTCCCTCAGTACCATCAACAAGGTAGGAGGCTTTCCTACCTTCAGGGTGCTTCTCTCGGGTCATCAGAGACAGGATGGTCTTAGCGTAGTCATAGGTCTGCTGTTCACTCGGTGCTCCTGAATACTCCCCATAGTTAGCCAGCTCGTTGACACCGCCCAGGTCACAGATTGTGTCACTGGAAGAGTTGAACATAAGTCACTGGCACTGTGGAAAAAGAACTTAAACACGACTGAAGATTAAGAGAAACAAGATGATGCACTTCTCCATCTGTTCTGAGTATTCAGCACTGCAAACAAATAACTTTAGAGTGCACAGGGGGGATAATTAGCCATGGATGATAATTCTGTATGTCACGCTTTCTACCTCAACAGACGAAGGCTTGGGGGAGACGCTGCACACTCCCCCAGACTCTCACTAAGACTGAAGCATCTTAAAATCCAATTTAGCCGGTAGCTGAACAGACAGTCTGATCTGCTGCACCATCAGTCTCACTGCTGCATGCTCTCTTAATGCTAAACCCAATTATATGTAGTGAAATGGATGCAGTCTTGGTAAAGCTTTGAGCAGATTTCAGCCACAGAGAGCAGCTGGGGTCTTATTTATTGAAGCTGCGACAGAATACCTGTACACCACTGAGGCGCCTCCTCCTGCCACCATGGTCCAGATCCTGCCTCTGGGGTTGAGCAGGGTCAGTTTAAGGCTGGCGCCGCTTTTTGCATCAAGGTCAGCGATGTAGGCCTCCTGCAAAAGACAAAGTAGAGGCCAATGACAAGGTGAGATGACGTTACTTGATTGGAACAGTGGGAGGGTAGCTGGAGTGGGCTGATTTTGTGTGCGAGTGTGTGTGTGATTGGAGCCTTAATCAGAGAAGTACTTTCACAAGCACAGCCTGATGCCGGTGCTGGCATTGATTTTATTGTGCCATTAATTGGAAATATTGTACATGCATAAACAGAGATGCTGTACGTGATGTGCATCAGTTGATGTTTTTGACAGTCAGGTCCACAGCTGGTGTCTGACAGTAAGGAAAACCTAATCAAAGACACCCGCTGTCCCACGTCCACACTGCAGATTCACAGCAGCCCAATTAGAGCGACCCTTCTGCTACACAGACAGTCTGTCTCAAACAAGCATCTGGCAATATTGGAATAAAATCTTAAATACACACACTTAAAAAAAACAACAACAGTAAAATACCGTTATTTTTGAAAATTAGGTGTTTTCTCTTGATTTATTTCATGACTTTTATAAATAAACACTAAAATAAAGACAAACACCTTTACTTAGATATACCTTTCATTCTCTCTGTCCTCTCTTACCTCAGGATAAGCCTCTCTGCCGAAGGGTGGAGGGAACTCCACATCTCCCCACTTGGCTTTGCAGATGTAGTCAGCTGTAGCATCGATTTTGGCCGCCATGTCCAGCACATAAACCCCTTCTTTTGTAACCACTGACAGACAGAGATAACAAGAGCGTTGACATCTATCCTCAAACAAGGTTCGCCAACTCCCTCCCGCAGAAAGCCACTGTCAGCATAAAGCATGAGTTTTGAACAAGTCATATAAGGACCGAATTTGGTGATAGGCGACCACAGCTTTTCTGCTGTCCCTGCAGGAGGTGGACGGAAAGTGAAGATGAGGAGGAAGAGGGACATCAAAGCGCAGAGAGCCGGTCTCAGCAGCCATGTTCCCTCTACAGGAACAGCTGCCAGAGGGCTGTACTGGTGCCCAATTACTCTATCATAAATACATGCTGCCTTCATCAAACAGTCGGGGCATGAATTATTGAAGTTTTTCCTCCCACAGTCTAAAAACTGTGGAAAAAAATCAGCTGCAAGGATGCAATGTGTTTTAATATGCACTGATGTTTTCATTTCCAACTTCCTTTTGATGTCCCCTCATCCATTACATAATAAGATCACATACTCATGAGGTAGTGTTTAGATTAGATTTCTATGCAATCATGATTCTTGTCAGGACTTTACACATCTGGGTTTCAGGGATGTGACAGAAAAAAGCAATCAGGAAAAAAGGGAACACCTACCTAATGGGTTGATCTCCAGGTACGTGAAGAACAGGTCCTCATACAGGTTGAAGAGCCCGACAATGAAGTTGGCCAGGACTCTGCAGGGAGACGAGAAAACTAATCAGTCGCTGGTGTTTTGATGAAATGATTCGGATTTCTGTTCTAGTGTTATTATTGACTTTATAATACGCAAACAGGGCTAGTAACAGTTTCACACATGTGAGGTTGGTCTGCGTTTTCTGTTTCGTATCGTTATAGTTAGTTAGTTATTTAGTAATTGAAGTGTCATGCACACAAAGTGCCCAACCTACATGGGTTTATAAGACACTAAATAATATCAACAGACAGTGTTGCATAGCGTGAAAAACTAAAAAAAAAAGAGGAAAAGGAAAAACATACAAGTACACATAAAATTAGATCTACACCCGTAAACTACATAAACTCAAATCAAATGTACAACACATTTTTTCTCTTTTCCCAAGACTTATAAATAAAGTTAGCTGTATAAAAAACTCGTATTTTAAAACACAATTCAAGTTTCTTGTAGTCATCTAAGTAAAAGAAATCATTGGATAACAAACTCATTTTCTTGAAAAATAAATGTCTGAATTTGTCATACAAAGGAACATAAAATGAATCTCATTTTCTGTTTGTTCTAAATCACAGTACAGGTGAAGTCTTTGTTCCTCTGGTACACCACTAAACCTGCCTGTTTCAATAGCCAGTGGTTAAGTGCCTGTATGCAATTAAGCACAAAGGAATCTTTGAGTTTTTGTTATATTTTAGATTATATTATAGATGAGCATATTTGGGTTTAAATGTGAAACCTCTGTCTTTTTGTTGACTCATCTTGGATTTCATTGTTTTTCTTCTGTTGTGCGTATTGATTAAATAAGTCACTAAACAAAAAGTAATTTCCTTATGATTCCAACTGTAAGAAACGACAGCCTCCTTAATGCAGGACAGGAGAGCCGGACAGGAAACAGCCCACCTTTTAACTGACTATAGAGGATGAGATCCAATTAAAGTCCTCCTTCAAATGTCAAAACAGAGCAGTGAGTTATGGGAGAATGCTGAGGGGGAGTTGGGGGAGGCTGTTTTGTTTTCCTCTCCTGCCTGTCAGTTTTGCAAGCAGCTCAGAGCCTCTGTTACCACGTCAGCCTGTTGTCAGACGTCCACTGGGAGTAAACTATGACCAAATCCCTCCAGTGACTCAGCCTCTACTTCTGACAGGAGGGCAGGAAAAGCGGGCCAAGAAGGTTCCTGTTTTGAATCTAGAGTGGGTGGTGAGGGTGAGGAAAAGAGTGAAAAAGGGTGAGGAGTGGAGCTTCTCCAATGTCAGCCAAGACAGCCAGTCTGGCCTGTGCTGCTGTGGAGATGGATGGGAGGGTGTAGAGGGGTGAGCCGCTGTATCATACCAATCAAAATAAAAGGACGTGCCGTGAATGTGGCTGGACTGTAAAAAAGGCTGGGGGTGGGGGCTGATTGAAAAAAAGGAGTTTGTCATTTGTCTAATGGAAACCCTCCACCCGCCTTCTCCTGCTCCCCCTACATTCACTGCCAGTATCAAAGTGCTTTTTCCACCTTCTTCATGCGACATTTTCTTTCCTCCTCGAACCAAGTCTTTTACTACAAAACAGAAAACAATCTTTTCCCCCTTTTCTGTGTTTTTACCATAGCTAATTTTAGCCCTGTGTGATTTAAATCTTCTGACTAAGGTTAAAGATGAAGTCCTGGACCACTTTTTCTGTTCCACTTACGATTTCTTGTCATTGGGGACGTGACTCAGCAGTTCTTTCTTCACAGAGTCTTCACTGATTTTTTCATCCACCCCAATCAGCAGCTTCTTCGCCTTAGCATCCACATCTCCCACATCCACCCCGCCTTCATGATGGAACAGCACATAGTCGCCCTCTCGGGTGGCGTAGATGCACACATAGAACTCCTCCTCCTAGACCAGACATATTTTATGACCACTGTTATCTAAATCAGGATCATAAAACTCTCAAATGAATCATTAAATAGTTCATGTTTTAGGAGTGCTTTACCTGCTTGTGTGGGACAAACGGCTCAATGAGGAAGTTCTTAAGGATGCCGTTGGCTTTTCCCACCTGAGGATCATCAAGAAAATACTTTACTTAGAGCACGAAATGCTTAATCAAGAACAAAAACATGAGTCAAACAGCCTATTTGCAGATTTCAGGCATATTAATGATGCTAAATGATACAGCACTTAAAAATAACGCAGGATGATCACTTGACACAAAAGAAAGGAAAGGTTGAGAAGAGAGGAGAAGAAAATGTCACCATGTTTTACTGCAGGCAAAGCTCCTGCTCAGCCACAGCTCATTTAGAGAGGCTGTCATCGTGTCTCTGTTAAAGGCCAATAGGCACAGAACAACCAGGGACCGGCTGAGAGCAGCCAGCCGAGGAGAAAACCGAACAAAAAGAGGGAGAGAGAGAGAGAGAGCAGAAAAGGGAGGTAGACGGTGGGAGGAAAAAAACAAACCGTCTATCACAATTTTACAAAAGGGCTCCAACAAAATGAGATGAATGATCTGACTTGGGTTACTGCCTCAAACAGGAAAGCCACTAATGTTGTAGATGATTTAATTTAACCACTTAAACTAATATGATCACACAAAACATGAATTACTTATTCAGTAAAATGAAAGAGTGAGCCACTGCAGCGCAGAAAACACAGTGAATAACGTGAAAAGGAAGGAAGTTGCAGGATCTGCTAGGTGTCAAAGTTATTCATAGGTGCTGGTTTCTGATATGACCAATTCCTCTTAAAAAAGTTGCTCTGTTGACTTCCTCTGATAAACTCACAAGCTAACTAAAAACAGGCCGTTTTGACCAGATCAACATCTCACTTTTTCGTTACTGCGGGGAAACATTCCTCTATTTATCACAGAAACAAGACTGTTGAAGATAATCATGTGCGTTGCAAATTTTATAGATCCAAAGTTTCCAATTCAAGCAAACAAGAAATGAACCATTAGGGTGGTCCTGATACAATATTGTTATCGGATATCGGTCCGATATCAGCCAAAAAACAAAAATCGGATCATATCGGCTTGCATCTAAAATGTCTGAAATCAGTACAATCCAATCCAATCCAATACAAGCAGTCCATTTCAGACTTCACTCTTGCACCTCTAGCTACCAGCGCCCAGATCCAGCATGTAGAGCCCATGTGGTCACAACAACAGTGTCTCTAGTGTCACTAAGGTACGAACAATATAGCAAAGGTGTAGGAGTGATGTCAGCTGTGTGGCAGTACTTCTTGTCATGCACAAGTTTGTGCCAATATCAGATCAATATCAGTATCGGCCGATACTGAAGGCTACAATATCGGTATTGTATCAGACACCCTTATGAACCATGCAGCAAATACACAAGCAGCATCGTCAGTCTAGCTAACATGAGGCTAATAACTTGCATCTTTTCAAAGGTAGTATAAAAAAGAGAAATGGGATATGCTGCCCTAACCTTTTTTTATGGTATTACAGCTGTAGCTTTGTGTATTCTCATTTACAACCACTGACAGCTGCAGACAGTTCTCTTTCTCGTGAAAAGACATATTGATGCAATCTACGTGCTGCAACTCACACCAACAGTCTTCTTCAAAGCTTTATGAACCATCCTAGTCCCTCTGCTACTTGTTATTTGGTTTATGAGGCAAAGCAGCATCTCAGCCTCGCAGTGATGGATCTGGTGTGCCGTGCTTCATGCCGACTCGATTGATAGACTGGCTGTTTATTCCCGAGCTGCAAGCGTTACAGCTGAGCTGACCAGACTGATTTACAACCAGCGGACTAACACTGAACGCCTCAGCAGTCCGTTCAGGCAAACACACAAACCAAATGCATCAGTGCAAAAAAAAACAAGAGCCGCAGGTTGAAGGAAAGGGCATGAGGAGGAGTGTCTGAATTAAGCTCTGGGATAATATTGATTAAAGGAGTGTTCAGCTAAGAGCACACTCTAAAACTGGAGGGTTGGAGAAGGTAATTGGCTGAAAAACAGCAGAGATGGAGAGGGTGGATGACGTACAGTAGTCTCTTTCATTAGGCGGGACTTCAGCCACTCCTTGACACCGTTCAGGTCCATGTTGACGCCCACCAGGCCCAGCTTTCCTCTCCTCTTGATCAGCTGGTCTGGCTTCACCACCAGCCTCTGGAGAAGAAAAATAAACATGTTTTTAGAACAAAACAGGGTCATACTGAGCAAAATGTATCAAACTGTTTCAATAACACAGCAGGGTCTGAAGTGCATTTTCTGCTAATCTTTTTTTTTTAATAATCCGTCACCTGAAGCTCGATCAAATACTAGTTTATATTTCTTGAATTTTAAACCTCATGCATGTAAAAAAACTGGAGTGAAAAAGACAATTTCTGCACATTTCTCACATGTTGGATTCTGATGACAATAAAAGTGATGGTATTTTTATTATCAACCACCTGTCAATGTGAGAGCTTATACTGTAATTATGCAGTGATGCTGTGTGTGTGACAACAAGAGTTCATTCATTCATCATCTGCTGAGGTACAAAACATAAGTAGGATTCTCTAAAACACTCTGACTCGAGAGCCTGCTCTTTCCCTCTCTCGCCATAGATAGAGAGAATGACTTATGACAGCTGAGCCATTAAGATCTGGGTGCTCGCCAGTGAGCAAAGGAAGAGCAGGTAGGAGGTGAAAGTTAATGCAATTGCCTAATCAATTCTACCAGGGCATATATCTCTGTGTATCTACCCTGCACATCTTCCTCCACATCCTACCTTCCAGATTAAAAGCCTCAGATGTGAGGGACACACAGGGGGATTGACATTTTATCCCGCAAGATGACTCACAGAGTAATTCAATTAACTTCTATTTTAGCCCGTCGATCTGCTACTGCTGCATTTTGAAGAGCTGATCTGAAAGCGTGGCGTTGTGGAAAGAGTCTGAAGGTTGTTGTTTGTCTGGGGAACAATTAGACCAAGAAATCCTATGGAAGCTGAACTCTGACCTCTGTGTTACCAAGAATCAAAGTGGGAAAAAATGCATCTTTCTTGTGCATCTGTTGCATTTCCACTGAGAATGCGGCAGCGCTACGACATCACTTTGCTCTCTATGACATCAGAAAACAGACGCCAAGAGACCGCCAGCCAAAGTAATTGTCTCATAAAGAGGAGACCATTTTTCAGAGGCTGAGGAGTCGATGTACTTTAGGCATTTATGGGCTATAAATTTGTGTTGCAATAACTAATTGTTCACTCAGCGTAAGAATATTTTGTCTCTTTATCCACATTCAATTTTGGTCAGACTGGTCTCTGGTGCCTTACCTCTGTGAGCAGCCATGGGTGCTCTACTGCCAGCCGATTGAAGTCGGTCTCAGGAGTCACATTGGCATAGCGGAATCTGTTCTGCACAGCCGCCGATGTGCAGATGTACTTGTAGAGGAACTCTTTTCCCGTCTGCTCGGAGATGGCCTTGGCTGACATGACTGCTTCAGCTGAATTAGTCTGGGTGAGAAAGTGAACGATTAGGTGAGACAAAGATAGGACGATGAGAGGAGGAGTGGACCATTAAAGAAAAGCAGATGTTCATGCTGGGTTTAAAACATTACATTCTTAAAGCCATACTAAACTCATGCACGAAAAAATTAGCGTGTTACTGTCAGAGCAATAAAGACAGAGTCTGGTAACCAAATGACGAAAAGACATGTGAAACTGGTCCAAGTTTCACATTAATTATGTTACAATTAATAAATGAAAAGTCCAACGTCATTCAATTAGCTACAAAGATGGAAAAATGACTGCAGTTTGTGAAGTGGTGCTGTACATTTTATCCAATCATAATTAAATTATGAAATAAATAATGGAGAGGCTATTTTTTTTTTTAATCCAGCGTAATTTATGTGACGCCCTGGCCCACAAATCTTCTCCAGATTAATTTATGAGATGCGTATTTATATAATTAACCTGCTATGAAGGGAAAACTAGCTTTATTATCCTAAGGGCACTAGAAAATGAGCTGAAATAATGAGACACGTCACATGTTACATCATCCTAATTGATCCGGTGAAAACTGAAACCTTAGTGCAAAATGATCACCCCCTTTGCTGCAATCTGCATCCGTCCATGACTCTTTTTTTCCCCATATGGTGCAGCTTTTGTATGAAAATCTGATTTTCCAGCAGGATCAGACCTCATCATCCTCTGCAGTGTCAGGCTTTATTGTTTGTCTCATAGTGAACTTAGAAAAATACAGACAGTAAAGCTTAATCCAACATGATCAAGCTGTGTTTGTTTGACCTGTGCACTAATGAGGTAATTGGCACTTATTTACCACTCAGATAATCAGATTCCTGTTTAAGTGACAGCAGACAGTACGGAGTGGAGTAATAGGACTGCCTTCAAATCTACACAAGTGATCCACAGATTTTACAAGATCTGTTTTCATTAAAAAGCAAAAATTCAGTGAAATAAACACATCAAGTGATGGAAAATTGTTCCTTTTTTTTTAAAGGCAGAGTCCTTTCCATGAGTGGCAGAACGTGACGGAAGTCAAGTAAGTAAATGTAATGGCATCAATAAATTTTACAGTAGGAGGGTTTAGGTGTGACCTTTATACTTCAGCCATAAGCTCTCCTAAACGGGGTCATCTGCAACAGGACAAACAAACGCATAACATTGGGGTATTTAAGATCACTGCTAATAAAATCATGTCTCCCTGCATGCATCTGTAATCTTCATTATCCTTACAAAACAGTGTAAAGATCAATTGGACACAAACTCCTATGTAAACAACCAGTCATCTAAAGCAATAAAAATGTGGTGTTATAGTTTTTTCTGACTTTTACTGCACTATAAACACAGTAGACACAACATGAACTCTTAAGACAATGAAGACTCTTGAAAAAACAACATTTTCACTGCAATCATACAATACATCTTGCAGAAACCTGGATTATTAGTTTTATTTATCCTATTTAAGATGCGCCACAATTGCTACCCACATGTAACAGGAGGTTTACAACTCCAACAGATGACAAATTTAGCTCATCCTTCACTGATCAATACTGTGAGATGTAGAGATGTAGAGACTATGGAGAGTCCTGTGCATCATGTAACCTTGCAGGGATGGCATTCATACTCAGTGTGTTTCTCCTGTATGCTTCATTACGCTAAAAGCCCTGATGTTGTCTCAAAAAGGTATCCCTCGTTGTACACTGCAGCCGTGACGGCTATTTCTTCAATGGATTAATGGGTCTGTCACAGATCTTTCTGACTATTGATCACCCATGTCCCTGAGTCACTACAGTGCTGGTTCCAGGCCAGGAGAACATCCAGACCTCATCCAGGCACCATAGATCATCCACTTACCTGTCAGCGATATTAACCATCATTGATTCATGACAGCAATAACATTGATTCAGGAGACGCATCATAACATTTCAAAATAGGGGGTGATGGATGACAGTGTGTTAGGTGCAGGTCCAATCAGAACAATAAACAAACTACATTTTTTATATAAATTTTTTTTAAAGTTATTTAGGTGCCTTAAAGATAAAAATATAATATTACAGGAAAACTTTTTTCAATTTTGACCTACAAACAAGGAAGTAAACGTTCCTGTATGAGGGTGATGAGTTAAAGATCAGGATTCAGTCAACTGTTTCATTCATTCACAAACCGGTCAGACAGCACCGTCACACCACTGTCCTTCTTGACAAATACCTACTTAACCATTGAAAAGGGGAACTTCACAAGTCACTCAAACGTTGCGGCAGGTGTGATGCAAATATACAGCTTTAAAAACCAAAGAAAGTCAACTTTTTAGTCAGGATCAATTTCACAGATAGAGACAGACAGGGTAGGATTTGACAAAGGTAGTAAAGAAGCGCGCGCTTGTTGTAAAATAACATGTAATTTACCTTATTTTAGACTTGTTTTTCTTCTTTCCACAGCTCTCGAGGAAGTGATGAGTGGATGTGTGTGTTTTTTTCTCGGCAGAGCTGCTTCACTCTCGCCGTCCGCGCTGACCAGAGGTGCTGGAGTGGAGAACAGCGCTTCCTGGGAGTTTTGTCTCTTTCGCCCATCTGCCGATAGGCTTGGCTGATGTTTCCTGGACCTGATTGGTCGATTCCGTACCATGCTTTATTGACGCCTTCAGGGACATAAAGGAATTACCGCAACATCACAGTTGAACGCAGAAAAACACAGGTAACCCGCGGCCAAATGCGTCATAAGGAGTGAGTTTTATCTTTTGTTATATATTTCTTTTACTCTATTGTTACCACTAACTTACAAATTACAGCTAACCTTTAAAATAAACGAAAAAAGCCAACATGGTACTTGGCATTGCTTTGTTTCAATAGCAAAAATTGTTTGGCTTGAAAAATTTAATTTAATAAATATGAGGACCCACAGCAGTGTAACGCTGCTTGCACATTGGCATTTGAAATAATGCAATAATATCTCAAAGAATAAGTCTGAACCTTACAAAGGTTTTTTTTCTACCTTTACTCGGGTGGTCCTACATGATCCTATACAAAGTTTGAATCAAATCACTTTCATAGTGCATACATTTTATAAGGGATTTTCCAATCATTCCGGGCTAACTTGTAGGTATAATCCGTTTTTCCCAGTGTCCATACACACACCACATATGAGGAAAGCAGGTCAATTATCCACCATTGACGCTGATTGGTTACTATTGCTCACTATGTATTCAACAGCCAATGAGAAAACAGGAGTTGATTTGCAAGAGTTTAACACCGGGCATCCTGCAGATACAAGTGAACAAATACTGACATGCTTTTTTTTGCGATGTGGGTTCATGGTCTTTGGCCTGTATTTGGCCCTCACAATTGAGTTAAATTGTCAGTTTACAGCACACTGTGGGGACCAAACGCTCTTTCGGACATTTGTTTTTACTTACAACTTCAAACTTCAAATTCCCTACATTTGTCACACCAGAACTTTTTCATAAATTCAATTTGTTTTGAGCGTAATCTCTACAAATAAGATATTATTAACCATATATGATGCATGATGCAGTCTTATGAATTCCTAGATTTAAAAACAGAATGTTTGTTAGAAATAGATATATCTATAGATAATAGTTTAAGCCACAGGTGTCAAACTCAAGGCCCGGGGGCCAAATCTGGCCCGTGGAACAATTATATCTGGCCCACAAGATCAGTTCATATTTGTATTATAATTGGCCCACCAGTATGAAGTCTGCAGATTTCCTCCAGTATAATAATGTAAACTTTAGCACCTTTATTTAAAATCCACAAAAATCTAGGAAATTATGGAGTGAGGAAGATTTGATAAATTGCCAAGAATGTGGGGGAAAAAATATTGTTTGTTTTATGTTTTCAATTTTGTATTTCAAGATTACAAGTCAAACATGATTGGATTTTTTATTTCATGCTTTGATTTTGTTCAACTCAGTATTTGAACTTGTATCATTTTTATACTTTAGATTCCAATTTTAAATTTTAAGTCATATTTTGACCTTTTAAACCCGATTTCAATGTTCTCCCATGTATTTGCTCTTTAAAAGCATTATTTTTCTATTTTTAATATCATGCTCTGATCTTTTGAACTAATAAATAAAAAACTTATCTTTTTAGAATTTCTAAATGATTTATAATCATTGCTGTTTTTGTTACATATTATTTGAAAAGGAGGCTGACAGCTTTGGTGAAATGTTGACCCTGTTTGGCCCCCAGGTAAGACCTAATCCAGATTATGGCCCTTGCTGTGGTTGAGTTTGACACCCCTGGTTTAAGCCTATTCTCTCTTTCCAGATTACAGCACTTGTGGTTAAAAAGCCCCAGTGTCACCCAGATATAATGAAAATTTGTGCCAAAAAATCTTGATGCAATGCAGGATGGGGTCCTTCTATCGGTCCAATGTACCAGACATAGGGAGCACTGTTAACATGTATCTCAAGCAGTATACTTGTGATACCATTTTATCTGTAAAGGTCAGAAATCCAGCATGATGTACCTGAAATTCTACTATTTCAAAAGCAGATGTGTGTGTTGTATCCCAGCCTAAATAAATAATGTTAGACTCTGACTCAATCATGTGGAAGATACACAGTGCTGAACTGCTCAAGTGTTGGCTGGTGGAGCATGTGAGATGGTGCCCTCTCCTGGTTTATACTATAAATTACAAGTGCATGCTGCAAGAATGACCGTTAATGTATTTTATCAGTTTCAGTTAACAGACAACATGCAAGACATCCAACTGCAATAACAGCTCTGAGTAGGCCGCAAGTTGTGTTCCTGGAGCAAAGCATCTTCTTTTTTATTAAGTGTACAAAACAAGTGCAAAAATAGTGATTCAGAAGAGCTACACAAAGTAGGACTCGCCCTTCAAAAAATACAGAGGATACAAAGAGAAATGCAATACATGAAGTGCTGTTGAAAAAAGATAAAAGGGATAAACGGTGCAGTATTTGCGCAGTAGAAAAAGATAGCAAAACATTTACTTGATATCCACAGCATTTGATAAGTAGTTAGTGCAAGCAGCTGAAATAAATGCTTAAGTCAAAGGGATTCTCCCTTTAGTAATACACAGTGCAAAGATTTTAAATGGAAGGACCTCTATTAATGACAATCATTCTAATACACTTAAACAAATAGAGAACTTTGGCCCCATACTTATTTCTAGGCTGAACAATAAACAGAAACGACTGCTAGGACAAAGGAGACACCAGACAGTGTTAAAGCGGCAGAGGAACTTGAAGCAGATCAGAAGTGTGTGAATATGTTGATACCGTTTTTAGTGTAACGCATGCAATGAAAGGATCTAGAACTCGTACCTGTATTACTGAGATACACTGACAGAAAGAAGAGTATATGTAAGTCATAACTGTTGAACTGTGAGAGGAGGTTACACTACCTTTAGTCTAAAACTGCAGCTAATCACACCTAAGCTGATAGCCAGGTTGTGAAACTCTGGCACCAATATGTGGAACAAGATACTGAATGTTAACAGTAAGCCTAACCGGATTAAAGGCATCTTGGGTTGTGGTGCAAATCAATAGTAAAAGGCACACAGCTTGTGGATTTAGGGTGGCTACAGTTGAAACCTTTAACGCTGCACAAACACTCACCATTCACAGAGTAAGCCCAAGTTTTACCCCACCAGTCATCCCAACCACACACCCCCAGATTCGCCATCTACAGTATGGTGCACTTCTGCCTCTTTCTCTTCTCCGGTTCCTTTTTGGGTGGCCCGGGCTCCTTGCGCCCGTAGTAGCTAGAGAAGCAGGCGGGGGCGCAGATGGACTCCCTCAGACTAAGCAGCCACCTTCCATTGCCGTAATAGGTCAGCGATCCCAGCTCCATCTCCTCCACCAGCTCCCCCTGTTGGCCTTCCTGCTGCAAGGCAAGGATTTCCAGCAGATCCAGACCTGTTTGAACCGGCTCCACACCCTCTGCACAGCCCAGGGTGACGTGGGCGCGGCTCCCCTGAGGGAGAGAGGCAGCTGCTGGGACATCTGCCTCCTTCTCGGCATCGGCTGGCCACAGCAGAAGCTGCTCCTCTGTGAGGGACACTCTGGCACCGACAGTGCGCGGAGTGACAAAAAGAGCACTCAGAGAGAGCTCCGAAACCGAACCGTAGAATTTTTGAACAACCTGCAAAGTAGAAAAAAAATTAAGAGAAAACAGCAATCCATTAGAGCCAGGGTGACATATTTTTGGATCTTCACTCAACATGCATAAAATAAATGGTTTCTTACTGGATTCTCTGCATACTCTTTGGCACCATCCGCTTTCCCGTAGTCACTAAATTTTGTAGTGCAATGGAGGGATCCTTTGGCTTGAAAGTATTGCTCCAAATCCACCTCTTTTTCAGCTTTTCCTGTGACTGTTAATAGAAAGAAAAGATAAATGTTACATGTTTCTCCTTGTTAAGTTTTAAAATATTATCTGCTTAAATGTACTCACAGTCAATTAAGTGCTTCTTAAAGGCGTCCATGGTGTCCAGCGTCTTCAGGAAGTCCATAGAAGTGCACCGGACCTTGTCCTGGACAGAGGAGAGTAGAAACCAACCAAAGAAAAGAGGAAGGGACACATCTGTGAAAGGACCTCTCATGGCTTCCAGCTGAGCCTCTTCCAGCCCACGCCTGGTCTTCTTGGTCAGCTGTGTGAGGTCTCTGCTCCATTCGGTACGTGGCTCCAGGAAGACTGTGACAAGGTGGTACTGCTCAGCAATCTCCCCCAGACGGGCCAGGCGGTCCAGGGTGTGGTTGGTGTCATCCACCACCACGAGCACAGAAGAAGCAGGTCCTGCACTGCAGCAGGCCACCACAGCTTCATCCAGAGCCTTGTATCCATCAGCAGATGCTTCTGGACTCTCTGGCTTTACACCATGGTCATCAGCACAGAAAACAGAGCAGTGGTCTTTGTAAGCATCAGCTATAGCACGAGCCAAGAAGCTTTTACCACTTCCTGGAAGGCCTCTTAGGACAACCAAGGTACGAGAGGTCCGCAGGGCATCTTTGGTCGGCTCTTGTTCCAGAAGAGCGAAGGAAAGGGAGCCAGAGGCAGGGACTGTTTCTTCTTCCTTTTGTAGTTCAGCATTATTTGTCTCAGGTGTTACAGCTTTCTCTTCTGCTGCACCTCCAGCCCCCTTTTCTGGTTCAGCTTCTTTCTTTTGCTCAGCTGCTGCTGCCTCCTCTGTTACTGTCACAGTCACTGCTGGCTTTTCTGGGGAAACTTCCTCAGATTCCTCCTCTTCAGCAGGCTTTTCTTTTTCCACCTCTTTTATAGGCTCTGCTGGGACATCCTTTTCCTCCACAACCTTGTTGGCAACTTCTTCTGCCTTGGTATCCATTAAAGTTGTGTCCGTTCCCTTCAGTTCGGACTCTGTCTCCTCTTGCCTGGGTGGTTCTGTGTCCACCAGCTGCTGTAGTGCTGCTGGTTCAGGTGATGTTTGCTCTTGTATTTCAGCTTCAGGGACCGATTCGGACAGTTTCTCTGGCTCCAGTTCAGGGGGAATGTCTGCCAGAGGTGTTTGCACAAGCAAAGGTTCTGGGTCATTCTCTGGCGCTGGCTGCTGTTGAGGCTGAGTGTTTTCTGGTTCTGTGTCTAAAGCTGCCACTGGGTCAGAGATCTTTTCAGATGACTCATCTGGTTCTGGTGGAGCCACCGCAGCAGGCTCTGACTCCATTTCAGATTCTTCTGTGGGCAGGCTGTCCTCGATTTCCACTTCTGTTTTTTCCTCGGACATTGTAACTGATCCTGTCACAATCAACTCTTCTGTTTCTTTTAAGTTTATGACTTCTGTATCATGGCCGTTCACAGGCAGCTGCTCGGTCTCTTCGCCAGCAGCTGGTGGCTTCTCAGGCTCTGTGGAGTCCTCTGGTGTCTCCAATTTTGACACAACCTCTTTTTCCATTACAGTCTCCTCTTGCTGTGGAGGCTCTGACACATCCAAAACCTCACCACTTTTCTCTAAATCCATATCTGGCTCAAAGGCTGACTTCAGACACCACCATGTACCTTAAAAAAAAAAAAAAAGGAAATGTGCATTGAAACCAACAAGGACTTAACCGATAGAAAACTTCTGATGACAAGCCCCAGCAGCTTACCCACAGCACATTAAAAAAGTCCTACAATCCAGTAACTCCAAAACTTATCAAGTTCAAGAAAGTTTGAAGGAAAAGTAAGTGCTTTGCAAGGAGCAAAGTTTGCCATGGGCACTTTTCATATATCAGTTTATAGTAGAGGCTCTGCTACAGCATGTTAAAGCAAAATCTACCTTAAACCTACAAGAGAAGAGTGACTCTCTGTTTATAGTTCAGGTTTTATTGAGTGGTGTTACACTTGAATGTATGATGCAATGAACTTCTCATACAGCAAACTGGGTAAACAAAAGTTAATATTTTGCAGTTCAGTCTGATACCAATAAACTCTGAACAACAACCTCCGTAGTTAAATGTACAGTTTGAATTGTGCAAGTACTGAACAGTGAGAAATTAAGGAGCGATTAGATAACATTAGACTGCAGTGCCAAAGCCTGCAGGCATGAATGTAAACCAGTGTGACGAATGAAACTTTAACTCCGTATTTCTGGGAACAAATTAATGAATTATGTCTGTTCAGACTACATATCCTGCTGCAGGGCAAAAGCAAAAACTTCACAGTGCATGGTGGTCATGGTGTTTATGGCAGGAAGTTACTCAATATCCAGGAAAAAGAGATGGATGATAAAAGGGTAGATATTTGTATACAGTACACATTATCAACTCAAACTGGATGGATCAAACTAATTTAAATATATGTTAAAATGTTCTGCAGTCCATTATTTTGCCATGCAGACTGCTAGTGGCAAAATTTAGGCATTACAGTTGATCCAAAATTTCAGTTTCCATTATTGAAAACAAAAAAAGGCAGACAAGCATGACCACAGAAGACTGTCTCCCCTCAGTTTAAGTAACTGCGTCAAACCCTCACCAGGACATGGAGACAAAGGGCCGTTCAGAAAAAAGGGGGCTTCACGAAGGATGGTTCACTTTTAACAAAGGCGACCTGGATCATAAAGTTGATTTATTTTTTTTATTGTCAATGCGCTGAAAACAATACACGATCAAACAGATGTGTGAAACTATATCGTGTCATGAGACAGAAGAGGAAGCTCAATAACAACTCAACCCGCGGAAGCGACAAAGAAAACAGGCGTACATTAAAGCATTGCATTTTTACAGCAACGATGACACAGTGATCAAAAACTAACTAAACAGACTATATGACCTTTTCTAAGAGTGACTCGTTATCTTTGCGCAAACATAAACAGTTGCAATAAACGACGCATTGATTTAGTGTATTTTACGGGTAGTTTTGACCTTAATGTGTTAACTATTACTTTTATTTGGATAAAAATGTCCTAAATGGAAACTGAAAACCAGTTCAAAAGTGGGTTGCGATGTTAAAACAGGAAAATCGTATGCAGATGAAATATTTTAGTTTTATTGAAACGCTCAATGTGGCACGGCGGGGAGTGGCGTGCGCTTCACGCTTACCACGCCAGACAAAAACAATTAAGACGGCGGTCCGTGCCTTCAAATGCATCACTAAATGTTCGTGTAACTTAAAGCTTTTTATCGGACTATTAACAGAATTTTAACTTCTAAAGAAAAAATAAATTTAAGTTAGTTTATGTTAAAGAAAATAAGCACCAAATGCAGCATGCTCTACCAAGCGCTTTTGTTAACAGACATGCCAGCTTACCAGTGAGGCTGCAGAGGAGCTGTCGGTGGTGCAGCTGACCACGCGTTTCTCTCTGAATACAATGACAAGGCAATCCTTGGCACAGATACACACCCGCTTCAAAAGGAAATCTTCTTCCTCTTCTTTCTTAGTGGGGTGGTATCAAACTTCGCAATGCATTGCTGCCACCTACTGTTCTGGAGAAGGGGCGCCCCAGCCTTTTTTATCCATACATTATCTCTCATATAGAGATGGTTACATTAGTTATGTTGTTCACGGGTGCAGGCCGATACTTGTCAAGTTTTCCTGCTGATATATCCTAATGAAGAACATAAGCTTAGAACAAAAAGTACAAAAAAAAAACACACCAATGAGGCGTTCTTGGCTGTAGTGAAGCAGGGGCAAGAAGAACAGACTAAAAAAAACTGCATTGGTGACTAAACACAAAGACTAGAGAAGATTAATTTTAATCTGTTCCTCAGATTTTACCATATATTCTTCATTTCTGATAACACCTCACAGAAAACTGCCTATTTATGTACAGGGCTCTTGTGTTATTTCCATTTTAAGGCACCAACAAGAGCACTGACACTTTGTTTGAAACTGGAAGGTCTTACTGCTGCACTTTCAAAAATGCAGCCATTTTTTCCCCCCACAAATCAAAGGTCAGTGTATACTTGACATTTTTTGTGGCTTTTACTGTCATTAATCATGCAAACAACACATCAGCTGATATGAGAGGAAAGACAGTGTCCAATACTGAGGTTGTCTACAGCAGATATTGAGTGAGACTGCCTGGAAACATCTGCAGAGGTGTGACATGGGGGAGTTCCCTGCAGCACTTTGCAGAGCTCTGTATTTGCAATTATCAAAAGGCTGAAAGACTTCATGTTGGCCTAATGCAGAGTGTAAAAAGTGCACGAGAAAATCTCTTTTTGTTTTGAATGCTCAGTCAATCATTTTCTTTATGATAGCTGATGATATGTCTTGTAGAATTCTGAGAGGAAAAAACAAGAGTGTGACTAACACTTTTACTAAAGTGAATATAGCAGCATTTGTTGTTAAAGGTTATTCTGCAATGACGTAAGCCAGATATGAGGTCTAATGCAATTCTCTTCCCACAAATTTGTCACTTTTCAGGGAAAAGCGCACTTGTTTGAACAAGTCGCCACTGTGTGTGAGACTCTAAGACTAATGCTTCAGATAAGACATTCACAGTATGATCTCAGAGTGAATTATCCACAGATCTTGTGCCTGTCTCATAACTGTTTCATAGTGGACAGTTTATATTTTTACCTCCAGGCAGTTCAAACTAAAGACATGCATCTGTGCTATAGACCAATAAGCTTAAACTATCTGATATACCATCCGCTTTAAATTGAAAAACAAATTCCATAAAGTTGTCTTATCAACTTGGAAATAGAGAAAACAGAAGAATACAACCATGTGTGTGTTTATTAAACTCTTGCTATGAGTGAAAATACTCATGCTCCAGGGTGTACTGCCATTATAAATTCTTAGCTAAATCTTACAGTCATGCATTTTAGGTATTACATTTGTATAAAAAAACATCTTTAATGCCCCTTTCAGAGTGGAAACTTTCATCTCCAAGCCTATCAACTTTTATTCAAAGACTTCAGCTTTGCATTGTTGGAAATCCTCACTTCTGGAGCTGCTCATTTGCTTCATAAAGAGCCTGGAAACAGAATAAAAACAATGTCAGTGATCAAAAATGTAATTTCAGGACCTGAAAGGATTGTGAAGAAAAACATTTAAAAGATTCAAGGGTTTGATAATATCTGGGGCCCCTTTAGAAATTTTCATTCGAATAAAGACCCGTCTGGTTTGGTGGTAACACCTAGCAATAACCTATAAGTAGCCCTCTGCAGCTCATTTAATTAATGTGAATATGAGTAGTGTATGGTGGGTGTGGTTTTTATTCCCCCCCCCTTTTTTTAATTACATTTTTTCATTTTATTATTTATTTTTATTTACTTATGTAGTATTTGTATTATTATTTGATTGTGTATTTAAGTTCCTTTCTTTAGTTAGTGGTTTATATTTATCATTTGTATTGTTTTTTTAATGTTAGGTCTTGGTTGTGAATTGAAGACATGGGTGCTCTTCACTGTTTGAGGCAGATGTTTGAAGTCCAAGTGGTTATGTGTATGTGTTATTATGTCTGGAAATGAATATGGATATTGTTGGGAAAAAAAAGTACAAGGGGACCTTCTGGATGGCGCTCATAGCAGAGTGGTCATCAAGCACTTTGGCCTGAGTCAATGCCTCTTCGAAGTATGAGACGCAGGATTCAAAGTTCCCCAGTTTCACTAGGATGGAACAGAAAACAAGTAACATTAATACCTTTGATTTAGTATGAACTATGACTGAAGCACACAAGTAAACTAAGCAGGCCAAGTTCTCATAATATCAAGTAAAGTACAGTCATAATTACATTCTGATTGTGCCACCAAAACACTAGCATTCATCTGCCATTTCCCATCAGCAATTTCACTGGCTGCATCTAGTGAACGACCACCGTAGTCTCTGGCCTCCTCATAGCGACTGAGTTCCAGGTAACACCAACCAATCTCATGGAACAACCAGGTCTTCTCCAAACCATCTGAGACCAGAGGGACCTTTTTTTCCCAGCTGAAGAGAAAACAAACAAGGACAGAAAAGAAATGAGCCTGTCCCATACAAGCCAATGCTTCATATGATTACTAACGGAAGCAATTTACTTACAACTCAATGGCCTGTGTGTACTGTTCAGCCTGGGCATAAAGTCCTCCAATGTTGTCCAGAGCCCTCGACATTGCCTCTGGGAGTTTGCTGTTAAAAAAAAAAAAGATTACGTCATGTTTCATTTTCAACTCCTACTTTAAAATATTCCCCCAACCCTTTAAATCCTCACCACTGTGTAGCCAGCTCCAAGTCTTTTTGATGATGCTCTAATGCTAAGTCTATATCTCCCAGGTCTGTGAGGACATTTCCAATACAACTGTGCAGGTTTCCTAAAACCTCTTTCTTATCAGGCACATCTTTCTCTGACCATGCCTGCACAATCTTCATCAGTTCTTCTGCTTTTCTGAGACCATCTTCTGTATTTCCACAAGTCAGCTCTAGGACAAAAAAAAAATCAGTGAGCACCTCCTAGGCTGAAAAAAGAAATGAGTTCAACCAGGAGCTTGTCTTACCTGCATCGATCTCATCCAAGTTCTTGAACAGGAACTGAACAGGATCAGATGGGGGGCTATGATGGGGCCTACAACCTTTTTGCCTTTGCTTCCTCTCGAGTGCACAGATTGGTTTCTCCTTACTTAAGAACTTGGTGCAGGTGTCAAGAGAAGAGAGGCAGCTTTGAATGACATCCTGCACTCTTTCTCCACCCTTTGTCTTACCCTTTGCCAAGTCTGTGGATCATCACGAGGATATGAGTCAATAAGATGGAAACAAACATTACTGTTGATGAAATTACAGACACATATTGAACAGAAAACAGAAACATAAAACAACTTTTGTGTGGGCAATAAAAGAAGAAGTGAAACAAAACAGGGAAATTTAACATGAGTGAAATTAAATACCACCTTTGTTATCCAGCAGGTTCTCTAGAAATTTCTTGTCACTGTAAAACTCTCCCAGCAGTTGTTTGGTAGTCTTCTCACTCTTGGGGATTTTCTGGGTTTTCTGTTTTTTCTTCTTTGTCAGATGCTGAATAGCAGTGATAGGCTGTTCCCTCTTTGCAGGTCAGTCGACCAGAAACACATTAATGTACACCAGAAGGGTTGAAACAGGTTAAACTTGAAATCAAAACAACTTCTCAGACCTGTTTGGGACTATCAGAGTCAGACTTGGGACTATTATGAAATACTGTTTAAGTCTGAAATTTACATAAACTCACCTCTTCATCTTTCTGGAAAAATGTCAGGTCTCCTTTTAACTCCAGCTTAACAGATAAAGGGTCTGAAGGATACCAGAGAGCAAAAAACAAATGTGAGTTCAGGTGTGAGGTGGTTTTTCTTATGCTGAGACTCCAGTGGAGTGTAAATAATGAATAAGTTTGAGGAGCTTACTGCCAACAGAGTTTTCTATGGCTGCTTCAGCTTTCTGAATACCCAGTCTGAACTCTTGCATTAGGGGACGTAACTTTTGTCCTCTGTGGTAAAACACCAGTGCAAACTCAAACTCCCCCATGTAGTACAAAGCCTCTGCCTTCTGGTACAGCCCCTGAAAGATCACAATAAAATCAGTAGGGGAGAGTGGGTTAAGATGAACCATTTTTCATATTTCGGATCACTACATCAAGGCAAACATAGTTTTGTCTCTAACTAGTGTATCTGTGTATATTTCAAGATGTTGTGCATCCCTGCACACTCTCCACCCCAGGCCCCCCCAACCCTCACCTTCTCTCTCCCTAAATAACAGTCACTTCTTCACATTCATGTGTATTTTTATCTATTATACACTATTTAACTGGTACAATAATTCTTTTTATTATTATTGCATATAACTGCTAAAAGCTGTTTTGTAAAAAAAAAAAAAAAAAACGTTTTAACATGAGAATGCCTTTAAGTGATTCAGGACATTCACAGCTGTATTTTTGAAAAGAAAAAGTAACACATTCCAACAATCTGAACTGAAACTCTGATCCTCTCATCAGACTTCTTTACTTTCTCAGTTGATCCACTGGCTCAACTGACCCCTGAACTACTATTATGACTTTATTAGTCCTCGGAGCTAAAATGGTGGACTTTTATGCAAGGTTTTTGACCTCATGTTGTAGCTCATAGATACCACAATTGATGTATAAAACAAATTGAAAATGATCTTTTTTTGGTCTGAACACAATTCTCATAAAACTTATGACTGACAAAATTAACTTTCAACAGTGAAAAAAAAAAAAAAATTTTTAAATAAATGTCTAACCCCTTCACCCATGTGCTTCTAACCTTCACAGACCCCATGAATCGATGCCCATCTCCTAAATATTTGGTCATATGATCAATTTCTTTTTACAGGGCGTGGCTTAACTTACCCCACTCTGCCCTACAGGACGTAAAAACAGGACATATTCTGGGAAAACGTTTGGTCACCCCATTTTATTTTCGTCCGTTTTTAGATATTAACATGAGGTGATCCAGAGCTGTTTAAAAAATGAATATATTTGTTGTGACTCTCAATAGTAGGTGTGACCAACCAACCTTGAAAAAAGTCTTATCTTCTTGCAGTGATGCCTCTGCGTCTGCCAGCGCGTTTTCAAACTGTCCCATCTTCAGGTAACATTTGGATCGGCCAACAAGGCATGTCTTATCATCAGGTTTTATAGACAGAGCCTAAAAAAGAGCCGAGAGCATTTATTTCTGCGTGCTTTTAAAGATGCAATAGTAACCCTGGATCATGCAGGCCTAACCAACTCACCGCTGTGTAGCTGTCTATGGCTTTATTATTCACTCCTTTCAGGTATAGTGAATCTCCAACAGCCACTAATGTGGAGAAAACACCCTTAGCCTTCTGACCTTCATGATCTGCGTCGGTATCAGACATACTGAAGCTATCTTTCTTCGTTGAAGCTCTTCAGAGTTGAATTTAGCATGCATGTGAATACTAGTCGGCTTGTTAGCAGGTATCACAGCAACCACACTAACAATCCCTGAGAGAGAAATGGCGCCATCTACTGCGAGTGGCCTCGCAGTTAACATTAAAAACAAAGCTTTATTTCAAGGACTGATAGACGTTTTGTTTTCGTGCTAACATACCACAGACAGAGATGATGTAGGGGAAACCCGGAGGAGGCCAACTTTATTGACAGGGCTGGTACTTTTCAGGGGTAAAGAGAAGATATTTCACCAGAGAGGGATAAAAACAATGAGTCAAGATGAGGACACTTTTCTGGAGCGCACCAGGGGGACGTCACTCTCACCGGGGAGTAACTTAACATTTAAACTTTCCATCATTGCTCAGTGCCTCACCTTCTCCCACAACAGCAAACACGTATCATATATCAAGTTTGTTCTATTCTTATGACCATCTGTTGCACTGAGTAAAATTAGACCGCTTCAATCACAGTCACACAAACATCATAGTGCAAGAAAAACAATTACTGTACTTTTAAGTCCGAGAGTGAAAGAAAAGAGTCCTCATCTCTGACCGATGGTTCTATCAGACAGCAAATGTACAATAAATATACATATCAAAATAAAAAAATGGAAAAAATATTCAACTATCATCACAAATCAACACTTTACATTCCAGTAAAATGTACAATGCAGCAATCCGTGAATGGCAACATCAAACATAAAACTTGTGACAAGAGGAAAGTGGATTCTGCCGACTACAAAGCCAGCACAGCTGTCTCCACTGCTGCCTATTTCATGTGCTTCAGCTGGGCTGTATGTGTGGGTTCAGGCTACAGCTGTAAATAATAATAAAAAAGGATCATATCTGCTTGTTCTATGGATGCAGTTTTCAATGCTAATTCATAGCAGCCAACTTTCCTGGTGAGAGATTCTTCAAAAAAAGAGGGGAGCCACTTGCACGGTGATTTTAATCTGAAATCATCAAGCAAGTGACAGACTTTCATGCAGAGAAAACCTCCTCAGCATCAAGTCGAGACGAGCTAGGTTACAGCTTGCCAAGTGGCATCTCGAGAGTTTCTCCAGGATGCCACTTCCTGCATGGATCCCTAAAAGCTCAGATACGATAGCTGCACAGTCTCCTCTATCTCAAACAGAAGAGAATATTTGGACCAGTTGCGAGCCATTACTGACTTTCAAGTTTGTTTTGTCCTACAAAGAAGAAAACCAAATCCAAAACCAGTAACGCTATCAACTCAGAGCTGTCTCGGTGCCGTAGCTATACATGGTTTGCTGCGTGTGGTCATTGGGTTGCATTCATTCAGTCAATGGCATAGACACGATTTTGACTTGCAATCGGCCAGTCATTAAATATGGATGGTGGTTCAGGGGGTTGACATTGTTGAAAAGTCCTGATGTAGCAACTTTTAGGAGGGTAAATCCTCAAATTAACCAAACTGGAAGAAGAAATTTCCCGGTCCAGACGCTGTAATAGAAAAAATATATACATATATGTCAGCAACTCAACCAAGAGTGGATGGTATTTAAAAAGGCTGACAGTAGAAAAAGGGAGCAGTGTTATGCTGCTGTCAGATGTCGGGGGTTAAAAATGACGTCACACCCGAGATACCAGCGTTTCTTCTGGAGGTGGAAACAAGATGGCTACATCCGTGAAAGCTATTTTAGCGCTTGCCTTGTTTGATTCAGACAAGGCAAGCGCTAAAATAACCTTTGTAGATGGAGCCATCTTGTTTTCGCCTCCAATTTAGCTTTTTTCCGACTTGGTAACACAAACGCTGGTAACTCAGGTGTGACGTCATTTTCAGCTCTGACATCTGACTTCCAAGGTAACTCTAACGCAGCATAAGTATACATGTATTACCTTCAAAACTGAAACCTCCAGGGCCTCCAAAGAAGGCTTTGAATATGTTGTTGGCATCAAAATCTAGTGAGGACAGAAAATAAGAGTCAGCGTTAACATCGGTTCTCCTCACTAACAAAGGGTTAATGAGCTCAGACATGGCATCTTCTTTTACCCTCGAGACCTCCCACCCCAATGCTTGTCAAAAGTACTGACCTCCCATGTTCATGCCGTCATCCTCCAGATCCTGACCGCTGTCGTAGCGAGACTTCTTCTTTGGGTCTGAGAGTACGCTGAAGGCCTCGCCTACCTCCTTGAACTTCTTCTCCTCCTCTTTTTGGACCTCAGGGCTAGCGCTGCTGTGACGGTCTGTCAGAAAAGAGAGGAGAGGAAAACAGAACAAAACAGGAGTTTAGTAGAGTGAGAGACGTCTGCGTAAATACTCATGTCAAATCATTGTTACCTGGATGATGTAGTAGTGCACGCTTGCGGTAAGCTTTCTTGATCTCGTCCTCTGTGGCGTTCTTGTCCACCCCCAGCACTTTGTAGTAATCTTTCCGCTTGCTTTTCTTCAACTCCAGCTGAGCGTTTTTCAGGAGGTGTTTGTGTTCTAGGGGATGGAAAATACATTCAAAGTAAAAATAACGATTAAAACAGAACAGGGGGTGAAAGATGTTTCCCAGAAACTGTGTCTGCTGAGCCTTGGCCTCCTCACCTTTTGTTTTCTCTGTCTGGTAAACCTTCTCATAGTCTCGCACTGCCTCTTCATACTGCTCTGTGTCCATGTAGCTGCAGCACAGAATACGCAGATTTATATTTCTCTCTTTATCAAAGTCTAACGCTGCTTTGTATGAACATATGATGGCACTACCTTTATTTAACACACTAAAATATCTTGTTGCCAACTACCTGTGTAAAGACATCAAGTTGGACAGCTTGGACTTACCACTGCGCTCGCCTTAAATAGGCCTTGATGTAAGTCTCATCCAGTTTGATGGCCTTCGTGCAGTCTTCAATGGCCTGTTCTAGTTTCTTCAGCTGGAAACAAAGACAATACAGAAGGTAGAATGAGCAAAGCAGATGCTCATGATGTTCATGACACTTAAGGAGAATTAACTCTAAAACTAACAGACAGCATGTGCATCGTGTTTGTACAAAAAATCATCTAACAATAGTATAGTTTCTTTTTGCAGGCGTTACCATGCTTAGTATCCAGTGTTTCAGACTCAGATTCTGGTCAGGAGTCTGGACGTAGTGTTTTTTTTTGTTTTTTTTTTTACTGGGCAGCTATACACTGTTTCCTGTTTCACTCCCTATCCAGTTGCTTATTCTCTGTTCAGCTGCACTGAAAAAAGACTTTGCATTTGTCAAGAGGGGTGGAGCAGAGAGACGCCTCTGGTATGGAGGAGAGATGCAGCACTGCGCTCAAAAACACAAGCATCATCCAGAATAGGCACAGATCAGCTTCGGAGTGCGTGCAACCAAGAGAACGCTGCACACTCAATACTGTGAGTTTTAGGGGTACCAGTACACCACGTTCTGTCAACACCACGCACTCTGGAGCTGATCTGAGCTCGTTCTAGCCAATGGTCACATTTCCACAAGGTTAAGCCTGAGTTCCACCCAATCCATTTGCAGCCCCTCTCTGCTCTGCTGTGGTTTGGCTCTGTGTTCCCTCATCTGACTTCCTGTCCTTGCTCAATCTGCCTTGGCCGATTGTTGCGTTGTGCTCTGGCATCCAGCAAAAATAGAAGTCATGTATCAGCTATAGAGAGCACCAGGACGGAGCAGAAACTCACAGCAGAGCCAGTGAAAGGACACTCATTTACTAGAGTGAAACTTCAGTTTCCCTGCTGTGGTGAGAAAGAACCAAACACAGAGTTGGTGGAATTTCACCATAAGATCATGTCTAGAGCCTACATGCTCACAGACTAATGAGTGCTGTAACCTCCTTGTGTTAAAGCTGATGTGAATTTTTACAGAGAAAGCTCACAGCAGCTCTGTCATGGGGTCAACTCACCTTCTCTCCTCCCTAAGTTTGGATGTCCATAAATAATTGCAATGTTAGGTGTGTGTGCTCATTTATACTGCTTCTTGTCAATCCTGGGCTTTTTCTGCAGCTATGTGCTGGAATGGCTCAACTCAGTCTGAGCATCGCTGAGACTTCCATCTCCATAACAATAGTACAAACTACATATATTTTTTTTTAACCTGATAACATGCTTGTCTTACACCTAAAATGAATGACAAATGCATGATATAGTTGATTAAACCACAAAGATGCAGTTGAAAGCTGCCAACTCTTCAGAACATCGTATTTAAACATCACTAGTTGCTGTCTTGCATGGACATGATTCGACTACTGCATCTCAAACTTGTTTGAAAGGGAGAAGGGAATGTCAGGTTTTGAGTTCTGTGCTGTGGTTGAATGTGCACCCATGGGTGTAATCACAAAATTATGTGATTTACCTGTGATGACTAGCCTCACACAGGCTGACATCATTTTAAGGTAATACAATATATTTCTAGCCTTCAAGTCACACTTTTAACAGTCTGTGCCTACACAGGTTTAAAAGTGACAAAGTGAGGTGTCGTTGATGCAAGTACATTTATTTATTTATTTAACAGCAAGCCTAGGAATGATCTCAAATTAAATTGCTGCTTTATGATCTCTCTTTCTCCTCTGTGTTTTATCAGACTCAATGCTCTTTCAGTATTAACTAATATTCATAATAACATTTAATATCTCAATATTAAACAATCTTCAGTCTTAAGCTGTACTAGTATTTTCAGCGTGTTAATTAAAGACCCAGCATATTTGCCCTCAGGCCCTTTCAGTCAAGGAGGATGTTAATTTGATGTTAATTTGTTTACGTGTCAGCTAAAATCTGTGTGTGTGACTCACCTTAGATCCAACAGTGGCCCTATTACAGTACAGCTTGGCATTGGTCTTGATGTTGTTGGGGTCTATTGTTAGTGCCTCAGAGTACAGCTCATAAGCTGCATCAAAGTTTCCTTCCTTGAACGCCTTGTTGCCCTCTTCTTTCTTTGCTTTCAGTGCTTTGGCATTCTGAGAAGACAATGCATGGGAGAACCACAAGAATAACTTTAGCCTGTCCTAATGGATGGATTAACGTGGCTTAAAATAATCGAGGACACCACTGTATTGGATTATTATATTTTCCTGTTTCATTTGACAACCGCTTTTGAAGGATGAAACCTCAATTCAGATGCAAGTGTAAAATGAATTACTCACTCTGCATGCGAGCCGAGCCTTTTCATGGTCAGGTGCCATACGCAAGGCTTGGACGAAGAACTGGACTGCCTTGTCAATGCAGTCCTCGTAGTACAGGCAGAGACCACGCACATACAGTGCGTCTGCATTGGTGGAGTCCATTCGCAGAATATCACTAAAAAGAAGCAAATAAGAGGATGACTGAATATTTTACATGACATTTTCTAAACTCTACAAAGCTCTTGAACACTCAAAGAGCCATTTGGACCAGTTTCCCACAGAAAGAAAAACACAGGGAGCCACAAAACCCCTTTGACATCTAAAATGAAGATAACATTGCATTTTTTTACCTTTATGCAAAGTTTATAAAAAACTGTAGTGAGTTGCATTTATGAAATAAATGAACTGCTGCAGAGAAAAAGAAATGTTGTCTCTGCAGGCAAACAAAAATATTTTGAACAGTTTGAAATAACCTTGAAGACCCACTTTGATGAAAATTGTGTTATTCTTGTTGTCTACATGTTCATATATCATTTTCCTGATGCTACAGGACAAATTATAAGTAATATAAGTGCGCAATTGCATTTCTGAGTATTTCTGCATCCAAATTGCTGTGAATCTCTGGCAGACCCAAACGGTAGTCTCAGACGCAGGGAGATTTTCTATTTTACAGCTGCAAGCTCCGCCCTCGGAGCCCTGCTATGCAGGCCACACTTGGAGGAGTAGAGAGGATGATCGCGCAACAAGCGTGTGCATTGAATAAAAAACACAATTTCACTTAACAATGTAAGATGTATATTTGCAAAAAAATAGCAGATTAAAATGTGAAATTAACTTGCTTAATGTGACTTTTGCTCCTGAACCTCAGCGCACAGTGTCTCTACAGCCAAACGGTGTGACATCACATTCATCTTCACACAGGTTTTTGGTTTTCCCAAGTTGGCAGCTATGATACATATTTTGAGCGATAAAAAAATTTAAGATGGTTTATTTAATGTTACTTACATTATAATGTTTGAATTTAGAATTAAAAAAAAAAAACAACTAAATAAAATAAATTTTAATTAAATATTTATTATTTATTATCCAAATCCACAGGTAGCCGCAGCTTAGGGAAGAAAGAGCCGCATGCAGCTCGAGAGCCACGGGTTGCCGACCCTGCTCTAGGATATGATTTACTCATTTGTCATACTCATTTGTCATTATAGGAGCTGTACTCTGTTGGTGATGCATGTTATGACACATGCACATCCCTGCGTCTCACTCTGCTTTCACCTTGTACTCATTAGATGAATTCTAATAATTGTTAAAGTTAATCAAAGTTTTTTTTCAAATCTGCTCTCTTACCTGGCGACAGACTGAGCCTCCGGGTAGCGTCCCAACAGGGCTAAGCACTCTGCCTTCAATATCTTGAACCTATGACAAGCTGTGGCAGACTCCAAGGCACGATCCATGCAAAAGACAACCTGGGGAAAACCACAGGACACTTGAAGTCTGAACTGATTTACATGTCTGTTGCTGGTGACAAAGCAGATACCAGAGTTATAGTGTAACCACTGTTTAGCTTACCATCCTGAAGTCTCTCTTCTCAAATCCAATCTCTGCCATTCTCTCATATTCAAGGATTGATTCAGCATTCTTCAGCTATTAAAGGAAACAGAAGTATTGAATGTGAATGACACGTGGTTGTCATTTGAATGCTTGTGGCTACCACTAGCCTCTCCTCTGTGCTAAATGTAGTGGTGAAAAATTGTAAACAACACAAGCAGCAGTTTTTCCTTTAAGTAACTTCATTTCAAATTGATGGAAACCCCGCTTGATCTACTCTTAAACCGCTCAGTGTCAGATCTTTTCACTTAATTTGCACCAAAACTAATCTGATAGTGGATAATCCTGTCCGTGTTGTCAGATCATTCTCTATCAAAGTGAGGCTATCTGACCTCCTGCTGGGCTTGGCTGTTGTCAGGCTCCAGTTCGAGAACCCTCTGTAAACAGCGACTGGCAGCCATAGCATTGCCAAGGGACAGGTGGCATTTGCCCTCTCGCAGATGGCCCTGTGCATAAAAGAGGCAAAGTTAATATAACACAGAACTGTTGTTTCTTTAATTGATCAAATATTGCATTTGTATATACTTGGTGTTTAATAAACTACATGGTAAGAAATCATTTTACACCAACTGTCTGGATTTTCTCTGTTAACAGGAAATACTATTTTGTTTCCCTTCACCTACCTTCATGAAAGTGTTATCTAGTCGGACTGCTTGCTGGGAATCCTCCAAAGCTTCTCTGTACCGACACAACATCATAAGCGTGGCTGCCCGGTTTCCATAATAACTCGCATTCTTCGGACACATGTCTGGAAAAAAAATAAACAGTTAAAGGATGAACAGACTTAAAATGTTCAGTTTGTCAAATTACTGAATCAGGACAAAAATAAGCAAATTTCTTCACAGATCACTACCTATGGCCTTAGTGTAGTAGTTGAATGCTTCAGCGTAGTCCTTCTTGACATAAAAGGCATTGCCTTGTTCTTTGAAGCCCTCAGCTTCCCTGTGTGGTGGGCAGAAAGAGTAAAGGTTAAACGTAACTTAAAAGACAAGACGTATTAGGGTTCTTACAATGCCTATGAGTCATGGAGAGGGACCAGACCGGTTTTGTTTACTATTTTTAGGCCACTCAGATGTAACTTTACTCACTATCACTAACACTTGGGCAGTCTAATGCAATCCAGTACAACAGCTCTGCCCTTCAGGAGGCTTCTGACATAATCAGACAGATGACTATGACACTTTATAGATATTATTGAGGATGTAGCGGGTGGTGTTGCACTGAGGTGGGTTAAATTCGGAGCTTTTGTGCTGATCTGTATTAGATTGTGTTCATAATGCCACGGCAGGTATCTATGTCCCCTCAGTTAGAACTTCACATATATATTGGTGATTAAAGCAAAGGCATGTCCAGGACTGCGGCTGTCAGGGGGTCACGAAGGGCTTCCTGGCCTGAGTTTGCTAAACATAGAAAGAGTCAAACCAGCAGGACAGGAGTGTCTACTCCAATCAAACACGGTGCTATTTTGTGAAGCAGTCAGTGGGCAGAGCCAGGAATATATGACACCATGCTGAGGGGTCCTGCCAGGACTTTTTATGGAAACCGTTCATGTTTAACATCACGACCACACACTGAGTGAATGGTGTCAGCTCATTAGTTACCATACTTGGAATATCACCACGATATGAAACAACCAGATTCATTCATTAAGCTTGATGGTCAAAATCATTTTAGAGGGCAAAATGAAAATGATTAAAATAAAACAATACAGGAGCTAGCTGAGTAAAGGACGACCAAGCTGCGCGCTAACCAGAGGCAGACTTAGCCAAACAGAGAGCGGTTAGCTGTGAAATGAGACGAGAATTTTAGGATACTGAGAGCCTCAGAGGAAACATGCAGGTACACGACTTCGATAAAGGTGTGTTTGAGGCGCTGACAACAGAGCATTAAACTGCCGTACCTTTCTAATTCTTCGTCACTAAGCAGGTCCATGTCAGGGTCCATGTTCACAGCATCACAGTTCTCTGTCGCCATTTTGCCGTGGACGAGGAGGGGCGGGGCCTCGCACTGCAGCAGTGACGTAGACTGTAAACAGGAAGTAGCCTGTCTGGTAAGAAAAGCGGTTTGCTAACCTTCGAGGGGTTTTCTCTTTGAAAATGCGCTTGTGTTCATAAGCTACCGATATCATTATAAATAAATTTGAAAGTAAGACCTCAATTTAAGCCATGTTGATTATTTGACCTGACTTGGTTTCAGTGATCGCGTCATTCTGGATCTCCATTGAAAGCTAATGCTAAGCTACACATCCTGTACAGATACTGAGCCAGTTGTAGACTATGTGATCGTGATATTTTCGTCAAGCTTCCATTTCTTTATTGTAATAAGCCGACAGCTGTCTGCAGAAGAATCAATATCACATATATAGATGTGCTAGCAAGTGTAGTCTGTAATTGCTATTCTCTGCAGAAGCGATATGAAATCAAATGACAGTTTTCCTATCTGTGCATCAAAAACAGGTTTCAGGACCATAGGAGGTCATGGGGAAAAGCTGCAAAGTGGTTGTGTGCGGACAGGCTGCAACTGGTAAAACAGCTGTACTGGAACAACTGCTGTATGCTAACCATGTCGCAGGTAAACCTCAATTTATGTATGAACACATTTTTCAATAAGGATTGGGGGAGAGTGGGGTAAGATGAGCCTCTTCTTCATATTTCGGATCACTACATCAAGGCAATCATAGTTTTGTCTCTAACTAGTGTATCTGCATATATTTCAATATGGTGTGCATCCATGAAAACCAACAAAATAAGTGTAAACATAACTGTCTTGATAATATAGCATGCCAAACAAAAAGTGGTCTCCTATGGTCAACTTACCCTGTGTATGGGGTAAGTTGACCATAGGAGCGGGGTAACTGTAGCTCTCAGATACCACAGTTGATGTATAAAACAAATTTAAAATGATATTTTTTGGTCTGAACACAAATCTAATAAAACATATAACAGACTAGATTCACTTTCAAGAGTGAAAAATGTTTTTTTTTTTTTTTAAATAAATGTCTAACCCCTTCACCCATGTGCTTCTAACCTTCACAGACTCCATGAATTGATGCCCATCTCCTAAATATTTGGTCACATGATCAATTTCTTTTACCATTTCCAAGCAACAGGGGGTGGCTCAACTTACCCCACTCTCCCCTATTGAGTTTGACCATCAATAACACATGCATTACCACTCAGTGTTTAGAATGTATAACAACATATGTGTCCATAATTGGGTGTCCACTGTCAGGTTCAGAGCCTATGGAGACTCTGGAGGACATCTACATTGGCTCCATAGAAACTGACCGTGGCACAAGGGAGCAGGTGCGCTTCTATGACACCCGTGGGCTTCGGGATGGGATGGAGTTTCCTCGACATTACTTCACTTTTGCAGATGGCTTTGTACTTGTCTACAGCATTGACAGTAAAGAGTCTTTCAAACGCATGGAGGCCCTTAAGAAAGAAATCGACCGTCACAGAGACAAGAAAGAGGTGAGAACAATGTCTTTATAAATATGTTTGTATATTTAAAAATAAAAGCTGAAAAAATATTATTTTCAATGATATTTCTCCCTAATCCAAGTCGAATGTGAACAGATATAACACTGGAGTGGGACTAACTTGATGACTCTAATCCACAGGTCACTATTGTTGTGCTGGGTAATAAGCTTGACAGGCAGGATGAGAGAAGAGTCGACGCTAACATAGCTCAAAACTGGGCAAAGAACGAGAAGGTGCGTCTGTGGGAGGTGTCGGTGGTGGATCGTCGCACACTCATCGAACCCTTTGTCTATCTCGCTAGCAAAATGACCCAGCCTCAGAGCAAGTCTACCTTCCCTCTCAGCCGCAATAAGAACAAGGGAAGTGGCTCTACAGACAGTTAAATGAGAGTGAGAAGGGAGTCGGAAGAGGCGAAAACCTATTTAGATACTTTGAAGGATTGAGAGTTGGGGTTGATTTGAGCGTTGGAAGAGAAAGCAGGATGATTGTATCGAAACTTGGTTAAAGAAAGTGCGTTGTGTTTGTAGAGCATCTAAATTTGATGTTTGTTAGGGATCCAGCTTCATCATAGCTGGCTGAAAATACTGATGTGTTGGTGTTTTTATTTGTCATTCCCTCATTGGTCAAACTTTTTATTCACATTTTTGCAGTTACGTGCTGTTATTGACAATGTCATGCTAGACCATGACAGAGAGGCTCTTAAACTACTGACAATCAGCATTTTGATTGTGGATTTAATTTGAATAGATCTCAGACTCAGTTACTGAACAGATGAATCAGGGCCCATCCACATGTACAGAGAGAACAGTTTTATTTACATGAACACTACATGTATCACAGACTGAACTCATGCATCACACATTTGCTGTATTTTATATGTTTTAAATGTCAAAAAGGTGAAGGGATTTTATGAACAAATAAGTGAAGATGTTCGGTGATGTAGAGATGTTACTCTTGAAATGTTCTTTACTGAGAGTAAATGTGTGAGATTCCTTCTACACATATTGCCTTTTGTACAGGCTTTAAGACTTTATAGAAGAATGAAAAAAGTTCCAGTGAATCATGGTTTCTGCAGGCTCAGGTGCTGTTTTTATGGTTTTTAAATATCCTATTAGATATGGTCAAAAGTCCTGGCACCAGCAACAAAGCCTATAATGTTATTAGACACAGTTTTAGATGAAGTTCTGGCAGATTTCAAAACAAAATCCAAAAGTTCTCATTCACTATTCAGGGTGCAACACTAGTCAGAATGATCAGCTTTCAGTGTTTGTTTTATTGAAAGGGAAATGTGTTGACATTGTTTTGAGTTTCATGAGCTTGTGACAGAGTGCATTAGAAAAATGTACCACACGTGCAACCTCTTTTGTAAAAATAAATGCTTATGTGTGCATATTGTCAAACTGTGCTCACTTGATTTTTGTTTGCAGGTGTTGTAAACAAATAAAGTGATTTTATGTGCTGAAACAGGACTATTGTTTTTGCTCACATGAATAAAGTAAATACATGACAGAAGAACATTTAAGGTTGTCAAAGGGAGATGAAAGTTTGATGTAAGATGACAAAAAATTCAAACCCATATTGATAACACTGTAAATCTTTACCCAGAGGTGCGTTTAATGACCCAAGGGTTCTGACTATACACTAACACATATGAGAATTTTCCTTGCTGTTTTAAACAGAGGAGAATATCCTCTGAATATCATCATCCATTTTGATAATCTTGAGCAAAGTGAACTCAATCTCTGGTCAAGATTGACCTGTTTTAGTTGTGTTTTATTAACCACTAATTGTATAAAATGGTGGTCTTTACTTTGTGAAAACATTGCTAATTCTTTAAAACAGATTCATTTTGTAGTTCCCGACAGTCTTAAACGATATAAAAACGTACTTGATGCACTACGTTGACTGTGAAAGTTAATTTAGCTATCACCTCAATATTCACTACCACTAGTGGCAGAGTAGACGGACGACTTCCCACAGAAGCTTTCAATTAATTGATGAAGTCTCAATCTAAATACCTCAGACATTGAAATCAAGATAATTATTTAAGAGAATGTAAATTACTTGATCTATTAGCGGCGGGACAAAAAGCCAATCACGATTTATTGACATAAGAACAGGGATGCTCGCTACAGAATATTAAAGTAGAGCGCGTTTGTTGCCCTCCAGTGGCCACAGCCTCGAACTGCAACACTATAAGAAGTGTCAGGAAAACCATAACACTGCACTTTGTTTCCGGCCTGACCCTTTAAAACGACAATGAATAAGTAGCTAAATAAAAATTGCGCATTTAGTATCTCTTTTCTATATTAATTGCAAATATGGCAGGTAAGGTGGAGAAAACAATAAAACATATTAAATATTTCAAATCTCTCTGTTTTCAGATTTTAAGATAAAAATATGAAAAGATAGAAACATTCCCTTGTACATTATAAAATTGTCTTTTTTTTTCCTCACCAGTGTCTAAAACATGTCATACAAAGCTGCTAGTAATAAAAAATCTTTACATAGGCTATATACCGAAGCAGCATGTTGAACATAATATTTTGTTTTTCGCTTGGATACAGATATAACGTGTGTTAATCTGGCAATTAAACACACCTCTGTTCGTAAAAGGTCAATTGTTCATTGATTTTCTGAGACTGCTTTGGAGTGCAATATTTGCTTGTTGTCACACTTTTTACACTCTTATATATTTCTTGGAATCAATACATCATATATAAACAAAATGTTTACCAGATAAAAGACCAAAGTCTCAGGTATAGATTTCGTATTCATGTCATTTTCATGTCTTGTGTCAGTGCAGAGGTATAAGCAATCAAATAGAGAGTGTGAACATGTGACATGTTGTCCCCCTTGTCGAGTAAGTTGTCTCACTACATGGGGTAAGATGTCACAGTGGATTTTGCCGCTAATAAAACAAGGACAAAACTATTGATGTTCTCATTTTTTTAACATGAAAGTGAATATCAGAGTCAGGAACAGAAAATGTTTATCATTGAGAAAGTTGTTGAACATAGCCATCGAACAAACGTTTATATGAAATATTATGCAACATGATCCAGAGTTTGGAGAGTTGTCTCACTCTGTATTTCGGCTGGGGTGAATGTTTTGCAGTACCCAGCTAAGGTATGGTAGTTAACATTCAAGTCCTTTATTGTACTTTTGTAATCCCTGACCACTTTCTCCTCTCCAGTAAACCACCCTTTTCTCTGTAAAAATAAAGTCAACATTGCTGTATGACAACTGCTGATAAGCAGACTCTGTATGTTAATTTTAATCCCTTTTAAACACGTGACAACTAACCCCAAAATGACTGCGACATGTTGCCCCAAACTACCATGTTTGCTAATTCTAGCTCTAGCTTAAAGTAATCTAAAAACAGAACAATGACTGAGCTACAGGATGCCTAACCTCTCGTCTAACAAGTCCACATGTATCACTGCTAGGATTTTTTTCTGGAAGAAGCTTATTTTAAAATATATTAAGTTGAAATTTTTTACTTTGGGTCGTGCAAAATGGTTTAATGGCATTCATCTCAGCTCACAATGTGCTCTTCTCTTCTCAGACAGGACACGACCCCAGACCGTGTAAAGGAAGAAAACTTGTATTCCACTTTAGTAGCACCCCCTGGCGGCAAAGACAATTGCAATGTGACAACTTACCCATGTGACAACAAGCCCCGCTCTCCCCTACACATTTGGTCAAAGAAGACTGACATGCAGATTTCCAAAGAAAAAGCACACATTATCATCAAACTAGATCTTGATTCTTTACCCCCCTGAAAAAGGTATTATTGGTTCCTTAATATTTCATTTTAATTAGCTGAAAACTGAGATAAAACACCACTGTAAACATATTCTGTTGGGATTTTTATTTTATATTGAGAAGGTCAAATGAATCAGTCATTGTTGCCTGATGCATGTTTTGTAGAGGCAGTGAGATCATGTCTGATAAGGTCAGATAGTCAAGCAGGAAAAATGATGTGTAGTTCCAAGTGGACATGGTCATTTATGAGTTTAATGTAAGATAATGAGAAAACCTCAAGTGGAACATAACTGGGATGATATTACACTCACCTTAGTTTCCCCAGCGGGTGCTATGATGTACCATCTCATTTTAATCATGCTCTTTTTAATGACTGAGACTGAGCCAGGGCCTGCCGTTACTTCACTCAGTTATTGTTTCACACATTTGGACTCTGACAGCACATAGAGGTGTTAATTTCACATCCCAATGGCTTGACAGTGAGGAAAAGTCTTCTGTAAATGACCAATAGTGTGTCTCTTTATTGATCCACACAAGACTTAGATGATCCATATCACAAAATCAGAAAATATGCCGGCCAGAGTGAGGGATCGATTTATAACGGTCTGTGTGATTTATGAACCTTCCTCTTCCTTCAGATTAAACTCACCACAGAAGAGAAACTCTCACTTCTAGTCACAGTCACGACCCAACAAGGTGACGCCCTTGTGCCATCAGTAATGCTCTTTTACTGTCGCATGACAGCATGTGTCACGACCGCAGTCGAGCGTCCAGCTCTCCCAGAGAATCTATAAAACAAATAACAGTTTTCAACCCGTTTCTTTTCTTAGAAGGAGAAACCAGACAGGAAACCGCTGCACTGACCCTCTTCTTCTCAGCCATGAAGCATCGGATTAACAAAACTATTACATACCAAAGTAAGCGGTGTCAAACACAGTACCACTTTTTCCTTTTCTCCGAGCTTGAAATATCAGCTGCCCTTAAGCCATCAGCTCTGTGAAATGTTAGTTGTCATGCTGCTTCCCACAAGCCTGTGACTCAGATCATTTGTCCTGAAAGCCCAGGATGATTCAATCTGGAATAAATCAAGCTGAAGGCATCCTGAAGTGAGCACAAATTGGGTCCTTCTTATAGTTTGTGCATCCAGTGAGTTTACTGAACGAGTCTGACACCTTTGACGTGATCCAGGGGGACGTGTTGACGCATTGTCTCCAACCAGTCAACAGGAAGACAATTTAAGCTCAGAGAAAAGACTAAATATAGACACTGTGGAAGCTCACGATCCAAATTGATTTGATTTACTGCTCAGCAAACATATCCCTTCCTTTCCTGTCATCTTTGTTTGGCTCTTTTTTTATCGTAATTTGCAGCATCAGTGCAGGAATATTGACAGCTTTGTGTTGAACAGGGACTGTCATTGCCTTTTTCTATACTGTACAGCTGCAAATAAACTATCAATACAATAACAAGTCTTTGTTTATATGATGTTGACTATAATTGTTGAAAGTGTCTGTACATGTGTAAGTCAAGCTTCCTAATAAAAAGAACCTGATTCTTCGAATAAAAGCATCTCTCACTGAGAAGCTCAACTGTGGAAAATAGAAGCAAAGTCATCAACCACATCAACTACGATATTTAATGATGTAGAATCAGTCAGTTTTGTCAATGATTTCCTTTTGTGAGTCACACAGAACAGTCGTTGTCAATTTCAGTCAAATTAATAACTTGTTATGATAGGACATTGATTTGTTAAAGTGAACATAATTACTCTGATACTTCCCCTAACTGCTGCTTATTAACTGATTTAGCTTATTAACTGAATCAATTAATAAACAATGAGACTCTTGTCAGTTTCCATGAAAGTATTTATAACACTTAGCTCGTCTGCCAGAGGCTTCATAAATATATATTTTTTTATCATAAAAACAGGCAAATAAAGTAAATTCATCGACACTTTGACCACCGTTGCGTGATTTTAAAGGGTCTTTATTGTCTAAAACAACTGAACAAACTTGTTTATTGATATATCATTGGTTGTTATAACAGTTTTCAAACTTTTTGTGTTGCTTTATTAAGAATAAAACTAATTTTATCTGGAAAGTACAAGTAATCAAAGCTCCTGTGAGGACTTTTTTTGATGGTTATAAAACTGACAAAATTTCATATTGATGCTTTTTCATGACATCCCAAAGCAAACAAGACCCTCAGGGGTCTGATTTTTTTTTTTGTGGGTAATTTTTAATACCTAAAACCAGTGTGAGGAGGTAGGTGTCAGAATAACAGCTGCGATTGCTACAATTTCCACAAAAAACTACATGATAAGTTTTAAATGTGACTGTCAACAATGAGCAAGATGAGGGTTTTTGTAAAACCTTCTCAAGCATGTTGAGAAGTTGCCGCCACCAAAGTTCACACAATTTTAAAGTTCCTCACAGGAGCTGTAACCTTCCTCCTGTGTTAGCTTGTACTACGCACTAGAGGATGACATTTTCGGGAACTCCCATGGGTCACGTGATTCCCGCGGGAATCCCACGGGATGGGAGTCATTTTTTAATTAATCCCGTGATCAGGACAGGACGGGAAAAAAGCAACGGGAGCAGGCAGGAGCGGGAACAACATTAATAGATGATCATTTTCTTTCCTTGTTAGGCTTCATTATCCATTTAAATATCGCTTATAATATTTTTTTGTTGTGGGCCTCTTGCCCTTTATTTGTCAGTATACCCCTCACACAGACATCTATACTGAACTGATTTCACATGTCTGGACATGCCTGAGGTTGTTTTTTGTGCAGGGTAAAACATGGCAAAATGAGAATTTCCTAAATCTCACATGTTTGGAAGAGGATCTGACTGACAGTGTGGTGCCTGACATTACACTTATGATTTCAGTTTTTGCTCTGATTATTAGATACTGATCTAACCGGGTCAACAGCGACCCTAACACGACAAGTGCCATAATTTTAATGAGTATTTTATAATTTAGTCAATTTAATTTTTTTCATTTTTGTTTAGTTGAAATAGAGGTTCCTGACAAAGTCAAAAGTCTTGATTTAAAAAAAAAACTTATTTAAGTGGTTCTTTTAAGCATTTAAAACCAACGGGTCGGTGCAGACCCTAACACAGGAGGAGAGATAAAATATTTATTTATCTATTTATTATTTTCTGGACCTAACAGATCTGAAGTGATAAAGCATTTACTGAGGTCAGTCAGTCTGTTATTATGTCTCATTATCAGGATACACACACTCATGATGTACCGCAATAGTCCCATCAACACATGATAGGCAGTAATTTCCTCATCCATCAAGAACGGTATTTTTCTAATAAAGCAATAATAATCCGTTTGTTTTCACCCTAACTGAAGCCTCTACTATCTGTTTGTCACACAAACCCACACAGTGTATGTGTGAGAGAGGTCACCCTTGTGTAGGAGTGGGGGTAACCGCCTTAGCAGGAGATAAGGGTGTCACTCAGCCTGATAAGATGACGGATCAATACGGCGGATACATGACTGTCACAGCTTAGCAAGGTCATTGAGTCCTTCAGCCAAGACGCACACTTTCTAAGCGCTGCAGGATCCAACTGCTTTTCTCTGATTGGCACTGCGGGAGGGACCGGACTTGATGCTGTGCTTATCTGCTGTTTTGACAAAGAATAGGTGGGAGTGACAATAAATAATCCGGCAAAAACAGGAAATTATTACAGAGCTAACAGAGATAAATACACGATTATCCTGAAAAAGACACAAAGGCATAAAGACACAGTTTATCTCACACCAAGACGCTTCTCTGCAGGGTCCACAGTGTGAAAGCTGATTTAGGACAATCCAGGATGACACATTATTTTTCATTCTGCAGAAACAGGATGCAGTCCAGAGTACAACGCACCCAGAGACAGCTAAATGTGAGCAATAAACTGCAGGAACAGCAGATTTGCCTGTTTTTACACGGCAACAGTCACTCAGCGGTGTTATTCTATCAGTCCTCTGTGTGCCACAAATGCACAAGCTCAGACACAGCAGGGCCAGCTCCTTTTTAGCTCACTTCGAGTCTGTTACATGTTGAAATTAGTAGCTGTGACGAACAAGAATCTCCTGCACCTGAGAAACCCTGGATCACATGTAGAGTAGATTTCCTTTCGTCCATATGGTTTCACTTTGAAAACACATTTTCTGTCTCCTTTCTTCATGTGATTGTTGTACTGAAAAAGAATTTAATCAAAAACTGGGTGCAAGTACGATTTAGAGCATCTTTGTAATTGTGAGCGTTGATGTTGTCGCTGTTTATTCATAAGCAATCATCTGCCTGAATTCCTTTTTTTTTTTCTCCCAAACACCCACACACATATTGTAACTGCAAAAATGTCAATCTGAATCAAAGCAATGCCCTCTGGGACGTTGCTGTTTTTCATTTTCACTCAGCGCAGGAGAAACAAACACACAAACATCATTAAAACCATTCTTTAAAAGTTCTAAAAGCTTTATTTCCAAAATCCATCACTGTTACTCTCTATAGTACAGCACTGTAAGTTTTTTTTTTATTTTGTCACCCCATCCATGTGTACAGTGTTTCCTGCTCTCCCAAGCTGTGGAGGGATACCCTGAATGGATGGTCATGTTAGCTTTTGCTCAACCTGTCACCCCTGAGAAGGCCTGGCTAAATGGGACTTTAGGATACTGTCTTAAAAAAGGCCTTGAAATATATTATTGATCAACAAGGAGAGAAAAAAAAGCATTTAGATAGTTTCTCTAGTACTTAAAAAAACATGTCTGTAAAACCACGTAGATAAACAAAGAAAAAAAAAAGAGCATTTTCCTCTTCATGTATGCTGCACAGAGCCTACAGTAACATAATCTACCTTCTGCTATGATCTTTATGATACAGTTAACAATAGCGACTCTGATAAAATCTCTATAGTTACTCTATGGTTCTACATATAATTTTGCCCCCTCTAGATTCTTTATTTTAAGAAAGTTTCTCTTCTTCAGGTCAGAGCTCCCACTGAGCGACAGACACAAACAAACAGTGAAGATTAAAGGCTGGCTGGTTCACTGAGTAGTGCGACTGGGGGGAATCACATCGATACGGTGGGGGGACCCGGTGGCTTCGATTACCCAGAAACACTTGGGGGTCCTTCAAACAGAAATATAGATATGATGATTTTGTAGAAGCACAAGCACTGGATGGCAATAACAAGGTTTGTACGACAGATGGCACTGCTGCATCACAGACGACTATACATATTGCACAATGAGAGATGCATAGGATTGGCTCCATCGCTGTAATTTAAGAGAACATGATTTGGTATGAAGGGAGGATGATGTGTAACGCTCCAAGTCCTTATGAGACCTTGCCAAGAGTCCTTTTTGGCAGAGGGAGGGCTGCGTGTCGGTCGATATATCCTGTGTGGGAGGGAGGAGGGGGAGACAGCTCACAGCATGAACAGCGATATGACAGTCGATGTTGCACTTGTGACACTCATCCCAAACACTTGTTTCTGACGTAACAATGTTTTGCTCAGTGGAAGTCATACAAAAGTTTTTTCTCTTCTTCTTCCCTGTTTCACTTGAAAGTGTAACAGCAGTGTCGTACGGCGCTGAAGCACCCTCTCTGAGAGCAGCTATGATCGGAAACAGCTCGGCCTGGAGTCCCAGCGTGCCGAGGCTGACTGTGAGCATTGAGCATCAAAGGACCTTTCAAACCACTCCTCCCTCCAGCGTTCAAAACAGCCCTTGGCTGCGTTGAAGTACATCATACATTGTTACAGGTGTGTACAGTATAGGTTAGATAAAGCCATTGACACACTGAAAACACATTATAAATAAAACATATTGAATGTATTGCTTTAAATGTCAGACTTTTCTTAAAGTGATCGTTTTCACCTGATTGTTTTTTTACTTTACTCAAAGCAAAATTCTCACTGAAACTGACATGGAATTTTAAAAAAAGAGAGAGTACACAGCTACAGCAAAAAAAAGGTAAATACCAACACAATTTTTCATTGCTTTTGTAAGTAAATCAGTTTTAAGGTGCTTTTAATGTGGTTGCCATGGCACTGTGCTTTGTTCCCTCCCACGCTGTGCGCAGACACTGCAACAGGATGTCAGTCAAGCACCAGCAGAGCAGCCTCCCCACCCACTGTCACCCAAACTTTGCTGTGAAATCCCATCAAGTCATTTACTTTCTCTCACATCATTTTGATCTATATATATATAAATTTGTGTGAGTGTTTGTTATGTGTGTTAGAAGAGGGGTCCCTGCTCCTCATCACCCTCTCATGCTTTTTTAATGCCACAGAAAATCAAGGGCAACAGTGAGGTGAAGATGACGGGGTGAAGGAGGAAGATTAAAAAAAAAAAGGACAAAAGGGAATAATGTCATTTTTGCAATGTAAGACATCCAAAGCTGCAAACATGTTGTCATGCCGCCAGCTTGGTCGGAACATAACGTTCAAGCTGCATTGCACAAATGATGCACTGAAGCAAATAAAGCAAGAAAGTCATTCCAGAGAGAAGACAGATCTGCAAATTGAAACAAAGTCGACTTGACAAGCTGACCTTTTCTGGACCTTAATGAGTGCTTAATCCTGAGGATACAGGAGCGGGAAAATAATCTGACTGTGCTGTGACTCAGAAATGAAGAGAGGAAGAGATGTTTTAATTATGTAAGTCAAGGGCTCAGGAAAGCAGTGTATGGAATGGCTGGAGGAAAAAGACTGTATAAAATGATGGAAGACATGACAGCCTCTAAAAGTGAAGCTGAAACATTTGACCCCCTCCTTCAGACTGGCTGCAGTGCAGGCCATTAAACCCCCGGCCTCCATGTAAACAAATGAGACATGAGTCAAACAATAAAATCAAAACACCCATCTTCTTCTATTGGTATAGTAACTTTTGATCATGTTTATTGATATCCTAGAGGAGTCTGCTTTCAATTGATCATTTGATGCTATAAAAGAGTCATAATTCCATAATTGACAGCTCTGGTGATGTGCATTCAATTAGCAGCATAGAGGAGGAATGGAAAGAGTAACATTACCTACACAAGAGTCACTGTATTTGAGTGTCCTCTTCAAGCTCACACATGAAACTATGATGCTGCAGACTATTCCGGCCAGAGGGGTCACAGTATTTCACTGGCAAGTTACATGTATTTTTGGTTAGCATAAGGAAGGAGTATGTGCTGCTTCTTACTCAACTGATCCCCACTGCTCAGACTTGTCATTCATCCTTTTATACAGTCAATGGTGCTAAATGATGGAGAGATGATTTTAAAATACTGGGGCGTGTGTGGGGTTATTATATATATATATGAATGTGTTATAATGTTTAATGTGGAGTACTTGTCCAAAGATTTGAGATTTGCCTTATTAAGATGATATCTGTTTGAACTTGACCCTAGTCGGCCCTCTTTCAGTGAGATCTCGTATCCACACACAGGTGGATGCTGCAGGTTCAGCTGCTTTAATGATCCATGATTCCCCCCTCCTTTCCTCAAACCCCCAGCAACAATAAGTTAAAAACGTTTAAAAGAGCATCAAGTAAAGGGACCTTATTTTGTGGCAACCACACTAAACATACATCTAGACTTGTCTATATTTGTCCTCTAATAAATTACACAATAATATCCATAATCTGAACCATGTTGACCCATGAAATGGCTATAAAAGCGGCCTCTGTGCACCAGTCACTGTCTGGAGGCCGGTCCTGCTCCTTCGGTCAAGGTAAGAGGAGCAGAAAGAAGGCATGATGGGGGATCTTGGCCTTTAGGATAAGAACAGCTCTCTGCAGAGCTTCAGGACTTGTGCACTCGTTCTGGTAAGTCAGGCGGGCTGCATAGTTTGCGTGTGGCCTTTGTCGTGTGGGTCACACTTGAGAAGGGCCTTGGGTTTGGTAAAGGGATGAGGGTTGAGCTCACATGGGATAGGGTTGGAGTTTTTAGTAAGGGGAGAAGATGATGGGTGTATGTGTGGCCCGCAGCGGCCCCGGGGCGGGCCGGAAAAGTGCAGGGCCCAGGAAGGGGGTCTGGATGAAGGTGGTTGTGCCCACTGGGTGGCGCAGAGCCAGTGGGTTAGTCGCCACTGTGCACAGAGTTGGCGGGGTGAGGGGGCTGGGCAGGAAGCCAGTTGTCAAGCTCTTGGTCAGCTGCTTCTGCAAAGCCAGTTTGGTCTGGAGAAGACAGGAGGGGTAGCAGTGAGAAGTGAGAGAAGAACACAGTGAGGGCAGAGCAAACATGTCTCCCAAAGTCGGGGGCCTTGTTTGCACATACAGAGGGATGCATATTTAAACATTACTCCAAACTAAATACCATCCACAACTGGTTTCCTGATTGACTTTGCATGAACACTCATCAGTCAGATTTACACAAGTTAAAGCAAGGTTTACTGTTGAGACAAACTCACAAAAACGGTTTAAACGAGGGCCAATTATTTTAAAGGATTTATTTTACCTTCAGTGAAATGTTCTCTTCACCGGCCGCTCTATAAATGCACAAACATTAGCTTTGACGTCACCTGCTAATGAATGTAACCCACCATGCTGCATTTTTTTTAAGAAGTGAAACTAAAAACGCAGCTTTGTTGACTTTTCAACTTTGTAAGCTTAAAAGTGAAGTTGACAAAGTTTTTAGTTTGTTCTTTTACAAAGAACAGCAGCTGTGGTTCACTTGGAGGCAATGGTGGAAACAATCTCTCAACCGAAAGCTGAAATCAACAGTTTCATATCACACACACAATTGCTTTCCCATTGCAAATTGAGCAATTTATGTGCAAAGCAACACTTGCTTGAAATATGAATGGAGCATGTATGGGAAAAGTTTTACAGGATTTTAAATGTTCTCTCAGCTATCCTTTAGGTTCTGACGTGGATTCAAGCTGAGTGCAGCTGGTCTCCTCAAAAATAAACAAACTATAAACTTGTTTGAACCTACAGGGGCTCAGAATTTGATTCACAAAAAACGCAGACCTCTCTAGCATGAAAACTATGAACAGACAGTTTCATGCTACAGGAATCAGAGAGCAGAATCAAACAGGGAGCAGGAATTAATCTTGCATAATGCGGTTCATGATCAAATGCTTTACCAACGCTGTGTTGAAAACACTCATGCAACTTTTATTCTCAGACCACCACCAAGAGTTCAAAGTCTCAACTTATTAACCTGACGTCTGACCTTAGAGTTATGAGGTGGGGAGGGGGGTGTTTTTCCCTGCTCTGTTTTCCATGTTAAATCATTCTCCTCATCTTTACTTTGAATGGAAAAAATGAGATTGTCTTGTATCTGATGGGTTGCACTAGCCATTGAAACCCGATTTATACTACACATGTGGGAAACATGCGCCTCTACCTCTCATCGTATTTCAGTGCATTTTACGGTACTGCTATTGCTACCTACCTGATCCGTACTGCTCAAGTGCGAATTTACGTCGTCTTAAACTTTATTTAAACTACCGATTGATTTCAGAAACCAGCTGGGGATGTGACAGGCTAGCTAGCAGGAGGCTCCAGGGCTGATGCCGAGGCATTCACCAGAGCTCCTGCCCAGCATGGTGAGACCTTTTGGGCTGCAGAGAGCGCCACCACCTGGTCAAAATTATGGTTCTCTGACTTTTTAAAGTATCAAGGGGGGGGGGTGCTCTGAAGGTGTGTGACCACCCATTGCACCACAAACCAGTCAAAATACCGATCAAAAACTTTACGAAGTATCAAGGATAGATGAAGGGAAGGTAACATTTGTGTATGAAACACACAAAAAAAGTATTTATCTTATTTATTTTATATATTAAATTAATTAACAAGAAGCCTACACATTATGGACAATGAATTTTAGCGTTTTTATACAGCGTTTCAATTTCAACAATTAAATATTCACATTCATTTATAACTACATTGCAATTTTACATTTAAGCTAGTAGTAGAAACCCTTAATCGTAAAATCAGGGGCCATTCTCTTGACTTTCTGGCACTCTGCTTCAGGAGAAAAGTGTGTAGCTGGTGATAAACTGAAGCATCCAATCTGACTGAAGTGGGCTCGCTGATGCTGAAGCTGTCGGACAAAGGTCTAAGCTGTCGCAAACCGCTAGGGGCAAAGACTTGCTGAGCTGTCAAAATGATGGCTAGTAGAGGAAGTGATGTACATTTCGCACATGCGCAGTACAAATCGGGTTTCCGGAACGGATCGGGCAGCGACAGGCACAAATCAGGGATCTGGTGTGTGGTTTGCTCTAAACAACAGAAAAAAAAGACCTGTTATCCAAAAGGTTTCTTCACATGAAGTCTGCCGCTTTCTCCACCTGATGCAAGTAAGAATCTCAATTTCTGTGATCATAGTTTTGTAGCTGTGAGAACCTGTGGAGTTGTTATTTTTGTCTGCCCTTTCATAAACTTTGTATCTAAAACCAGATAAGGTGAGTTACACGCCATCGAAACCACTCCAACTGTTTATCACGCCACATTCATGATGGAAAACATGCACAAAACAGCTCCTCCCACATCCCAGCTCTGAGGTCAACACCAGTGAGGAAATTCAGTTGCAAAAACAATTCAAACAAAATAGAAACAAACATGATTTCTTTATTATCTGTGCTCAGTCCCCTGCCCGTGGCCAGGCCTAAAGTTCAGCCATCACTAAAATCCAACCCCAGACTCGGCCTCTCCTGCCACTGACCTGAGAGGAGAGGGAG